TGTAGTATGTCCAGGCAAAAACCAAGTTAAAAATGAAAGGATATCCTCCTCTTTTTTCTTGATGGAATCGGGCGAATTGTAGTACTGGCTTCCACTCACCTTTGCCAATGTGTCAAATTGCAGTCTCTCTCTTTTTTCATTTAAAAAGGGTATCAGTCCTGCACTAAGCAGTCTACTGGATCTCATTTGACCATCATCTGCTCCAAGTACAGAAGATGAATACGACAGTTGTCGTGATTTGTCATATTCGCATTCAACCTGTCGAGGTAAATACGAGTAATCACTTGTTTGCATTTGCAGAACCCCCGGAAAATCCTTAATTCCTCTCAATAATTCTTTGAAGGGCGGTAGACTATTAATCGTTAGTTACCTCTGGTCAGAGTCATTCTGTTTATTTAACATACCTGCCGATTCGTGGAGACATATATTCGTCTCTTATCGCTCCTGACGATTTCGAAAGACTTAAATCTACAGTTTGCATTGTTTTTGTTAATACAACACATTGTCAAAAACTATTTAAATCTAAAAGTCCTCTTATATATGTCGATTTGTTAGCATAATACTAATTTACTAGCATTTCAGATGCTTAAAGTCACTTCAACATAATAAAAATCCTCATTGATTGCTGCAAAATCTGGACTGCGTATTAATGCAACCACATTCTAGATTTGAAGTGAGGGGTTTGTGTAACGTTTCAAATTCTGAATCTGAAACATGACTTGCAATATGTGATAAATATTTATAAGACTGTGAGTTTCAGTAGTAAATTATAAAACCTTTCAATAAACAGTTCTTACAAAGCTTTGAAGCCAATTCTATATTCATTGAATAGGTAATAAGGTAAATTAGTGTATTAGTATTTTTAATAAGTGATTATTGAAGTTGAAGGAGAAATCTTGAATCAAAGATACCTCCTGACATTATTCAAGTGTGGTATTTTCCCCCAGTTAACCACTTTTGATATAATTGGAACCAATTGTAAAATTAGCTGTTAATCAACGAAAATAGTTGTTAAGTTGTTCTGAGAAGCTGAATAACGTCCGTTCTTTTTCCAATTCTAAATTGATTCGCTGTCCCGAGTAGGTCTAGTTTTGCACCTAAGTGAGAGCAAAGAGAAGTATGACATTGAAACCTAAGAATCCCAGTGTCAAGATAGAAGCAAATGATAGTGAACTTGAACCCAATGAAGATGTGAAAGAGTCATTGAGGCTAATTGAAGATTTGAAATTTTTTTTGGCCACGGCACCAGCCAACTGGCAAGAAAACCAAGTGATCAGACGTTACTACCTTAATCACGACGAAGGGTTCGTGAGTTGCATTTTCTGGAATAACCTTTATTTCATAACCGGAACAGACATTGTTCGCTGTATTGTTTACAAATTCCAGCATTTTGGAAGAAAGATAACCGACAGAAAAAAATTCGAAGAAGGTATCTTCTCCGACTTGAGAAACTTGAAATGCGGAGTGGATGCTGTTTTAGAGTCACCCAAGTCCGAGTTTTTAGAGTTCTTGTATAAGAATTCATGTTTGCGTACTCAGAAGAAACAGAAAGTCTTCTTCTGGTTTAATGTTCCTCACGATAAACTTATGGCTGACGCTTTGGAAAGAGACATGAAAAAAGAAAAGATGGGTCAAAATCCAACGACAATAGCCCATAAAGAGCCTGCTTTGTCATTCAAATATGACGAGGATAAATTTTTATTTAACCAACTTACTGAGCACATGGAACTTCAGAAGAGCCTTAACGAGTCTGCAAGTGATAGCACCACAACTCCTGAAGATAATTCATTTGAGTATTCAGCCCCTGAAGTAGATAAGGATGAATTTGAATTTCTCCACCAGGATACACCAGCCCAATACAGAGCACAATCTGATTATGAAGATGACTTTCCGCTCGATTATTTCCATCCCAATGACGATACGTATAAAGATAGTGATTACATAAAGTTAGATATAAATCCGCGTCTGCAATTTGCCAATATAATTGAAGAGAACCAGGATGGCTTATTTGAACCTCTTCCATCTTATATTATTCCAACTCCATCTGCAAATCAATTGGTTCATACCGATGAATATTTAATTGAACAAACACAACCATTAAAGACTCCGATTCCTCCGTTGTCTTCTGCTGGGTATTTGCCAAAATCTGCAAAATTTCAAAATACCCGAGTACCATCATCTAATGAAGAATATTTTCCACAATCTTATCAGCTACCCTCATTTTCAACAAAGTTTCAAAACCCGTTGCCCAGACCCATGCCAAGTCTGTTCTATAATGATCCAATTATTATACCACAGCCTCAACACCTGAGTGGCATGTATCATCCAGATTACAGTTATATGCATCCAGAAGCTGACTATTGGCCAAACCCTATTTATGAACAAGTAATGCCATACCAGAGTCAACAACATGGATATATGTTACAGAATGAAGAAATGGCCCAAATAAATAATCCTTATCTGGCAATGAACCCAGCGATGATAAATGTTGTCCCATCTAACATCAACTCACGCTCAATTAACCCAGCTAACTTTGCTTCAGCATCTTCGAGGCAACTAGCAATTTCGGCAAATATGATGAAAAAGAAATCACAAATGTATCAACAGCAACGTGATATGTCTGCTAGATTGTCGAATAATCCTATATCAAAGACATCTGAAAAGCGTAAGATCAATAATGATCTGAATTTGAAGAATATTATATCTTCTAGATCAACGAGAGTAGTTAATTTTAAGAAAGAGACTGAAGATAAAGGATCTGATAATGAAAACTTTATACCAACTCCTGAGTCATCCATAACACATTCCGAACAAAGCCAAGCTAGTCAGAATGCAAATGGTAACTAGGAATCGGTAGAAAAACGGCGTTATTGTTTGAATTTTATAGCATGAATTTTAATTCTATTTTGCAACATGTTTTATTTATGTTTTGTTTTATTGATTAGGCTAAAATTATATATCAAATATAACTAATTAAGATTTTATGATTGACTGTAGTATTCGATTAGCTTTTTCTGTGGTATTGACAACCTCTTCAAGATATCATCCATTACAGAATATTCAGACTGGTCATCTTCGTCAGTTTTCACAGTGTTAGAAATTCTCGATGCTTTCAACAATTTGCCATAACTCAGAATTACAGATCTTCTGATCTCAACCTCTTCATCATTCATGAAGCCGCCAAGTGCATTATCAATACGCAAAATCAAATTTGTATCAATTAACAAGGAAACCGCATTGGTATTAAGTACTTTAGAAAGACAGTCTAAAATGAAGGATAACGAAAAACATTCTCTTTCTAAGATAGCAGCTTCCAACGTTGTAAGAATTCTTGCAAAAATCACTTCACTACTGAAAAGCCCAGCCAACATCTCATCAAAAGCTTCACTTATGGCAAGAGATATTTCATTCGTTGAATTTCTAGACTCTGAACTCAATCCTACAAGCAAATTCCACAATCTTTCTAAATTCACACGCAACCTGTTAATAAGTAGTTGTTTTAACAATATTAATCCACTCAATTTCTTTGCAACCGAAAGAATAGAATGATTATCAAAGAAGTTCCATAAAGAGCCTTCAATTAAAGAATGTCCCAGCGAATGAAAATAGCTTGAAAACTCGGAATTGAAAATTTTTGTATTCTGCAAATAATTTAATAGGGATACAAACTCTTTCCCTTCAATGTTCTTGGAACTCAAAGTGTTACAAAGAGATTTAAATTCATCAATAGAATAATTTGCTTCTTGGTCGTCAGCATTATCCACAGCAAGCTTTGCCAATTGAAAATTAAACCAATTGAGCTCTGTATAACTGTAATCTTTAACCTTTTGTGGAGAGCCCTTGAAGCTTCCATCTTCATAAATACTAATGGGCTTATTTTTAAGCGATATTTTGTTTAATGGATCAACTTTGTCTATAAAAGTTTTTATGGGATCCGAGTTACAAAGCTTATTTTTAGATAATTCTGTAATTTGTACTTGAGCAAAATTTTCTACCAATTCTGAAGAGTTGTCATGTTGAGTGAACTTGGTAAATAAATCCGGTTTCCTTGAAATTAAATCAGAGTCTACTTCAACAAAAATGTTATCAGATTCATTAACTGGCAAGTTATCCAGAAAACTATTAGGAGTTTTCTCTTTTACTGTATAATCGTCGTTTTGATGTTCCATTTTATTATTCGATACACTGTTATCATCTGGATTTTGATCAACATCCATGGCATCATTTGCATCTTCTTCATCAATTTCTGGCATTTTATTATCTGTTCCACTTATGGAACTAGATTCCAAGTTTACTAAGCTTGTCTCTTTGTTACCTAAGTTTGTTGCAGTTTGGAAGCTTATCTCATTAATAGTATCTTTTCGGTCACCAGAATCCATAGGAACACTGTCATTTTCAAATTCTTTATCAAGAGTTACGGTTGGTACAACCATTGTCAAGTCAGAGGGCGCTTTGAGGGGTGATATATCTCCTAGATTATTTCCTGGCACAACTCTAGTTAGCTCGTACAATGTTGCAAAAGTATTGGAATGCCCTTGGTTAAGGTCCAAAATATCATCGATACCAACAACATATTCAACTTCTTCCCGTGTGGAAGAAGCTATCATTTGTAATTCAGAAGTAAATAGAGTGGGGTTTATAGAATATAACTTTGCTAACAACTCGCAAAATGATTTATAAAGTCCAGTAGATTTGACAAGGCTAACCAATTCAAACAAATTAGTAACAAGCTTCAGGAAATGACTATCACTTATAGGGATTTTATCTAAACCTTGGTTCAAAAATTCGATAATCAGACGAACAATGATAGATTTGTATCTAATAATCTGCATAGTTAAATCACTGTCATCAATGATGTTACCGAGATTTGTGGTATAGGAGATTAATTTAATTGCTGATTCATAAATATCATCCACAGCAGCAATTGACACAATCATATCCACGAGTCTTTTGTCCATTGGATGGATCAAGATACAACAAACTCGGAAAAAGTCTTCGTATTGAAAAAATTGATACGTTTTCTTAAATAAATTATCAGTACCCAAAAATAGAGGCTTTAATAGGTCTTGATTTCTCACTGAAATCTTTTTCAACAACCCATTTACTTCAGACGATAAGTCTTCTTCACCCATGATTGCATACTTTAATAAGTTTATTCCTTCAGCAATGAATTCTTTTTGATACGAGGACAAAAACTTTAAAATGGGATCGCTTTGCTTATCAAAAGAATCCAAACTGTTAGTTTGTACTATATTTGTTCGATTTGACGGGTTTCCATCAGCTAACGATGTGTTGCCAATTCTCTCACCATTCTGTAATTGATCTTCTGTAATTTTAATTTGAGCATCATTATATCTTTTATTTGTTGAGTTTATTGACTCAGAAACCTTTCTGGATAATGCATCTTGGTTTGACTCTATTCTCGAAAGCGAAGATGTAGATGAAGTTCTTTTAGCAACGCCTAACCTACTAAGTTTTCCATTGTCTAGAGTAGAAAACTGCAGTTTTTCATGCTTCTGTGAATGATCATTATCCAGAGGACCAGGTGATGAGGTTGAATTGACTCTTGATGATGGTCTAGATATAGACGATTGATCCTTTTGTTTATTTCTTAGCTCTTTGTTTCTAGCAATAATAGATTCCTTGATAGATGGTCTTGGCTTTTTGGCCGTGAGTGATGATAAAGTTGATGGCTGATTTCTAGAAGTGACAGTTCTTGGCTTGGATCTTTCAATAGCCTTGACCACATTGGAATCCAATCTGGTCAATAAAGACTCGGCTTCAGATGGAAATTTGTCCCAGAAACACCAATATGTATCCTTAGCAACTTGTCTCACATTAGGATTTGGGTCTGCTAGAAGCTTAGTCAATACCTTAATGCTGGTATCTACACCAGAAATAGAATTTGCTCCATGAGATGAGAAACTTGAACTATCATTGAACCTAACCAAAACTATCTGTAACCAAATACCACTGTAAGACCTGGGTTGGATATTTTTTTCATTTGCAGACACTAAAATCTTCTGAAGTAATCTATAATTATACGGTACATTGATAAATATGGCACATAATGCCATGTTGGCATTTGAAGAAGCAATGTGTTTAGTTGCAGAGCACAACTTCATTAAGTATGGAACATATGAATCTACCAATGGTTCGAAATGTTCCTTGAAAATCACAGCACATTCTTTAAGAAGATGGCAGCCATGCGAAGATAATGTTGTACGTAGTGAAGTGACTGCTTTACAGATACTCTCTGAGTACTCTTTGAGGTATCCAATAAGCTCATTAAGAAAAACGGTGTTAGCATTTCCCCTTATAATAGATCTCAATTTTACAATGTTTTTTTCTCTCATTCCCCAGTTAAATTCGGTTTCTTTCCCTTCAAATGCGGTAAGCAAATCATTCACAGTTCCATAAAATTCGTCGACTCCTTTGAAATCTAGCAGTGGAATAGATGAATCAATTTTGTACGTGAAGGTCTTGGCTATTATTTTTTCAATTTCGGGACTTATTTCAGCCTTTATTTCATTAGAATGATCCTTGGTTTTAGCCACTGGCTTAGGTGGTGCCAGCATTTGGTTTGAGTTATATTTAGTAAATGCAGAGTTTGTGTGTGTTGAAGTCTTTGTCATATGTTCGTCCTCTTGAGAAGGCAGTATCGACTTTGTATAATTGTGGAAATTCGTTCTTGACTTTGGTCTGGACATGGTAGACGATGAAAGTGATGCAGGTATCAGGGAGTTACTCAGGCTAGTGCTCTTATCTCTTCCTATCAGGTTTACTGTAACACGAGTGGTTCCTGCCAGAATAAAGTTCTGATCTAGACCTGGGTCTGTAGTGGTCTGTTTCATTAGGTTAGATGAACTGGTACCTATTTGACTTATTATAGATTCATGCAAACTGGAAGGAATTTTCTGGGTCTCAAATTCTTTAGATAAGTCAAATTTATACAATCTATTGTGCTTTAAAGAGTAGTAATCTTTAAACAACGTCCTGATATTCTCTATTAAGATTTCATCGCTTCCATTGTAGAGACGTAATAACTTCACAATATGGGGAAGAAAAAGGTTTATCTTAAAGTGAGGATTCACGTTGGTAATTATATGATCAAGCCAAATAATCGACTCGTTTATCACCTTAACATTCTTGTGACTTAGCGCCATATTCATTATCGATTCTTCTACTTCCTTAGGTGCCGAAAACCAGTATGCCTCTAATGCCTTCTTTGCGGAGTTTCGAGCACCAGCCTTTGAATCACCTAATCTATTAATTATAATCGGCAATACCAAGTAACTCTGGCTCTTTAGCACTTCCCCACTGGAATCTTGCATACTTACTCTTTTTACCAAATGTGACAATACGCTAAAGCTGTTTGTCAGAATTCCAGTATCCGAAATATCAACAGCTATAGATAATGCTTCAACATACTTCGGAACCTGGTTAATATCAACGAAATCTTTCTTGACATGCGTTTTAAGTTCGTTGATCGATCTGAGTTTGGCTTCATTATCACTTGTCGGTGAGGCCACTATTTGGTACAATCGACTAGCAGATATTACCTGTGACAGCATATCTATAATTTCACTCTTTGTATTGTTAATATACCTGTTGGTAGCTATGAATTAAAACTATTACTAATGTAGTTACATATATTTACTTTCTAGATGTAACAAAGCGCGTAAAAGATGAATGAAAACAAACAAATTTTGTGTAACAGAATTTCATCACTATACTCTTAGTGATATGGGAGATAATGATTATTGAAATTATAGGGTTTTAGAGAAAAAATTTTACGTTTCAGAACTCAAGTCTTTGTTCTATGAAATAATCAATATAATCTATTTATCGAATAATTCAATATAAAATGTATAGTTATTAAGAAAAAATTACATACAGCTCTATTTTGCGACGAACCATAAGCCTACTAACACAACTGATGTGAGTAGGCCGAATACTTGTATTCTGCCCTTGGAATTCTTGACAAGAGTTATAGATTCCTCATCGTAATTGAAATCAGCCTTCTTTACTTGGTGAAGTTTAGTGGTCTGGCTCTTATTCTGTCTAGAAACCAAATTACCATCTTCGTCATAGTTTGCCGTGTATAAGATTCCATCTTCAACCTCATCGACTACTACATTTTGAACATTTCCAAAAAAGTCAGTTAGAAGTACGTCTTTGACATCCCTCTTGAATAAATCTGTTCTTATGCCTGGACTTGAGTGAATATTTTCAAATGTGTATTCATCAAATAATTTATCCATAGTAGCCGTAGAGTTTTTGTCTATTTTTTCGAGGAAATCTAACGTATAATATGTGAATCTATCGATGACTGCAACTCCAATATCAAGATCAGAATGGTGCGAATAAGATGACTCGTCAACCTTTGACGAACCAACAGCCAAAATATTAGGCGAATAGAATCTTTCATACATCGAGTTTGCTTGACATGTATCAATCATAAAAAATATTTCATTGTATCTCTTTTTTTCATACATTTGTTCAAATGCATCTGCTATGTCATACGATCCAATTTCTTCTGCATCTTGGAATTTTAAGAATTCGTTACCGCCGTGGCCCGTTAAATAAATAAATATATTTGAGTTTTCATCCGTAAGCAAACGTTTAGATCTTGGGTGGTTTTCATCCCACCTATCAGTCAACAACCGCACGAAGTTTTCTACTGTTACCTCGTACCCTCTGTAATCAACTTCTATCAGATTACCGTATAAATCAAAACCCTGATCTTGGTTATTAAAAACCGTTCCTGGAAATGCATTACGTGGGTTACATGCAATATCATCAGATAACATTAAAATAATTTGGGAATCTGGGATACCAAGCCTCTTGACAGTTCTATACAAACTTAGCACGTTGGCCATATGTCTATAATTGAACCAGAATCGAGAAGTTGAGACTAATACTGCCCAGTTATTAGTATGACGTGAATCACTCGCTTTAATTATATTCTCTGCTTCATCATTGGTGACAAAATGCTGATCAGCTAAAACACCCCCTATTACAGTAAAGCAAAACAACAAGTTTAACAACCCACTGATAGTGATCTTCATTGCTAGTGATTATAACCTATGCTGATTACTAAAAATGCATACTCTCATATTAATAGTTAAGACTAAGTCACATGATTATTTAATATGTTGATATTGTCTACTGTTCTAAAAGAACGATTTAAAATATGTAATACTATATATGAGCCATACATCTGCGTTTATCTATATTTATGTATAATCTGGAGGGTTGGTAGAGCCCTCTGGATTTAATATATGATGAGATCTGCCACTATTTACAATTTTTTTGAGGGAAGTTTGTGATTTTTTATCGGGCCCTAACAACTTTTGGAGCTCCCATTTCACCCAAAGTGCCAGCAGAGAATATTTATGTGCAAATATTAAATTTGATGCTCTTTCTTTTGTAAAGCCTTTCAAACCCTGTGCTAATTTCTGTTGTAAATCTGGTGTAAAATCATAACTCAGTCTCGCTCGTTTGGATAATTTCGTATAAAGAAAAGTATGTTGCCTATCAGATACAGCTGTTGAATTACTGAAATTCTTGAAGAATTTCTTTTCGAATTGAGAACTAAAAGTTTCAGCTTTAGCTAATACGGATTGTAAATTCAGATCCACCATAATCTCTGATATAAGAGATGTCTTTCCGCATTTGTACTGACTGGCCACTCGTTGCTGATGAGAGGCAAATTTATTTAAAGTTAACCGAAAATATACCCCATTGTCATCGTTCAGCAGGTAGCACTTTTTAACTAAATAAAAGTCATCATTACCAAGTTGATGGCCCCACATATCAAAGGCTAATTTGATCCAACTAAGACGATTGGATCTAAATTTAGAATCAATGTTTTTATTCATTTGATACTCTTTAGAGTCGTGAGCTTCCAATGCCATAAAGCCATCAAAGGTCTTGAATTTTAAATTCACCTCTTCACTTTTCATCTTCAACTCGTTCATTTTATTATGTGTAGCAAGTTCTTCAAGACGGCAATTTCTTTCTCTTTCTAATATTTCCTCCTTTCTTATCTTTTCCATCTCCTCATCATATTCCTCCTTTTCCTTGACTAATTCTTCATATGACTTACCATGAATAATATAATCTGGGGGTAGAGAAAACAACGTTGGAACAGACTGAATTCCAGTACCACGAGTTCCAGCTATATCTACTACATGACAATGTGTTTTAGATTTATGTAACCTCAAGCCTCTACCAATCATCTGGACCAACAATGGCCTTGATTTAGTTGGTCTTGCCAAAAATAGAGAGTCAATATTTGGCATGTCAGTTCCTTCTGTAAAAACTTGAACGTTACATAAGACTTCAATTAAGCCATTCTTGAAGTCCTCAATTATTGCTTGTCTTTCATGCTTAGCAGTTTCTCCTGTTACATACTGAGCATTTATTCCCTCTCGTTGGAGTACCCCACAAAGTGTTTTACAATGACTAATATCAACACAAAATATTAAGGTCGATTTAAATTTAAATTCTTTCCGTAGCTGTGAATAAGATAAAGCGACCAAGAGGTTCACTTCTGAATCATTCATAGCTTGCGACAAACTGTTTATTTCATAATCATTCTTCTTTGTAGCTACCTTAGCTAAATCCACATCTACGTCAATAGACGAAAATTTTACATCCGCTAATTCTTTGTTCTGTACCATTTCTAATAAATTTCTTTCAAAGACTATTTCGTCGAAGATTTCTGCCAAAGATTTTCCATCGCTTCTTTCCATAGTAGCCGTAAATCCTATAACATAAATCTGCAGTTGCGCTGAATCTGCATCGAAGTATCGTAATATCTTTGACCAAGAATTTGCTGGAGCATGGTGGCATTCGTCGAGTATAATTGTTTTAAACTCCTTTGGGTCGTATTTGGATAGCCTGCTCATTCTAATTAAAGTGGGAACAGAAGCTACAATAACATCTGCATTAGAAGATGGTTTAAGTCGTCTCATATCAATATCAACTTTCAAATCGGGATTCATCTCTGAAATTGAGTCAGCTGCTTGTCTAACCAATTCTTCCTTGTGAGCAAGAACCAAAGTTTTGTTACCTCTATCTGGTGATGATGGCTTTATTTGAGGAATTAGATGAGAAAAAACAACTGTTTTACCACCACCAGTTGCTAATACTACTGCAGAACGGTTTATACCCCTTGATATTGCATTGTGTACTGAGTCTATGGCTTCAACTTGATAATCACGTAGTTTAAGAGGAGCTCTTCTTATTCCTGAAAAACATAAAAATCGTACTCTTTTTAGTGAAACAGTAACATTTGATAACCAGTGACTAGTTATACATGTAGAAGAAGCTCTGCTTATCATGGAACATTTGATAAAACTAGAAATTGGTCGACGTTGTAGTTTTTCTATTACAGACTAGTTTATGTACGCTCTCTGTTTTTCTTCAAATAAAGTTCGCAATAATTTACAAATTTCACTCTTAGGTATAGAAACTAAATTTATTAATACTTAAGCCTTATAAATATCAACCCTCGTTCTTAAGTGTACATTATGATAGTAAAGATCTTCTGAGGATTCTACTTTCTCGACATTTTTGTCGGAATTTTCTGAGGTATCAGGGGATTTGATATTAAGAATAGCATAACTACCATCCTCTTTTGCTGGATCTCTATTACCCCTAATGAAAGAACCTGGATTGATGACTATAACACCCTTTATTACTTTAACAAAGAACTTTAATTCTGAAGGAATGACGAGTATATCTGGTAAGGAATCGCCTAATTCAGTCAATCCCATGTAAGGTACCTCCAATGATGAACCTCCAATTCCCGTATCAGTATATTCTTCACCCATGAGGCCCTCATGCAACGAATTTGATGCCTCATTATTGTCTTTCGAAATGTTTCTTTTAACTGAACCTGGAAATATAGGGTAGTATCTTCTTTGTTCAAATACATGGTTAGCAATTCTCTCAAATCTGTTATTAAAGAACTTGCTACTTCCATCAGCATTGCTCTTAAAAACATCTTTTAAATCTTTAAATATATCTAGATTTGAACAACCTACTAAAACTTCGTTGATGGAAAAACTTGAAGGGTTTGGAAATATTTTGACATTTTTAGGCAAACCAAATTTCTTCTTGTCAAAAGAGTCTTGCGGGTATGAACAATGTTTAATTGAAGAGTCCTTTAATGAAGGAATCATTACCACTTGTATTCTAGGGTTAATTTTTCTTATTATTGGTGCTATACACTTTTTGAAAACTTCATCCAAATCCTTAGGCTGTTGCTTTTCGTCAGGAAGTTCAATATCACCTTTACTAACTGAAACATTAGTTATGTCAATGAAAGGCCCAAACAAAATAACCAAATGGGGTTTGATCTTGGTATTTATTCTATCCACTAGTGAATCCAACCTTTGATAATTCAATGAATGCTGATTAGAGTATGGACCAGATGCAACAAACAATTTTATACCTGAATCATCTGTCATTTCTTTGTATTCTTCAAGTTCTTGCCTATTCGAAAGAGGAGCTCCTAACTCGGGTAGTGGAAGAATATCCTGAACGATAAAAGATTGACCTGTAGGATTTCTTCCCTTCAAGCATACTATCTGACCTGGAAAAAAAGTATATTCTACTAATTGATTCAAATTCAATGGTATTCTTTGTCCTATTCCTGTTAATCTAGACGTCTCCAAGTATAAGGTAGTGGCATTCAATGCTTGATTTCCTGATTTATCATACAATGGAGAGTCTGGGACAATTCTACCACAACAAAGAATGTCAAATTGTGAACATAAACACGGATTACCGAACTGTATATCCGAACTCTCTTGATTTTCTTGAAACAATTGGGTCATAGAGTCAATTTGATCATCCAAGACATCTGCACTTTCTAATAACTTCATAGACATAGTACGGTACTTGAATTTCGATGCATCGAAATTGGATGCTAATTTAAATGGCTTTATGGCAGTCGAAGGATCTTCATTAAGTTGCACATATCCAGGTAATTCTTCGATATCTGGATTCAATGTTTCTATGACTGTGTTTGATTCTTCGTTTTTTGACAGCTTACTAAATAATGGAGTAGGTGAACTCTGCAAATTATCATTGATTTCAGGGATTGGAGATTGGAAGGTATTGTTTGCAGTAGCATAATTCATTGGAGAGGACTCCATTCTAAGTTGTGGTGTTTTGAATGCTGGTGTTTCTTCCGTGACTTTTCTTTTCTTCAAGCTAGGAGTACTAGGAACCCCATTTGCTGGACTTGAGCTATTGATATCAGCACTGGACCTTATTATCGGCTTCCTTCTCATAGCACTCGATTGCAAATCTTTAGCCTTTCTTAAAGATGGTGTCGCTTTGCTTGAAGCATTCGCTAAAGTTGTTTGCAAATGTTCCTGGAATAAATCAAGATTGGGAAGTGTGAGATCTAAATCATCTTGAACTTTTGTTACGTTGAATGATTCCCAATGAACAAACAAGTCTTCTGAACTCAAATTGAAGATTTGCATTAAGGTAGATAATTTCTCAATTACATCATCTTTTAAGTCCTCAGTGGGACCAAAAGCACCTGTTAGCTCTTTTCTAACTCCTATATCAACAGTCATACCCTTACAAATGTTGATAATTCTGAATTCAAGATATCTTTAAAATATGCTTGATATTACGGACGCGTTTAGTATTTTTTTATACTGCGCGTACATACAAAACTTTGTCGTTCAACCTTACACACAGTAAGTTAATCTCTATAATAAATACATGAATAAAACATCTAAAATATAATTAGGAGTGGACTATACAAGGAAAATTTCAATACAATTGTAATATTTCAAGGAGCATGATGATCTTGTAATAATATGCTCTTAATTTTCAGTTTTTTTCTTGTCTTCTGTAACTTCAGTTTTCTTTTCTTCATCATTTGTAGACTTAGATGGAGCTGGTTCAGCGTTTTCAGAATCATTAGCAGGTTCTTCGACTACTTTGGAAATATTTGCGGAATTATCATCTGAATCTCCTTCTTTGGAATCTTCTTGTCCCTTGGATGGACGTCTATTGTTTTTCTTGCCCTTGAAACCTTTGCCAAACTTCTTGTTGCCTCTGGAATCATTAAAACTGTTACGTCTCTTTGTGACTTCATTGACACCGAATCTCTTACTGCTTTCTCTCATTTCTTGGAATGTTAAAAGAGACATCTTTCTCAAAACAGACTTCTCACCAACATCAGCAGAATCTTTAGCAACAATTCCTTGAGGGTAGCTTACTTCAACTTCTTTCAAGAAGTAATCAGCGTCTTCTTGTGTCTTAAATTCAATATCAACCACACCAAAAAACTCTTTGGTAGATCTAGTCTTGATTCTACGGATTGAACAAATAACTTTTTCCTTTGGTAAGTTAGGAACTATTTTCGTGTTAAAAAATTCTTCTAAATTCTCTTGGGTAATTTCACTTGGAAATCCTTCAATGTGTACGGAATTTCTCTTTCTGGTGTTCTTCAATTCATTGAACTCTTTCAATGGATCTTTTCTTCTAACCATATCCTCTTTTGGAGAAAGCACTAATTTGTCAGAGGTTTTCAAAGCAGCAATAACCTTCTCCTCTGGACGATACTGTCTCATACGACCAAAGGTTAAAATAGTCTTCAACTCAACCCATCCATCGTTAGCCTCATAAATACGCCATAAAAATTTATCTGTTTGCAAGTTACTATCAGAGAAATAAAATTCAACTTGCTTCTTGACTTTATCTTCAAAGTCAGGACCTTGGTACACGAAATCGGTCATTCTAGGTTACAATTTCCCGTTTACTGGCTATATATCCCACGTCAAGTTCCAAAATCTCTCTTTAGATCAAGAATGTCCACTCATCGGTTCAAACACGAAAAACATTTCTTCGTAAATGTTGGCCAAATAAAACAACCTTATATCTATCTAAAAGATTCGGAATTGGCCATTCTTGATATCATTTCTTTCTTACGTTTCATTATTTATGATGTATAATCACTGTTGGTAACTTCAAATCTAACAAATCTTATTCTAGATTTATGGTTCCATCGATCCAAATAATGATTGCAAAAAATTATTTGATGCACCAACTGTGAAATCCTTGATACTTGGCCTATCATACCCGTATTTAGAGGCTATATTGAGTAAAGTGAATGACTTTTGTCATCATTAGACCAACTATTACAATAAAGGTATAATGCTTTGGATCATAGAAATTTTCGTGTTCTAACCGACGTTGATTCATAACTGATTGCACGACCGAGTGAATGTAGACTCTATCTATAGAGGTCCTTCCATAACCAAACTACTGTATATGTTAAGATCCATAGGATTAAGAGTGCCATCTACGTCTATAGCCAAAACAGTAAGAGTAAATATGTCTACATTCCCTCAACCAACCGAAGTTAGACAAGAAGAAATCTGCAGTGCTTATGATAAAATTTCAGAGCAAGTCAATAGTCTCTCAGCTGAACACTCTAAAACACCAGTACGTTTAGTTGCTGTTTCCAAATTGAAGCCATCTAGTGACATCATGGCGTTATATAATCATGGGGTACGTCATTTTGGAGAAAATTACGTTCAGGAGTTGATAGCAAAATCTCAGGAATTACCTAAGGACATCAAATGGCATTTTATTGGTGGTTTACAGACCGGTAAATGTAAAGATTTAAGTAAGGGAGTTGAAAATTTATATGCTGTGGAGGCCATTGATTCGCTAAAGAAGTGCAAGAAATTGGAATCATGTAGAAAGAATGCTGAGGGTAAAAGCATTAACATTTACCTCCAGGTAAACACCTCAGGCGAAGACCAAAAGTCAGGATACTCTTTAGAGAATCTTGATGAATTGCACGAAACCATTGAATTTCTTTTAGATCCAAAACAATGCACCCTTTTAAAGATTCAAGGTCTTATGACCATAGGATCCTTCTCTGAATCCATATCTAACGACGAAAATGAAGATTTCAAAAGGCTTTTGACTTTGAAACAAAAATTAGATGATAAATACAATCTTAATTTAGAGCTTAGTATGGGTATGAGTAATGATTTTAAGGAAGCAATCAAGCAAGGTAGCTCAAGCGTAAGAGTTGGCAGTTCCATATTCGGTGCTAGGCCAGCTAAGTAGAGCTAATTAACATTTACAAAACTTATTGCATTTAGCATATATAAAAATTCGTATAATACTTATAGGACATATAAATAACATAATAAGGTAGAAGAAAAAGGCAAGCAAGCAATTATATAATGAATAAATTTCGAGCAAGTAAATCAGACATCAAAACAAGTCGTCGATTATCGAATGCCATTATCTATCTATTTCTTTTTTCTTAATAACTTTTTAAGAGATGTTTTCTTTCTAGTGACGTTACCATTGGAAACATTTTCATCTACCTTCTGAGTAATATCTTTCGCAGTCTTTTGAGCATTCTTTAAAAAGCTGTTCGAATTGGTGGTGGATGATTCGAAAGTGGTATCAGCTTGAGTAGTATCAGCTTGACTGATGTCCGCTTCACTAGTGTCTGCGTCAGCGGATCCGATTTTCGCACCGTTAGTACCACTAGCACCATTAGATTCCAAGTTGTCAGATTGATCACCCTTGACCCCACCGATTTGAGACTGACCGGCTTCAACACTGCCAACTTGAGAAGCATTGTTCACCCCTGCAGTAGTACCTTTTGAGGTTTCCAAATTGGTCTTCTCATTTTCAAGTTCTGAAGGATTAAAGTGTTGATTGCTATCCATCGTTGAATAGGTTGTATTTCCTTTCGAGTCCTTCAACTCTACAATGGAATCGGATTTATCCTTCACTGCTTCTAAAACCTTCTTTTCATCACCAGTGAGGTTTTTTGAATGAGCACCTTTTTCTCTCAAAATTCTTTCCTTTTCTTCCAATAATCTCCTTTTTTCCTCAATTAACTGCTGTTTAGCATCATCAGAAGCACCGACTGAAGATCCGATGGAACGGGAACCAGTACCTCCATTTGCCGCACCAGCACTAGCAGCAACAGCGCCTGCACTAGCGGCACCCGGAACAATGCCACTATCAATACCCGAAGTAGTAGGATTAGACCTGTTGTCTCCAACAACTCTTGAACCAGACACGAACAGATCATTGTTTTGCTTTTGGTAGGAAGTCAGATAATTATTCGAGGAGCCACGAAGAGTTTCAACATTTCCAGAAGTGGTCGCATTTTTACTAGAACTGGTACCGGCAGGCTTTTCACTAAGGTCTTCAGTCTTATCAACCCTGACATTAGCGATTGGAATAGCAACTGCTTCTTTTAAAGCACGTTCAGGACCAAAGTTAGACCATTCACCATCATTACCTGCAACTGCAGTTTGTTCAACCTTACTTGAATAGTAATCATGTCTAATCTTAAGGTCATTTGCACCGAAGTCGTTCTTTCTTTCAACTTCACTCTTGAACAATTTGGAAATCTTAAATAATACAACCCAGAAAACAAAGAACAAATGTTCACTAAGGAACACCAAGAATATTAAAGTTGTACCAGAAATATTGACACTTGCTTTGTCTAACGCAAATTGTCCTAATGTCTTAGGAGGTTGAGTACCATGGTGATAAAAGGCTGTAATAACTGGAGAGATTATAGATCCTATCCAAGTCAAAGCAAATAAAGCGTGATCCCAAGGATGAATGGAATCAACTCTGTGAGGAATTGGTGGCTTAAAATACTTTCCGTTTGACAATTTGAACATATCCAATTTGAAAGTAATTATGTTGAAAATAATGCTAATAATCGGAGCTAATGACCAAACTGGTCCAAAAATAATCAAATAACCGTATTGCAATGTCAAGCCTCTAAAGTCATCATTGACGTTGTATTCAGGTAATTGAGTAGCATTACGTACAATATCTAACCAGGATTTTTCAATTTCTCTATCATCCACCTTGTAATCTGGTTTACCTTGGATTTTAGTTTTAAAAAACTTGATACCTTTCTGTAATACGACTGGTAAAACATATTTCAATACAATTTGAATAACTTGATTCGTCACAATAAAGTAAAAGAATTGAACATTTAATCTTTGTTGATTTATTTTGAAATCTTCAGATCTCTTCAAATTTGTTAAATACTTGTGGTAAAATCTGTCGTGATTCAAATTTTTGGATATCGAATATTGAATATCGCCAATATGTGGTTGAACCAAGTGAGCAAATGGCAAGTAAATAAAAGAAGTAATGATCAATGGACCATAACTAGTCAAAAAATTCAAAACAAATTGCTTAACTATGATAGAATTATCACGGCTGTATTCATTATCGTGATTTTCCCACGCCAATACGTGGTCCGTGACTATTCCATAACCAATAGTTAAGATAGGAACAAAAACAGAAATTAAAATAGTAGGCAACAAGGTCAAAAATGCTTTACCTGGTCCATCATATATCTCGGATAAAAATATTTCGAGAGCAAAACAGCCTAATTGATAGCCAATCAAAATGCCTACAAATAACAACGCAATTGGGATAAAAGCAAGTTGCTTAACAAATCTGATTCCTGAAGTATTACCCTTTTTTTCATATGTTGATTTTTCCTCAAACTTTTCGTTAAGCTTCGCCAAGGCTGAAATGTGCTCTTCAATATAATGAGAGTTTTGTACTCCCCAAAAATTAACCAAGTATTGTTGTCTTCTATTCCAGAAAGTAATAAATAGACAACCCCAGATCAAATTGATAAAGGTATATGTTAACAGGAAAGACTTCTTGGATTTAAAATAAGATACAAGTCCAAAAACAGACAAATATCCTAACCACAAAGTGTAGAATTTCAAAAATTCGAAGTATAATGCAATCTGAACTCCAAATTTCTCCTTTATAGTATTAGTGCTGACATCGCCATTAGTGACGTGGGCTTGAAAGTCTTCAACAAAAGTAGATTGTTTCAATGAATCAGTAATAGGAGTAATACTCTGGACAAAGCTCCAGTCACCTTTTCCCACGGTGATACCAACACCACCTACTGATGATGGAGAAGTCAACACATTCGCAATAATTCTCAATTTTTCAGCTGGAGAGTCGTTTTTAGCGGTGACTCCATATTCGTAATTCTTGATCAAATCCTTCTCTATCTCTTCTGCGTACTTATAAGATGCCAATTTCACGAATACTAATAAATTCGATTGACTGTCACCACTAGGTCTAACCTGGGTGTAGAAGCCATTAGCACTCAACCCATTGACCAATTTTTCAATATTGGCCTTGGATTGTGCCTTCGTAGCCCCCGTTTTTGCATTTTCCACCTCAGACAATACCGATATGACAAAGTCCAGGTTCATTTGTTGAATAGGTGTGTGATTACTCATTTTCAACTTGGTTCCAATGTGCTATCTGAGTTATCTGTTTCTATTAATCCTTTGTACACGTATAAATATTGTAAGTGTTCAGGTTAGTTGGTCGAAGGCTTGCTTGCTATGGTGAAATATGGTCATACACTACTAATTGAATCTACAGAACAATGCAACAATACACCAAATTTTGCATTAGCATATGACATGCGGATATCCTCCTGATAGACACTATTCTTCAGTCGCACTTACAGTAACAGCGCCTACAACCCGCCAGAGCCTTGTGATGTCAATGTAATCTTTCCCTTGCGTACTAGATACATAAAATTATCGCATTATTTACGCTATGATCCATAAATAATACTTATTTCTACAATATCCTAGAAATATCTTTCTATGGAATTTATATTATGTGTTCATATGCGTGTGTTCACATTTGTATGTTCAATAATTGCAATAGTGTTTGATAATTGTTTGATTAAAATGCAAATGTCATAAAAGGTCATACACAATAATTTTGTGTAATTTTTTAGAATTTCTATATAAAGACTGCGTTGCACCCTTGGTTACGCTAACCTCTTATCGCCTACAGCAATAGTTATTCTCAGAAGAATGGTCATTAGTCAACATTTTTTAGCTTTTAAAGCATACATTTAACAGGTATGTTTATGACTAACATCTAGTGTTTTTAGACCAAAGGAAGACAAGAAACTAAGGGATTCTAAAGGGTATTCGCAGTTGTGTGATGATTTTAATTGATACAGAGTTCTACTTCTTATTAGTTACGATTATTTTTATTAATCCGTATTTTGTGATAAGTCCGTATTTGTGTCGATTTATGAGTTAAAAGCGCAAGGTTTTGTTTTCCAGTAAATGTGTTACGGGATTAGTGAAGGCCAAAGTAGTGTTTCCGAAGTAGTGTTTAAGTAAGTGTTTTAGAGTGTGGCAAAGAGATTCCGTGTGTGAATAGCCCCAGTAAATTTTAGAATGTCGATTGAACATCGAAATGTGTTAAGTATGAGAAAGGTCCCTATTTGTTTTGGGTAAGGAAGTGATGCAAGCGTGGCTCACGCCTTTCTTGCATGTTTTAGATCTTGTGTATGATCCAGTTTTTAATCCCTGTTTGTGATCCCAGTGTATGATCCAGTTTTTAATCCCTATTTGTGTTCCAGTTTGTGCCCCTATGTTTTCCTATGTTGTGAATTTATCAGAAGTGTCTCAATTCAGTGTATTATTGGTTGATTTCAATTTCCAGTTGTTTCAACATCATTTTTAATCAGTGTATTCAGTAAAGTTTTTTCATCATAACCTCTGATTTTGAAGTATTTTTATGATCGGCGAGCGCCTACCAGTTTGTTTGAAGAATTTAATTAGTCTGTCTTCTCTAAGGTCAGTATGTTAATCATTTATTTGATTGTGAAATCTTTAGAATTGTTTCCTTTCTTTGGTCTAAGAATCCTAAGTGTGTTAGTCATAAATATATCATTTAAACATAAAGTTTTAAAATACATTTGAATATATGTCATCAACGTATATTTTTCAATTTCTTATCTAACTATGTAGTGCCTATGTATTACCATTCAATGTAATTTCTTCCAACCACTCTGAATACCCTAACTCTGCCACTCTTCATCTCGCTCATTTTATAAGTTTCTTTCTTGATGTGACCAGCATTGTCCAGTTCTATGACCTTGAATTTATCCTTCTTAGGGTCATAGTCAGTAACTATCGCAGAAAATACTTCTCCCTCTCCAACTGTGATTGATTTGTTGCCTGTCAATCCTTTATGAACACTGAACTTACCTTGCTTGATACATAATATATCACCTGGTCTAATTTCTTCAATTCTAGCGATATTGTGATTACTATTATTCCTGTAAATAGTTACACCATATGTCTTATTCCCAATTGGTGATAAAACGTTAGCATCATGTTTTATGAGAGAAGAAAACACCTTTCTGACAATACTTTCATTTAATCTAGTTCCAACCAATGAGCTTGTAATCGAAGTTATCTTATTCCCGAACTCACCGTACGACTTATCTAATAAATCTTTTCTGATAATTGGTATTGGCTTAGTGAAATGGTTAATCAATTTTATAGTAGATCTAGGGTCCTCGCTTTCATATTCTAGCTCAAAAACTAGTTGCGAAAGATCATTAAATAAAATATAATAATCACGGTAATTAATTACCCTATTCCCTCTTTTAGTAATCGAGTTAGAGTCAATTTCGTAGATCAACTCGCTTCCAATCTTAGACTCTAATGATTCCGGCAAGTTTCCCTTCAACCACCAATTCGAATTACCATTGATGTTACCAATCTCATATTCCAATTCACTACAAGCTGCTTCTGCTTGAGTTTGCTCTTGATGCGATTTAGCTGATCTTGATCTGTTTAGACCACCTGTATTAGATAAGTCACTTGAATGACGTTGATGAGAGGGTCCAAATGATGAACTCGTCGGAGTCTTAGTTAGTGGTGCCGGGGACACAACATACGCATCTCCTATATCTGTACTTGCGCGATGCGGACCACGCGAGGTATCGACTGATGGTATTGGTGGAGGGTTGAAGCTAGGATGAGTATTTGGGATAGGAGGAGGAATATCTGGCATTGTAGATGATCTAACAGGGTTTTTCTGGTTGAAGGAAAACTCATTTTCCTCATCATCATAGTTGTAGTCATCAACATTAAACTGCTCATCCGCTGGTGAGACTTCATTGTCTTCATCATCTTCAGGTATTGAATGACCACCGGACGATATATCTTTACTTCCTGGAAGTGGAATGCCTCCAGTAGATGGAATTGGCGGTGGTGGAGCTCTTTGGGGTGATGAAGGAATTGGCGGTGGTGCTGTTCTTTGAGGTGATGAAGGAATTGGAGGTGGCGCCGATCTTTGGGGTGATGATGGTACTGGTGGTGCGGTAGATCTTTCCACACCAGTAGTAGGTATAGGAGGTGGTGCTGGTCTTCCAGATGGATGCCCAGATGGAGGCGGGATTGAACTCTCGGAAGGATGTGAAGATGGAACCTGAGGAGGTTCCTCAAACGTTTGACTAGGGCGTGATGATGGCATTGTTGGAACTGGGTCTGCTCTTTCCAATGGAGTGGACGTTGGAATTGGAGGTGGTGGGGCGCTTTTTGGATTAGATGTAGCATCATCCAACTTACCAGTATGACTTCTTCTCACAGAAGCAATTTCATCTGATTGTACCTTAGGTTTGTCAGATAAGTCCTCATCCGCTTCATAGCCAGTTGGTTCCGCCTCTAAAGTTGATTTCGACAATTTGATATCCTCTTCCGGCAGGAAATTCTTTCTGTCAGTCTCAAATGTATCATCAGTTCCGTTATCTAATCCAGAGACATTTGGTGCAGGTACAAGAGGCGGAAGTGCATTGACTGTTTCTGGATGTATTTGCGCTTGCCCACTTTCTGGAAATCTACTATCAGATTCGGTAAAATCATCTTCCTCTAACATTGACGATGAGTCAGGAATACTTGGCTTCGAAACAGGATGCGGTTTATCAGTCGCATCATCAAATTCTTCATCATAAGATCCAACAGACTTAGGTCTATCAACTGCAGATTCTTTATTTAAGCTTTTAGGTAAAGACTCTGGGTTTGCAAACGGCATAATAGGTATAGCTTGGGGAAGTGGATGATCATTTTCAGCATTTGATCTTGGCATCTCATGGGACCCTGTCTTACCATCATGAGCCGGCTCTTTGGTCTTTTTGGATGGCGCCGCCGCAGGTTGCCCGAAAGGAGCTGCCATACCCATCATTCCGAACATATTTCTACCCCCGGATATTTTAGCCATACGCTCAACAAGTCTTTTTCTGCGCAATTCCTCGTCATCAGATTCTTCCTCTGCTTCATCCTCTTCGTCGGCATCTTCCTCCCTTGGAACTTCAGTTCTTAAGCCTTCCTCGGAGTCATCACCCATGTTAGATTCATGAATAGGAGCAGTGATATCTCGATCTTCAACATCAGGGATATACTCCGTATCATGATGTCTTTCTGCATAAGATCCTCCTGTGGCCATGCTGTCAATAGATTTACGTTTCCCCGGTATGCTATCGACTGATTTCCTTCGATCTCCAGTTGCTACACTATCAATTGACCTTCTGCGATCTTTCGGAATCGTCTCATGTTGCTCTTGGGTTTCTGGGATATGAATTGGGGCCAGTGCTTCAGCTTCTTTTTTCTGTTTCATTCTTTCTTTTTCTTCAGCTGCCTTTTGCTTTCTTTCTTCCTTCTTCTTCACCGCGGCAGCTTCTCTCTCGGCTTCTTCTTGCTGGCGTTTTTGTAATAGCGCTATACGCTCCTTCAAGCTGACTTTTGGCTCTTCTTCTTCGGGTGCCTCATCTTCGCCCTTGCTGGCGGTGGTTCCCTTAACAATTTCATCTTCATTAACAACATCGTGGCGGGCGTGTCCAATGATATTGTAATCGTCTCTTGGTTTGACAGGTGGAACATACGACGACTTTCCCGATGCCAAAAACTGTTTCTTGATGCTGTATGGATCGTTGATCTTTTGGTTAGGAAAAACGCCAGGCATAGATGGCTTAGGCGGACTCTTAGTGGATGCTTCCTGCTGGATACTCTCCTTCTTGGTATCTGGAGATTTCATTGTGTTTCCAGAAGATGCTACTCCTTCATCTTGTACAGCCGCTGAATCATCCAGGGGTTGCTCCTTTGCATTAGCTCCCTTCGCCTCCAATGGCCCAGATCCTCCAGTACTTCCACTTTCAGGCTTTGTATCTCCTAAATCGCTATTATCAACCTCAACAAAGTTCTTAGGGAACATACCGCTCTTCCCGTCGTATGTACCAGAGTACCATTCTTCATCTTCGACTTCTGTCACAGTGATCAACTGCCCCACAGGAAATGATAAATCGTCCTCGTAATCCGATTTATACTCAAATATTGCTTTAACTTTAAATGGTGCCTTATGTTCTGTCATTATCTCGTCCTAATCTGTACCAATTGAGTTAAATTCACACAATCAATATACAATTATAACCCTATCTATTATACAATTTCATTCAATAAGCTCCGCCGGCGCAATAAAGCTATGAGGCGGTTTTGTGTCATTTCGTGTCTTTATTTATATTAACAGAATATTTCAATTGTCTTCATGATATAACTGTTTCATTAGCGCTAATGGATTGATTATATATTAGAATGACAAGTTTGAGCAATGGACACAAATCGTCTTCTAGCTTAACTATTACTGACAAAGTTATAAAATCATTTGAGCCAGTCAAGACATTTAATTATCATAAAGGAGCGAGCATAACTTCATTAGACTTTGATGATTCGGGCCAATACTTAATTTCAGCAGGAATAGATAAGTCAATTCAACTATATGATGTTCATAAGGGTGTACATCATAATGATATACAATCTCAGAAGTATGGGGCACACTTAGCAAGGTTTACGCATTTAGAATTGAACTGTTTATATGCATCGACCCCGGCTGCAGACAAAAGTATCGATAATGCCATTAGATATCTCTCGTTGTCAAATAACCTGTACTTGCGGTATTTCAAGGGGCATAAGGATCAGGTTACTTCGATCGAGGTGCATCCAGTGCTGGATCTTTTTTTGAGTGCAAGTTTGGATCGTACAGTGAAGTTATGGGACTTGCGATCGACATCGCCCGTTGGAAACTTGGATGTAGGACAGCCCACAGCTGTAGCATTTGATCCCAGGGGGGTTGTATTTTGTGTGGGTAAATGCCCTCATCCATCAACAGGAGCGAATGTGGGAAGTATTGCGTTCTATGATATGACCAATTTCGATAAGAAGCCATTTTTAGAGATAGAAATAAAAGTACTTGCAGGACAAACGTGGAATAAACTAGAGTTTTCCAATAATGGAAAGCTTTTGTTAATATCGACGGACTCTTACGAACATTATGTGCTTGATGCATTCCTGGGTCAGTTGTTGACTACTCTACAAGTCGGACCTGATATCTCTCATGAAGAGTACATTGGAGACTGGATGACATTTAAGTATCCTTACTCTGGGTCAGCTTCGTTCTCGCCATGTGGCAAGTTTGTACTTATAGGATCGCCTAATATGAATGTCCTGGCGTTCGACCTTACTAATTTAAAGCATACCGATGGTAATACTCATTCAGTTTCTGATCTCGACAATCCGAAAACTTTACGTCCATTTCAAATTTTACCTACAAACCAAGGCATTCCAAAAATTGTTGCATTTAATCAAAAATTATTAACATTTGCCACTGCAGACTCGGTTGTGTCATTATGGCAGCCCAGATTACCTGATCCTATATAATTCATCTTAATCACAATACATAATTAATATCATTGACTTTTAAAAGTGCGCATTGCAGTACTGATAATCTTTTTTTATATACAATTACTAGTTTATAGTGTTCATGTTATTGTCGATAGAAATATGAAGATAAGGGGATGTTCAATCGAAACATTCAGATTAAAGCATGATACGGTAGTTCAAAATTTTTTATTGAAATCGTCAACGCCAATAAATCTTGTAAATATCAAGGCGCCGATGTCTCAAAGAACAGTGCCAATTCTACCAAATCAGTATATAGTGGACAAAACTGAAACATACCAAGCAGACTTTAGGAACTATAAAGAATTTGGGAGGCGTCGTTATAGTAAAGAATACTATCCAAGCTATATACGAAATATTTTGCCCGAAAATCCTACTGACATTAAAGGTGTTGATCAAGCAGTATACAAACATGTCCATAGAAAGCAAATACTAAAAAAGTTGCCTACTTTATTATCAAGCAAGTTCTTTACATTGAAATTCTTTCCGGAACTGCACCATGTATCGTTGGCCAGAAAGTCTAATATAGCATATACATTCACAAATCGTGGAGGCTTTAATCTTAACGATCCTCTGCTTGCCAAATCATTAACAGAATATAAGGGAAAGTATAAAAAGCTTGCTTTTTTTCAAGAAAAATTATGCCCGCTAGACACAGCCGTCGGTAGGGCGAAATATAGAAAGTTCATAAAGCGATCATTATTCCAATCGTTGCACAAGTTTGTGAAAACATCAAGAGATTTGGATCAAGTAAGAGGCGTGTTTTTTTCAGATTTTCAATTGTTCCAGCTACAGAGAGTGATAAACAACAGATAATGAAAGACCTTGATCTGGCATTGAATATACTATTGAAGCCTGACCTGAAGTATAATCTGCAACTTTTGGGTGTTGTAAAAGAACAAAACAAAGCCTTCAAGAATGGTCAACTTCTCGTTAAAGAAGTGAAAATGTACAATACAATAGGTGCTAAAAATGTTCCAGGCTATTATCCAAAACTTCCATTTATAAATAATCTTAAAAAATTATTATGATATTGTACATAGTTTACATTTATATATTACACCATAACGGAAAAGCTGTTTCGAAACAAAACGAACTATCAGGTTCAATATCAGAATACTCGTACCGAAAAGCGTGTAACCAAATACCTTCTTCATCTACATTGATATCTGAATCGAACAAAGGGCGATTGCAAATATCGCAAGTTTTATTGTACTGGTCTTTCATATCTTTGACCATCTCGGATCTCAACACTACCAATTTATTAACTTTTTCTTGTATCTCCGCTGTTCCAAATTTTGATGCTTTTACAATATCCACTTCTGTTTCGTCATGAACAAGATTATGTGATTTGTGTTCTTGAAATGAAGGGAAATCAAGATAGATATTTTCATACATTTCTAATTCGATTTGGTTTCTCAAACGTTGTATGTGCTGTTTTGTCGAATTATTCTGCGGATTGTACTCGTAATCATTAACTATCGGATGCCCTGCATTTCTTAAATGAATTCTTATTTGATGCATTCTCCCTGTTACAGGTTTGCATAATACGATACTTTGGTTTAGTTCTTGATTATACTGCAACCGTTTAAAAATTGTTGTCGAATTGGTGGGTATATTTCTCGAATTTGATGGCATAATGTACCCACCAGACGTATTCACTAAAAATATTGGACAGTTCATAGCAAACTCATCTTTTGGAAATTCGCCCATTACTCTAGCCACGTATTGTTTCGAAATTCTATCCCTATTGTTATTAATAATATTCAGGTATTTTCTTCCTCCCTCCTGAGTTGTCCCTAATATCAAAATTCCTGAAGTAACTTTGTCCAATCTATGACATGGCCATATATTCTCTAAATTTAAATCATGCTTCACGATCTCGGTGATCGAATTATATCTATAATTACCTTTAGGATGTGTTGGAATCCCTGCAGGTTTATCCACTACAAGTACTTCATCATTTTCAAATACTATGCTAAGGTCTGTTGAACTCTGACTGGTATATTTAGTAGTTTTCTTCACCAATTCAAGGCCTTGCGCAACACTTGGTTCATGAATATGCTTCATATTGTATATTAAATCATGGGATTGTATTTTCCTTTCTACTAGGTTATTCCAACCTTTAATTTCAATTGGTCCTCCTTTCATCCCTTGATTACTCGATATGTATATTATCTTATTGGTAATTTCCTGCTTAGTTACATCCGAGTCTTGACCCAATTCTGTTGTGAACACTTCATGCACGGTCTTACCTATCCATCTTGATTTAACATGCGTCTTATAAGTGAAGTAATAAGGCTTTACCTTTCGTAACCCATTTTCGAAATAATAAATGGTTGAAGTTGACATCAATTTTCCAAACCAGTCATTGAATATTGACTGATTTACTTTTTCAATGCACTCGCAAAAAAATTAAATGATAATTCGAAATATGAATGTATTACTATATATATGGTGATATTTAATACAATACATGTAGGTATAAAATCTCAAAAGCCAAGCGAACGTAAAACCAAACAACTAACTTAAATAATGGTATTTGAAATAGAGAATTGAAGAATAACCAGGAAAGTGCCGATCTTTTTGAAGTCAGACAATTATTTTAATAAATAACAACAAAAATTAATGTTATAAAGAAGGATCGATATTCTTGCTCGATCCATCAGTAAGAGTTTCTAAGTTTAGCTTGATAAAACATTTTGCTTTTCTTGACCAATGACATTTCCAGCAGGGTCATAGGAACAAATGATGTATAAACCCCAGTTTTCAGCAGAACAATCCTTGTAAGCGCAACCGACTTTAGTTGTGTCTTTCCAGACTACTTGAGTGAAATGATTGTACTCATTTGCAGTTGAGTAATCATAAGTTTCACCTTCATCGTACCAGGCCTTAACAGCGGATGGACCATCCTTATATCCACAGGCAAGGTTTTCACCAAACTGACCGTGTGTATGGGTCAAAACACCAGAACAATCATAATTGTTTGCAACTTTTTGTGCGTAGTTATAGGCGTCAGTATCCCAGGATAATGGTTGTGCCAGGTGTTTTGCTCTATCGGTATTATGGGCATCTAAAATGTCTTTAGCAAAGGACTCATCAAGACTTGGTGAGTCATAAATTTGATCATAAATGCCAGATGAAGATTCCGAAGTAGAGGTACTTGATGAACCGGAGGATGAAACGGTTGATGTTGATAAGGTAGATGGTGAATAGGTGGAAGAACTACCTGAGTCCGACCCTGAACCTGAACCTGAACTTGAGCCTGAACCTGAACCTGAACCTAAGCCACCCAAAAGTTCATCTAAAAAGCTACCTGAAGATCCCGTAGAAGTACTAGCAGCACGAGTAGATGATGTGGAAGCTGGTGCACTTGTAGATGTACTTGAGGCTCCACTTGAAGATCCAAACATTTTACTGAGCCATTGCTTCATCTTCCCACTTCCACCCGAGAGTAAAGAGTCCAAATTAAACTTGCTTGTCGAGCTGCTGCTCGAACCTGAACTAGTTCCAGTAGCTGCCGTAGCAACTGATGCAGCAGCTGTGGTAGAAACAGCAGCGACTGTAGCCTGTGTGGCCTCTTGATCATAAATTGACCCATCCGTGTTGATAACTTGAGTTGCAGTTTGCCACACGGTTAAAATTTGTGGTGCTGGTGCAGCAGCGACCATATTAGTAGCGGATATAATCGCCAAAGCCGTTGATAATGTAGATGCTTTCATATTTGTATTCAAATGCAATAATTTATTTTATATTAGACGACAGAATAGTGAACATTTTAAACAAAATTTTCGCTTGACTAGAAATTCCTACGTTAAATATGGATTTCATTACGACATCTCCCCACAATGCAAATGATTCAGATGTTTATCCTTCTCATCTCAAGCCTCTACGGAATTTACTGATTTAGTACATTAACTGAGCTGCAAAATCTTCTTTCTCGGTGAAGAAGCCTAACCAAACGCATGAAGAGGAGATCGCACTTTAATTTCATCCTAAATAGGAAATAAATTTAATTCCAATTAATACCCAAATCGGTAAGTCGCACTAATTAGGAAATGTAATTGTAAACATATGCCAGTTCAAACTACGAAAAATCGTCTCACCATTGCATTCACTTGTCATTTGGAAGCATGGTTCTGTCCACAGATCCCGGGCAGATCTAGAGACTGAAATTGACTCCAAAATTGTTGTATCCATGTATTTCGGTCTAGTCGTAAGCGTGCTAGTGACTAGGATAACAGACAGAAAATGATTTAATAGTGACACATCTAGCCTTTTGAAGCTTAATCGAATGCCTGTGAATATTTACTTTCAGTGGAGACAGTAAACAAAAATAAAAGTCGGCTTCTTGATTTCAGGCATTTAAAAATTTCCGCATACGAACATTGATAGCAGCAAGACTACCGAATTAGGAAATTTTGAATGATAGGTACGAAGTTAGGGTTTTTCAAAAGCCTATTTATGTAGGTTGTTAAAAGAACAATTTCAAAAAATATTTCTTGACATTTAGTGCCGTAGAAGATAAGTGATATAACAAACTATTAATCGAAGGGGGTTTCTTACTATGATTGCAAATAATTCCTTTTTCTGGCAAATGCGCATTAAATTGTAAAAAGTAAAGCCCTGAGCATGGGAACATATCTGCAAACGTAGTCAAACGTAGAAAATGCTAAGAATATAAGGTCGAAGGGGGAAAAGGAATACGAAGTAGAATCTTGTGATTTTATATGTATATATGCTGTGTACTTAGGAAGAGAGACTACTATGCACTAAAATTTGCCCTCCATGATTTCTTTCATGGATGAAGTTATGATTTCGGGGATACCACCCCCGGTACACCTTACTACAACTTCGAATTCTCTGCCAATGGCATCGATACTTTTGATCGTAGTTAACACACCATATTTTGACTTCTGGGTATGTAAGATACCGGCCCCCATTACCAATATGCCTTGGTCACTGTTATCACTTGTATTATAGACGACTGCAAATCCCAATCTGGACAATAATCTCACAACATTGGATGAATTATATCTGTGTGATGTGAAGATTCTTGTCGTTGACTCGCCTTGTTCAACACCTAATAGTTCACCAATTTGCAACCATCTTTTCTTAAAGTCATCAAGATCTGTCATAGCTGTAGACGACACAGTTTTCAATAGTATAACTGGGAACTTCAAATTCAATTGGTTGAATGAGCCCCCACACATAAATGTTAAGGATAAAATAGGACTTTCATTATTTTCAACCACATTTCGGATCTTGATATCAATTTCCATTGTCGTTTTATCAGAAACGGTCAGTTTTGGTAACTGTTTTAGATTCACGACGTAGTTGGGGTCTTCAGATTTTGTCAAACTTTCGATATTTAGTACTCTTAAATTGGTGATATCTACTCCAGTTGTCTTAGCACAGTTATTGATAATAGTAAATTGTAGTGCCAACTGGTGGCGATCTTTGATGATTCGGTATATAATTTTAACGAACTGATTTTCATAAAAGATACCAGCATCATAATGACACATACGGTGATACCCGCCATACCAGTTAGGAGATAAGACAGCTGGAGTATTTTTATCGTCATCTCCGAATGGATTTATTTCTTCCTTACTTTCTTCTTTAGAAAGATCGTCATCCTCTTCCCTAGTTGAAGGTAAAGCAACAGATGAGGTAGATGGATAGTGATTATAAAGCTGTTTGGATGCAAGATGCTCTGAGCTACTGTTTGCCAAAGATAATCTATTACTCGCAACGGTACCATTATTTACATTGTTAATTTTCAGAGCATTAACAAATGACGTTGATCTGTTCCTATTACTGGCAATCTTTTGAACGCTACCAATCCTCGACATCAAAGCACTAGTCTTTCTTTCAAATATGGGTAATGGTCTAACCGCCGCAAGTGCTAGATTTCGATTATCTGCATTAGTTGCCAATTTAAGATATTCGTAAGCTCTTGTTTGAACCTCAATGTCTATAGATTGAGTCTCTGCTTCAAAAAGATCCACGATATCTGCCACAAAGTCTTCCTTAGAGAATTTGACAAAGAATTTGAAAAAGGTAGTAAGTAGCATTGCTCTAACAACCAAGGAAACACGGAAGTATGCCTCATATAATAATTGATACTGGATGGAGGGTGAGTATTTCTCGGGGGACCCATTTGGTTCATGATCGGTTTCTTCATCCTCTCCCGCTACTTGTCCAAATTCACCTAATATGAAAGCTGCTACCTTAATGAGGTTTTCCAGAACTGTATTTATAACGGGTTGTGATTTGGTATGTCCATTCGCTACTAGCGGATCTTCTAATAGTTCGATAATAAGCTTACACGACTTCAGTTGAAGGCTTTCATTATTAACAATAATTTGAACTATTCTTTCCCAGACCTCATTGCTAATGTAGCTTGTGCCTTGAGAATTTCCACCACCTATAGATAATAATTTCAACATAGTGGTAACATACCACGTAGAATCAGTCGCAAATCTCTCAGCTAAAACTGCGATTTTGATTGCAATTTCTGATCTTAAACTAAAGTCAGAATAAGGGAAATAGTGGAGCAACTTGTTGATAACTGTTTCGTAAGTTTGTGGGTTACAAACAGTATATAATAAATCAAGCGATTTTCTTCTAACAGAAATGTCCTTGTCAGTTAAGAGGTCGAATAGTTTTAACAAATGGTGATCAAATCTTTGGGATATTGAATGGTTATTATTATCGGGGCTTGCTCTTGCCGATAATTTAATTAGAGCGTCCAATGCTAAATATCTTGTATTGGTTTCATTAGAGTCCAACAATAGTATAGATGCATTAATAGCGCCAGCGATAGCATCAGGTGAAGCATCAAGAAAAACCGCAAGGGATACTGCCTGGAATAAAATTGCACTTTGAGAATTTCTATCAGGAAGGCCTTTAATCGGTTTCGATGCATTGTGAATAGACCTTGATACAACTTGTCGCAAATTATTTAAAGTTTCGGAATCTAGATCAGTAACTTGTAAAACAGGGATTTGGTAACTATTATGATCTTCTGTTGTTAGGAGGAAGAAATGCTCAACCACTTGAAGCAATTTGATGATTAGCCATGGTGCTGGGGAATTATAGTAGAAATACGTGTCCGGACAGGTATTTCTTATAACCAATCCATATAATCGTTGGGATATAGTGGGCACCACCGACTTTACAAATTGCGGCCTTATGGTTATCAAGAATTTGACTAATGGAATACAGGAGGTAACAACGCCTAGGTCTTTGTCATCGATCAATGTCAACAACCGTGGAATCCAGTTATTGTTACTTAGTATAACCTGGGGATATAATTTGAGAAGCGACAAAAGCCCCAAAGCCGCTTTTTTCTTGATGAGCAGACTTTGGATAGGTGAGCAACTTAACGAATACACTATATCGATCAATTCTAACCATTCCTTGGCCATTTCATCCGATTCATTCACCACCGGATCACTCAAAAAGTCACCATCATGGAATACATTGAACTTCGAGCCAATGAACTGGATCGCTATACAATTGGCATCTTCGTTATTTGACTGCAAATCTCTCACAAGAGGCTCATGCATAATCTCCAACAAGTCATTCATATACTCCCTCACCAGCTGGCTGGCCTCTCGATTAACGAGCACCGAAACCCCCAAGTATCCCACTTGCTTCTCTGAAAAATGTGTCGACTCAGCCAACCGTAATGCTTCTCCCAACCCCAATTCCTTAGCATCCGCAAACCCTAACATGTAGATATACATAAGCTTACAAATGTATTTCTTTCTCTGATATCCATTCAATGATTGTGGGGAACGAAATTTGTTTTGAATGTTGTTCATCTCTAGATTGATCCGCTTATTTTCTTCCTCCAAGTCTTTGGTATTCCGCAAATCCAAAAAGAATTGGGACAATCCTTTCATTTGTGTCTGCATTTTTCTTAAACTCTCCGAGGGTCTGCTTTTCTTCTTGAGAGAGCTATGTGTACAATTATTGCTATAACGCTATTCGTAGCGTCTCCAGGCTTCAACCATGCCAGAAGTATAAGCATTTTGGCGCGTGAGATCCGAAGCAGTTTGTGTAATGTCGTCCAACATTCTCGAACAATGTCGCAAGCGCGAACCTGTGTCGTGGGGCTCAAATGCGACAAATGTCTACTGATACTTCCATGTCGTGTTACACAAAACTCGGGGGAAATTTTCACCAGGTCGTGTGATTCACAACATTTTATTTCTCGTTTTCATTGGTTCGACCGATTCTATCGGCCTAGGTTACGGAAAACACTAGTATTGTTGATATTGAAGGACATAGTAATTCAATTACGTAGAACTTAAAGCCAATAAGTAAGAAAAGAATGTCATCAGTTGCAAAGAGTGCTACCACTAAGGTAAACTGGGCTAAGATCACTTCCACTTTAGGATTAACCGGAAACACAGCATCCTCGTTAACTGCTTTCAAGAAGAGAAATGAAGAAGCTAGAAAGGAACACTCAAGTTTGTCACAACAATCAACCGAAGTTGACTTCAACCACTATAGATCCATTTTAAGCAACTCCAAGGTTATTGATGAAGTTGAAAAGGCCGTTAGTGCATTCAAGCCAGTTACCTATGATGTTTCTAAGACTTTAAAGACCATTGACATCTTTGAACAAAAGGCAGTTGAAAACGCCAAATTGACCGAAAAGTCTGTTTTGGACGAAGTCAAGCAATTACAAGAAACCTTGAAGGATATTGAAGGTGCCAGACCATTCGACCAATTGACTGTTGATGACGTTGCCAAGGCTAGACCTGACTTGGACGAAAAGGTCACCTACATGGTTAAGAACAGTAAGTGGGAAGTCCCAACCTACAAGGAAAAATTCGGTGATTTGACTGTTATGTAAGAGAGCACCGTCCTGTGCTTGTTATACTACAATGATTTATACATCAGTTTTATACGTTACGCTATTTTTTCAATATATGAATTAGATAATTGACTCGTAGCCATTACTTCTAAGCGATTCCAATCCACTGGCCAGCCAGTTTATTATAGATTCTACTTTTCACGTCGGAGCTACTGGATTTATGTATGAGATAGTCAAATTCCATGAGATATCTTTGGGGTAGGAAGGTAACGGAGTCCAAATCGGTTACTTCACAGTCGGTGGCACCACTATAATTATGACCTTTCTCAAATGAATTGTTCCACGATGATGTGATGATATTACATTTGTATTTCATCCGAATTTCTTGTAATATAGATATCAATTTGATGTAGTATTCATGTCCCGACGTCTTGGTTGTGTATCCGAGCTGTTCATGGTATTTTGGATCGCTGTTCAACAACTTCAAATCCCAATAATATACTGAAAGGTTATCTACTATCACTGTATTGATAGTCTTGTTGTGCAATGCATGCTCAGTATCTCCATCGGTTCCAACCGTCAATATGCCTTGCAAGTTTTCTAATAGCTGATCCATCGTTGCGAAATCACTGCTTACGATACACTCGTCATCCAAATAGTTAAACCCATCAAGACCACAATCAAAAATGTAAACGGCACCATCACCAACCAAGGACCTAAATGTCTCTCTCTTTGCCTGTTTGTCATTAAAGAGAAAATGACATGTTTGACTTAAAAGCTGCACCTGCATTCCATCATGGCTCTCATAATCTGCTCCACTTAGCGGAATAATCAACTTCTGGTTCACCAATTGAATAAACTAACCGTTAGTAAGTCTGATTTCTCCACATCCTAGCTTCCATACATACGTGGGACAATTGTTTGTTTCTCATAAGCGCAATATGGCTTTAAATTACCCTTCGGACTCGTCGCACTTTTTGTATGTTTCTTAAGTCTACAGAAAACCCTGTAATTTTTTGCATTCTCTTCGATCGCTCGTTCGGCAGCTATAATAAGCCTTTCTACATCCAAATATGGCGTGGCATGTACATGTGTCATCATGTTATACCTGACATTTGTAGCAATCTTGTTCCGAAGGGCCTGGAGCTCTATAGTACTATAGGTAGAAGGCGCAGGCATCTAAAGGCCATCGTATAGCAACTTTCGAGGAAAATACTACTTATTTTGGCTCACTACCAATATGAAGATATTCCTTCCATAGTATATCGTACACATTTCCTATAAGATCCCTAAAAGTTACCAGTAATATACATTAGTTGTATTTTGTAATATATTTTTGATGATTGGACGGTTGCTACATTTGAGCCGATCCTCATTGCGCTACTCAGCAATTATATACATAAATACCTACAGATTTCCACCGAGAGAGATTCAGTCCCTATGTGGTATCATATTGTAGAGTTAGACACCTATGTACGCTAGGAATAGTCTACCGATTCGTAATTATATCGGTATAAAGCATCAGCTCTCGTCAAGCGATGGCTTCAAATTTTGAGCGCAGGGCAATTCCACGTTTGTTATGCTCAGCATAATATGGAGCAAAGAAATTTTATAGACAAAAATAATACAGTCTTTGTTTAGAGAAAAATTCTTAAAGCACAATACCGTTAGTTTGTGAAACACTAATACAGATATATATCCCAACGGTAAGAATTGTTAGTCATCAGGTGTTTTCGTGAAAAACCAATCTAGAAAAAAAACGAACTAGCATAATCGAAATTGTTTACCACATCTTGTTGTCTCTAGTGAAAAACCCATCTAGTGATCATTTGGATTCATATATTACTAAATATACTATTGCATATGCTCTTTCAGTGTGTTGAATTACTATATATTATTTATTTTCATTGAACTCAAGAGAAATAATCCATGAAAATAAGTATACGGAAGTTTTTATGGGAGGTGACAGTTCCTATCCATCGGATGTTGCTACGGGTTTATGTTTCGTGGCTTAATGGGCGAACGATGTTACAGTTGATAGGAAACTTTTGTTTTAATTGTTTCTTCCTCTGTCTCTGGGTGGTGATCACCCAGTCTGCCAAACGAATACCGAAGTCGTTCAGGCCACACATCTACGTAAAATTGGACTTACGACTAGACGACTATATGTTCACTTCAATCTCTGGGTCGATGTTGACGATATATTGTTTGATATCAGGAAGTTGGTTGTTGTATTTGAAATTCTACAGCCCAAGACATATCCATCATTTTTGGGAGGTGGAAACATCCCCTTATTATTCACCATCTTCGGATCATAGTCGTAGCCCGGATATCGAGGATAAAACTGCTACATTTGAGTTGGAAGATATGCGCAAATTACAGGATGATATTCATGCGACAAATGAGTTACTAATCGACCGCCTTAACAAACATAAAGACCAGAAGAGCATGAACCATGGGCATATATCTCCTCCACTTTTGTTTGGTGTTAGCTGGTTTCTTCTAAACTTCCTTTATCAGTTCACAGAAAGTACAAACGTTTTTAAGTTTATCGTGGCTTGGGTCTTTTACGTGGTGCTTTACTTCATAGTTCCCATAATAGCTGCTTACTGGTTGTATTTGTTTCACCCTCCGGGCGCATTGAAGCTCTATGCTTTTGCCATGGGTCTTCAGAACATTGCTAGTGTAATGACACATATAGTATTCCCAAATGCTCCTCCACTATACATCCACTATTATGGTGAAACCAAGGTTCCAGATTATGACATGATTTATGCTGATGGTTTAAGTAAGCCCGGCACTCGTGTTCCTAGCACCATATACCAATCAATATATTATGCCAATTCCAATAAATTTGCGGCAATCCCTTCTATTCATTCTACCACAGCCGTTATGACATTCTTGTTTGTCAGCTACTATTCAAGGAATTCTATCTTAAAGTTTTTGTCATTTGCATTTCTTTTGTTCGAATGGTGGTCAACCCTTTACCTCGAACATCATTACAGATTAGATCTATTCGTTGGCTTAATATACTCCATATGCATATACACATTTTTAATTCATTGGAAAAAGGGTTTTACAAAAGTTGACCAAGACTTCATACGTGCCAGACTTAAGTACGACTTTATTGGTGGCACTACTATGGGTATGAGAATTTTCCAAAATACTAGATTTCAGAAGTTTTTTGATCCATTATTATAGATTCGTTATTGGATTCGCTTTGACATACATATTTTTACTGTGTTTCAACATTAACTTCTTTATTCTGTTCAGTCAGTTGGCTCATTTCCAGCATGTATTATATATAATCTATACACGGAATTTTATAGTTTCTCTAACCAAAGTTGACTACTACTCTGGAGTATCTTGACTCCTACTCTAATAATAACACATCCTAACACCTAATAGTGTGAGGGTTATAATATACATTTTGTTAAATTGAACCTATTTCTGATTATAAAATCTACATACACCTATAGTCTTCCCCATCAATTATTCTCCGCTTTTGTTAAGCCATTAGTTGCAAATTCCCCAGAACCCCATCAATTGTAAATAAAATTGGTGGCGATTGAACCCTTAGATATAGCATGCTGCAAGTAAGCCTCTAAATGTGGGCATCGCTAGTCGCACCGAGTACACTCTAGATGCGAAACGGAATAGCTCAATAGAAATGACTCGAATAATTACGCATTTACATTCCTATTGCGGCAAGAGCGCATTCTATTAGTCATAAACGACACCAAACTGTGGTAGCAAATTTAATAATGCTTATTGACAAACCCCCACTAGCTGTTGAAAAAAAAATTCTAAGAACGCTTCTTCCAAAAAATAACTAAAAACGGAAATCTATGCGAATTCCGCTTCCTTTTTTGCGTTTTCGTTAAAAAAAAATTAAATTTGCGCTTTTCTAACTTTTCACATCCAATATAAAAGGATGCTACCAGGACTGACGCCTAATGAAAAGATACGAAAGTATAGACAAAATAAGAATATTAGAGTGAAGAGATACCTGTTCCTTTGAATTTAAGTTTGAAATGATCGAGTCGAACATTTTACAAGTGAACGCGAATGACAAGGTCAGTCTTACTGTAAAAGATCTAACAGTAGGAGTCAAGAATAGTTCCAAAAAAAGCGATGATGTCGAAGCCACTGGTGGTTCGGTAGGTGAAAAGAAGATTTTGGACGATGTCTCATTCGAGTTGCAAAGCGGTGAGTTGATGGCTATAATGGGTGGTTCAGGAAGTGGAAAAACCACCTTATTGAATACCCTTTCTCAGAGAACCAATATTAAGAATAAAGACTTATCATTTTCTGGGTCGATTGAATACAAAGTGGGAGAAAAGGAAGATACTAAAAGAAAGGTTCGGAATGCATACTTGTTACAAACGGATATATTTTTGCCAGGTTTGACGGTGTATGAAACGTTAATGTTCCAAGCAGACTTAAGATTGCCTCCCTCGGCGACGAAATACGAAAAAGAAGAATTAGTGAACTCCTTATTGACCACATTGGAATTGCAACCAATACGTGATGAAACTATTCTGTCATTCTCCACATATAGTACAAACTTATCTGGAGGAGAACAAAGAAGAGTTTCTTTGGCAATTCAGTTATTGAGTAAGCCATCCATGTTATTCTTGGATGAACCAACTACAGGTTTAGATACAAGTAGTTCGTTGAAGCTTTTGCAAGTCTTAAGAAAGCTTTCTTCGCCGCAATATGGTATTACTATAATTTTATCTATCCATCAACCAAGACTGGAAATCACTGTATTGTTTGACAAAATTTGTTTATTAACAAGAGGAGGTAGAATCGTATACTTTGGTAGTTTGGTTGATAGTAGCAGGTACTTCCTTTCTATCAGGGATGAATCAGGACGTCATATTGAGAACAAATCATCTAATTTTGTGGAATACATTATGAATTTATCTGTCAAAGATACTTCATCCAAAGAGATGGAGGAGATTACTTCCAGAAGAATTGACAAATTAGTAGAGAATTGGAAATCGTACTCTAAGACCAATGAAAATAGATCGAAGTTATCTTCGAATGAAGTAAGAAAGCTTTTTGAAGCGAACATAAAATTGTTTGATAAAGGTAAAGAAAATAGAATTTCATTTTTACAAGAACTTATTGTTCTGACTAAGAGAACATTTATTTTAACATATAGAGATAAAGCTTCGTTACTTGCATTAAATTTGGTTTGTCTTCTTTTGGCAATCGTTTGTGGTTGGATGTTTTATAAACCTAAAGCTGATTTAGCAGGTATTAGATCTATTACTTCAAGTCTTTATGTTATGTTGGAAATCATAGGCTTTGCATTCATGTTTATTGAAATGGAAAGATTGTGGGCGGCTGATGGAACATTTTTCTTCAGGGAGTATAATGAGAATTGTGTCAGTATTCCTGGATTTATTCTTTCTAGAAGGTTGGGGAAATTTTTATTAGAAGACTTTCCAATATCAGTTGTTTTTGCTGTAATATCATACTTCATGTGGGGATTAAGAATGTCTGAGGATGGAGGGAGCCATGATGCTTCATATTTCTTCATTTATTTTGCAGTTACTCTTTTGACTGAGTTTTGTGGAATGGCAACAGCTATGCTATCTTTTTCCCTTGCCATGGATTTTTCGATTTCTTCTTTGATTTTGTGTGTAATCTATCAATTGCAAAATAGTGCATGTGGTTACTTCGTTAATGCAGCAACTATGCCTGTTTATGTTAGGTGGATAAAATACCTCGCCTACTTTTGGTATGCATTTGGTGCTTTGACTGCTAATCAATACACAGACTGGATGGGTGATTGTCCATATGATAAAGATGATAGCAGATGCGAAGAATATTCCGGAAATTATCAATTAGACCTCTTAGGTTTCCCTAAAGGATGGATTACTGAACCAATTTGTATTTTGTTAGCCTGGGTTGTGGGATTCTATATCTTGACAGGACTAGCATTCCGCTTTAAGAATCGTGACATAGCAGTTGCGAAAACTAAGCAAAATACAATAGGGGGTGAAGAAGAAACTGAAGAAGGTAAAGAAGAAAGCAGTGATAATGCTGGGTTACAAAAGAATGAAAAACCACGCATGGAAGATATTGAAAGGACCTCTTTAGCATCTACGGATGAAGATATTAATATCCATATACAGAATATTAGCTTGTCTGTTGTACTTCAAGAGAGCAAATTTATGGTCATAAGGAAAGAAATCGGCGAGCACCAGTTATTAAACAATGTATCTGCCCACTTCAAAGCCGATAAAGTTAACGTTATAATGGGTCCTTCTGGAGGAGGTAAAACTACGTTATTGAACTATCTTTCCAACAGATTATCGAAAGATTCTAAATTTAGGTCCGGTGGAGCCATCAGGTTGAACGATTCACAATATATCACCAACAGTGAATTATCCCTGATATCTGCTTATGTCTCTCAACAAGACAACTCTTTAATATCTAGCTTGACAGTTCGGGAAACCTTATATTATCAAGCTAAATTAAGAATTTCTCAAGAGGAACATCATAAAATCCCAGTAATTATTAATACCTTAATTAGAACTATGGGATTAAATGATTGTGCAGACACTATGATTGGATCAGAGTCTGTTAAAGGTATATCTGGTGGAGAAAAGAGAAGGGTTTCGATTGCAACTCAATTATTGAGTAAACCGAAGATTCTTTTCTTGGATGAGCCTACTTCAGGTCTTGATTCAACTACTTCAGTTGCGGTCTTAGGTTTGTTAAATAATCTTGCAGAAGTTTATGGCACAACCGTCATCATGACAATCCATCAACCAAATGAAGACATGTTCAATAAATTTGGATCTGTCTTATTACTTGCTAGGGGCGGTAGACCAGTTTTCAATGGTAGCACAGCATCTATCAGAGAATACTTATCAGATGCTGGATATCCAGTGCCAAATGATAAGAACATTGCTGATCACATTTTAGATGTAGTTTCACAAAGCTTGGATGAAGATAATACAATTACCCAATCAAGGATTAACTATTTGGTTAACAGATGGGATACGAAACATTCTTCAAATGATACAAATTCTATATTTGTTAATGAAAAAACAATCGACATAGAGAAGTACCAACACAAGAAACTGCCTTTCTTCATAACTTTTCCTGTTATTACGAAGCGTCAGTTCATTAATTCTGTACGCTCCAAGGATGTTTTAATTGCGAGAACCGGACAGACTGTGTTCTTGACAATTATCCATACTTTATTTTTTGCACCCTTGAGAAATACAGAAGATGGTATAAGTAACAGATTGGGTTTGATACAAGAGGTATTGAATTTATACTTTGTTGGTTTCTTTAATAATGTCACCTTATACCCGGTAGAAAGACACATTTTCTACCAAGAATACAAAGATGGAATCTACGGCCCATTAGAGTTTAGTGCATCGTACTTATTAAATGAGCTACCAACCGAAATTATTCCATGCTTATTCTTTTCTGTGTTGTTAGTGTTTGGTGTCGGGTTACCTAGAACTCCTGGAATGTTTTTCAGTATGTTCTTTACTGGTTTTGCTTCCATAAATTGTGGTGAATCATTGGGGATATTGGTTTCGAGTATTTTCACACATTTAGGATTAGCAATAAATATCTTGGCCTCTGTTATTGTTGTTGCTATCTTTATGGGAGGTACTATGTCTTTGTACATGCCTGAATTTTTCAAGGCATGGAATTATATCAACCCAATGAAATATGCAGTTGGTATTTGTGCAAAATTAGGCTTCGCAAACCAAACATTCGATTGTGCTTTAGATAGTTGTACATTGGATACTGGTGATAGTGTCTTGGAATACTATAACCTTGATATTAACTTGGGTGCATATTTTGGTGGGTTGATTGCTTGTTTAATAGTTTATAGATTGGTTGCAATAGGATCAGCCTATGCGAGGGTAAAGTATAGCATCTAGAGTTATCTATTTCATACTAAACATTTTTAATAATTAATGATTTATTTATAATGCATAATATTTATTTAAATGGCGTTTAAAAGTTCCTAGTAGCTTACGTTTTTGTTATATCATTGAGTATCAAGTAAAAATTCATAAAGCAGTTTGAAAATTTTGTCTTCCTGGTTTAGTTCTACAGTACACCAAGAACGAAAATTTATTTGGTCAAGTCGAATAATGAAACGGTTTATCTATGACTCCTTGCTCAAATGCCATTAGTGTAGGGTAGGTTATGTGGGGCAAATATATGTCAATATAGGTTGTAGGTGTATATTAGTTTACTGATAATTGTATCAGCCAATAGGGCCTGTATAAACTTTAGATGAGTAATCGAATAAAAATAAATTCAAGATAGACTTCTAACTGTTCTAAAATAGCTTATAGACAAAATGTTCAGAAGAGCTTTATTCAATACCAGATTCGTAAGTATTTCATAGATACGTAGCATATTAGTTGCATCAATTACTAACCAAAAAAATTAAAGGCAAAACCAATAATCAAAACACCTTTTATTCAGCAAGGTAGGTTCATTTCAACCGAAATCAAAGAAGCTATCGATAGGGCTGTGGGAAGTTCAAAGGTTGTGTTGTTTATGAAAGGTACTCCTGAATTCCCTCAATGTGGTTTCTCAAGAGCTACTATTCAAATGTTGGGCCAACAGGGTGTGGATCCAGAAAAGTTTGCTGCTTACAATGTCTTAGAGGATCCAGAATTAAGAGATGGAATTAAAGAATATAGTGAATGGCCAACTATTCCACAATTATATGTTAACAAGGAATTTGTTGGTGGATGTGATATTGTCATGTCCATGGCACAATCGGGTGAGTTAAGTGACTTATTGGAAGCTAATGATTGTTTAATTCCTGAAGAAGAAGGTGAAACAACATCTGCTGACATTCAACCAAACAAAAGAAGCTAACTGTATATACTGCCAATATTATTTAACAACATGAAAATTTTGTAATTCTAATTTTTATCTAAATAGGAAAATGAAGCATTTCTCTGGTTGACTGATATAACCTACTCCGATAGCCTTAAGTACTCGAATTTAGTAAAAATTTAATATATTAAACCACATATAATAGATAATACACAAGAAATGAACCACAAACCTTAATAAATATACAAAAATATATAAATATTCAACAAATATACACATGACAAAAATATATCATGTATTACTTTACATTTTAAATCCATAAATGCGATATTGAATATATTTCCTGATTCTTAGATCCCCTACCCCAGGTATGAGAAGATCCAGGTTAAACTAGGCAAATGAGGAAATCACTCAGCTGGCAAGGACTTATTCGATTTCACAGTTGACGATCTTCTTCTCAATAAATTTGAATCATTTAAATTCAACGTGAACTTGTAGTCCCCATTGATGCCACTAATAATCGAGCTCGACCTTGTTTGATAATCTTCATTGTAATCATCATGAAGAGAATTTTCATCATCAGATGAATTTGATTTTAGTGATGATCTTTGACTTTCAAGCTGCTTAACAGAGAATTTGTCAAGGCTTGTCAACTCGTCATTTAATTCATCACTGCTTTCATCGAGATCATCAATCGAGTCTTCTTCCTCTTCTGAATCTTCTTCATATGCTTTATTCTCTGCGATCACGGTCTTGTTGCCGTCAAATACATCTTTGAATGTAAGCTTATTGAAGTCTTTTTTGGAAGGAAGAGGGCTTTTCGGTAATGTTTTCTTACCATGAATCAGCAAGTCTTGCAAGTTGTCAAGAGTAAACTGCACCGATGAAGCAGACAGTTTGAATTTAGTTGTTCTTGAATTTGACATCGCGGGGTTGTTAAATACCTTCTTGATAGCTTCCGCTCTAGGCGACATCAAATCGGCGTTGAAATGACTATTTGACCCATTCTTAGAGATATCCATTGGATTAAGATGATCCACCTCGCCTGAATATTCTACATGTTCAGCATCACATGAGTCGAAATAACTAGGCGATTGAGGGCCGTAGTGATCCTTGATCCATGGATGATTCCATATTTCTTTGATGGTAATCCTATCATCAGGATTGATGGTCAACATCTTACAAATTAAATCTTTAGCATCCAAGCTGACCTCATCCCACCAAGGCTTCAAAAAAACGTAATCACCGTTCAAAATCTTCAAAGTTAGCTGATGATGATCGTCATCATAAAAGGGAGGGAAGCCACATAGTATGGTGTAAAGAAAACAACCTAATGACCAAATGTCAACCGCTTTAGAATAAAAGTGCTTCTGCGACTGCTTGTTGGGAAACCTTTTCATTTTAGTACCATTGCAGGTGATAACCTCCGGTGCAGTATAGCCAGCTGTACCACAAGGGGTTTTCAAATTGGATCCCATGGTGTTGGATGGTCTGAGTTGCTTTGCCAATCCAAAATCGGCCAACTTGATTATGCCTATGCCACCACCACCAACTCCACCAACAAACTCACCCTCGTCAACTTTGGTATTGTCGTCAGAAGTCCGTTTGTGCTTTTCAAACTCTTCGGTGGGCCTTTCGTGGAATGGAATGGTGTTGAAAAGTAAGTTCTCTGGCTTGATGTCCCGATGCGCAATATTAATGGAATGCAAATAGTCCACTGCCGACAAAAGCTGTGAGAATATAAACCGGGATAAGTCCTCACTGAAATATGTATATTCGATGATCTTATTGAAGATCTCACCGCCGTCGCAGTACTCCAATACAATGTAACAATGTTTGTCGTTGTTGAACAGGTCCACCAACCGGAGCACATTGGGGTGGCTCAACCGCTTCATGATACTTATTTCGTTGTGGATGTTGGCGATCTGTTTACCCGATAAGTTAGCCTTATTGATGATCTTGATGGCTACCAGACGTCCCGTCGGCTCATACACGGCTTTGTATACAGCCGAAAACGCTCCTTCTCCTAGCTTATGCACCAACCGGTATTCAGCTGGTAAGTCACCATACCTAATACCATCTTCTTCTTCTAGCTCGTCTCCTACGCTCATCTGAACTCCGGAGCCACCGTTCTGATTACCGTTTTGACTACTATCTTTCTCTTTTTCCTTTTCTTTCACTCTCTCTTCACCACTTCTTTTCTCGCGGCTGGTCTTATCGCTTACCATATCTCCCATATCTGACTCCACTATTGCTTCATTTCTATCCGAAAATAGCTTCTTAAGATTCTTTCTCTAGTTAGTAAAATCGTTCCGATACCGACTAAACAGGTTCAGTTCCCCATATTTCGGGGTGAACCCCAGAAAAACATCAATCCCTGTTCCCTGGGTCCCACCCACAATCCATTCCGCCTTTAATATTCCAAAAAATACTACATACCAGTATTAGAGTCATGGTTGTTTTTTTGATACCCCGTCATTATTATGGTCTTTTTGGCCATATATATATAAATGGAAGAGGGGAACCACGCAATTTTTTCTCATAGGGATTTTGTGTTATGTTTACCATTATTACATCATAATTGTAAAGGACTTGTCGAATGCATACGATAGTTCGTTACGTAAATGATCACAGATAATACGGAAAGGAGCGGCCTTTAACTTTCATTACTTGTTTGAAGTGCCGATGGAGGAAGTATAAACAGAGTTCATAAACAGATTTGATACGAATCGATGAAGTGTAGACATATACGTAGGGTATCCAGAGATAAGGGCATAGTAGTTGGTTAGTTATAGAGATAGTAATTAAGGTACAAGGCTTTGTAGTCTCCACAATTCCGTATGCAAACATTCGAAAATCCTAGTATATTAAAAAATATTAGTGAGCATAAGTGGAAACAATAGGGAACATAGGACAATAAAATTTTACAGATCGAGACGGGATATAAAGGTTTGTAGGACGCAGGAAGGAATTAATAAAGCAAATGGGGTTTATTGATTACTCCACTGGAATAATAGCGAAACAGGTGATTGCATGTATTTATAGACTAGGTCCGGTCACAGAAGCATTCGTAAGCGCAGATAACTTGCAGTCAGGCATCTATATTTAGTATTTAGTCAAAGGGAGGAGATTTGAACCTTTAGAGGATACGGGTTAAGATTACGCAGAATAGACTAATAGTTTCTATATTTGTAGGTTGAGGGAGACTAGTACGAGTAGAAGAATAAGCGCAACAACCCAGGCAATCCTGAGTGACTAACTTGCATATTAGACACACGAGTACACAGATACCTACTTCGGTAGGTGAATCGACTCGCACATGACGAGCGAGCTATTTGATAGTTGCGGTCCAAATCACAAATAACCGTATATGGCAAAGATTACAGGTGCGTGTGTATATAACCCTGGACTCCTATATGACCATCTAGCATATTGCACTACAAATGGTTGTGACGTGCCTAATTAATGTGACAAAAATCGAGACAATATGACAATTGTTCGGACTTGGGACATCGACGAACCAATCATCAAATGAGGCTTGGCCTGTGCCCCTGGCAATTAAACTATCGCCACGACAATATTAATCGTGTAGTTTGGTGGTCACAGGTCCTTTGGCCCACTAATCCAATGAAGTGCGATTATTAAGACCATTATTGGAATTCGTGGATCTGTGATGCATTTCAAAGCCATATTTTCATTCCAAGACATAGTCTAGAGATGTTATGTAGTGTACATGTTTACTTCTACAGTGATACCATATTACGACAAACATACCAATTCTCGTATAAGGTATAGGAGTATGTTTCAAGATCTCCATATTGTATGTGCGTCGGTTGTTATACGTAATTCATGCGTTCCAGCTGTAGAATGCATAAAACGCGCCATAGACGACCAAAGTACCCGTTTCACTGGGAGGAGGTGAGCTTAGACATGTCATCAATACCATCTTTTGAAACGAAGGTTACAACGGTCGAGTCGCGTATGCGGTATGTTTGATCTACTTATTGAATTTTTTGGATATACGAGCAAATAACCTATATTTTTTATGTCTCGATAGAATCTTTGTCGCTTAATGGAATGGCTTAATGGAATGCCCTTGGCTGCCCTTTAAAAGACCATAAACTCGTTATGTCATTTTTGTTTGAACCTGGCAATTTTCTTAGGTACAATGTGTAGTATATCAAATAGTGAGCTTCTAATCGTGAAAAATATTTACAAAAAGTTTGAATTTGTTACAAGCAATATCAATACTATATGTTTTTTTTGCATTTATCGCTACATATGCAAAAAACTAAAAAATATTGAAATTATTCATAACTCGTTTCTTGTGATTTCTCTTCATAAAACCATTCATACCCACACTCTGATTACAGAGTCCAATAAGACCACTCTTCTTAGCCTAAGGCTTTTTCTCTGGCGTCTTGGCTATATAGTTGATGAACTCATCGAGCAGGCAATTTTGTGTCACATTTTTTTTCAATCATAAAATTTAAATCATCTCTATGACTTTAACTTTTCAGGTCCACTGAAAGAATTTGGTTACAGTTCAAAGCAAGACCACGTTTACGATCGAAACATAAGATCAGCCACGTAGGATCGTGTATTCAGCAATGACTCAAATTAAACCAAATAAAAAAGATGCTGTCCGCCATAATGTTAATATAGACAGTTCCGTTTTAGTTAGATTATCAACTATCATTTCGTCCCATGATAAGACAGAACTCACAAGGTTTATTACAGGTGGATTATTGTTAAAAGTGTTGACTAGCTGGTCGTACTTTGCATCTATTAATGACCATAGTCAATTCACGGACATATCTATCAAATTATCAAAAGCTTCCAATTTGATCCAAGATTATAATACCAGCGACTTAAAACCGTTATTGGTTGACTTCTATCAACACATATTGAACAATGACTTGAAATATGTATATAGAGGATTAAATAGTGGTAAACCTCTATTAGCAAATTCAATGTTGAATATTTTGAGTAACTTGATTAGTTTTGATAATGGATTAACCAATGAGTTTTTGGACAAGTTTGACATGACTTTATCAACATTACCTAAATTATTAGTTCCATCTAAGATAGACTTGGAAAAATTTAGTCAGTTTAAAGATAAACCTGATAACACTCATCTGTTAATAAGATACAATTTTATTAAATTCTGGATTAATTTAAATTCTAAAGTTTCCAGTTTTATAAGAAAAGATTTACTAACCAATAATCACAAAATCATGAATAACCTTTGGAAATACATGTTTGAAATTGATTCAGTACCAGTATTATTAAGTGTTTTTGAGTTTATTGACTCAAAAATATTAGATGAATCAAACTTTAAAAAGTCAACCAAATGTAAAATTTTGAATGAGAGCTTTTTCTTTAAAATTCAGCTCATATTTAACAGATTGAGTGACATTAACAATGATGAGTTTACTAAGTCTTTTATTAATTTATTGACAAAGCTTTCTACAGATTTTGCTAATGGTTTGAATTATCCTAATTTTAAACTCTGGCAATCATCTACAGATAATGGTATTCCGATAAACATTAACAACAAGTCTTTCAGAATTTATAATAAATTGATATATACAACTTTGACCAGTTTGAAACCATGGGAATCTCATGCTCAGTTACAATTAGTAAAAAATATATTATCTGCAAATATAGAGTTAGTTCCACCTTACATGAATTGGTTGATACAGAATGGTGGAGGTTACCACGACCCTTCACTTACATCTTGGTGGATAGGGCACACCTTACTTTTCAAAGAAATTCTTTGCTTGCCAACCCCTAATCTTTCAACTGAAGCAAAAATAAATAATAGGATTGTCCTCGAAAACATCAGTTTAGCACCGTTATCAAAAAATTCACTAAATAAGTGCCTTGAATCAAAACATTATTTGATTGTACAGTTGTCTTGTCAATTAATAATGTTCACCTTGATTAAACTAACCAAGGTATTATCGTCCAATTTCTTTATTCATAATAATAATGCCAATAAACAAGAATTGATCGAGTTGGTTTTTAATAACTTGCCAGACTTTAATGCTCTAGTTCAGGTTTTACTTACAGTTAATAAAGCATTCCCAGAAAAGACTGATATGAAGTTGCTTAAACTAACGTTGACAATGATCATAAACCAATATCAATTAGTATATCCATCTTCGTCTCAAACTTTAAACAAGTTTGTCAGTTATGAAATTAATGAATTTATCAATGACAATCAAGCATTGAATAGTTCTGGATATAATTTGTCATTGTTAGATAATTACCTCTCTATCCAATCCAACCAACAACAAGAGAATGATTTAAAATGGTGGAACAAAACAAATAGTGGTAATTCATTTTTCACATGTTTAATTAAACTTTCAACAAGTGGCAAGATTGATGAATCTTTTATTTGGAAATTTTACAGATTGTTGAACAAGTTAACTGAAAACACAATAATTTTCAACAAAGATTTGATTATATCTCCTATATTAGCATTAATTCATCTGTTTAAAGATTCAAGTCCATCTCCTAAAATTTGGAAGTTATTGGATGAAGTTATTTCTAGATCAGTCAAATCTCCGTATAAATATCTCGACTTGTCTCATACAAAATTCAGCGACGTGAGTTTATTCACTATTGTGCTATTCGAACAATTTAAATTCATTCTCAATGATTCAGCAGTCAATCAGAAAGAATTAGAAAAAATCATTGAATGGTTATTTAACTTTTTGAAGTACGTAATTGTTATTGGTGAACCAAAAGAAGCTATTCATGCTTTGCTTAAAGAATATTTGACAACCGACGAAAAATTTGCGGACATTGTAGACCGCAACCAATTGATACATATGATAGATTTCACAGGTACTGAAAAAGTCAAAGAGGATTCTTCTTATTTAGAATTACTTATTAATACGTCAAATACCAATTTGCTTACAAAAGCGAACGTGCTTTATAAGAGATTCCCAATTTCAAATTTTGATTTTGCTGGCTTGTTTACAAGATTAAAATTGATTACTCATGATGAAAAGCTAAGAAATGTTGATGATATTCTCGTTGATTTGGTTTCTAAACTAGGTAACTATTTAGTTACGGTAATTCCACGGGATTTGTTAATGGTTAAATTTATCCTTGCAAAAAAGTTTTGGCAAGATCTAATTTTTAGTCCTCAGATTGACTTAACCGCTCCATTACCAAAGAGAGTTCTATTTGTTGGAAATTTGCTTAATGAAGTATTTCAACAATTACCTCAAGAATGCTTTGATATGAATAATTCCGAGTACCTGAATTTCAATGAGTTTAACTTAATCTTCTTCAATTTATTCGGATATTCCGAAACCATGCCCTTTGAAAACCAAAATTTTATAGGAAAGTTCAATTGGGTACTTACGAATGATCAAATTATTAAATTAATTAATACTATTGAACCCAAGAATTCTCTACTCGTTACTAGATTGTATGAAATATCAATGCAAAGATCAATCTCAATGAGTTTTGATAACTTTGATAATTTTCTCAGTTTAAAATTACCTGAACTGAACGAATATGAAACTGAAAAGAAATTGATATTGAGTAACTTGATCGAGTCAAACTTAGTACTTTTCGAGAATGATGAGTTATTCAGACAAATTGATATTATTTTGCAAAATGAATCAAACTATTATTTATTAAAATCTTTAATCAATACTGAAGATTTAATTAAAAAGAATGAAATAACATATTATTTGATAGAGAAGTCTAACGCAGGATTAATAAAAGATGAATTTCTTTTATGCTTCATTGGTTATTCAATTTCTTTATCTTTATCATTCTCTGATTTGGAAGACCAAAAGCTTTTGGACTTTTTGAACAAGGTTACTAGAATTGCATTGAGAATTTTGGCAGAAGGAAACTTTGAATCTAAATTAAGCTGGAACAACTTATTAAATATTTTGGCTAGTAGCGTGAACAGCAATTCTATTTCCACCGAACAAAAACTGAACTTAATAAACCAAGCTTTTACCTATATTGAGAAAAATGGTTTTAAAAAGAGTTTGATTCCAGAATTCGGAAATTTAATCTATCAGATGATTAAATCTACTGCAGATTTAAACGATGATGTGAGGTTATGGTTACATAAGTCGATGCTCTTTGTTACAAAGAAATTTGCAGAAACAAGCGAACTATCTGAGAACTTCCTTAAGTTTTTGAATGAAGTCAAGAATATTATCAGGTTAGTTCCTTCAGTGTCTTCTTCTATTTGGGAATTAGTGCCAATCGCTGTAATTAACACTCAATTAGAAGTGATATTAAATCACAAAGACTGGGTTTTGGATTCTAATGTTTTAGAATTTGTGAATTGCATTTTAATGAGTGTCAGGAATATTAAACATGTTCAGTATGAAAAATTGTTGCAAATATTTGTTAACAATGAATTTAATATCTTGAATAGCCTACCATCGGGTAAAGATATGCGTTTGAGATTTGAATCAGCCTTAATTTTATCAAACTTGTTTTTCATGAATCCTAGTAAAAATTCTACATCTGTTTTGTTAGAAAAGTTAGTGTTATTATACTTGGGCTCTATTAGACTGGAAGATCTTCTTATAAAGTCAATACTTGTTAAAATCGAAGCTAATTTGGTAAAGTCTTGGATTAGCTTGATTCTGAATTGGGAACTTTCGGAAGAAACTTTGAGTGATGATCTTGAGCTAATTGGCGAAGAAAGGTTGATATTGAAGGACAAGAAGACGTTAGCGATTTCTTTAAACAAGAATTTTATCAAGAATTCAATTAAGCATGAAGGTTCCAACTCTGCGGTTTCAACTTTACCGACGAGTTTATTTAACTTCCACTCGAGCAAGGTCGATTTCAAAAATGCTTGGGAAGATGCTGAATCCTTTTATGAAAATAATACAGCTCGTATAGAACAAGAATATCAAAAAACAATTTATGACGCAGAGTTCCTTATGATGTTGATAGTTAACAATCATGAATTAGTTCAAGTGGATAGTAATGAGGAAGATGGTGAAACGAAAATAAAGTTTGAAATAAAGAACTTGATTGATTCTAATTTATTACAATTCATTGTTGTAAGCTTATCAAACTCGTCTGAACTAATTCAAAATATTTCTAAAGCTTTGATAAGCGGAATATTGAAAACACTTGAAAGTAATGATAGCTTCAAAGATACTAATCTTTACAAAGTCTACTTATCGAACATCCTCCATACGTTAAGAACTCCAGAAAGTGAGATTGCACCTTTAATTTGGTACTTTTATAGCAGCTTGATCCCAATTTTGTCCAACCCGGGACATTTCTTGTATGAAAGATCATTCCGTTATATCTTATCAAACCCAACTATAAAGAAGCATGATATTCCTTTATTCGCCCCAATATCGATGTCGAACAGTAACGATTTAGAATTCGAGAATGATGAATCTCATTATAAACAAATAACCTGGTTAATTCAGAATTTTATTGATGGCACTAAAGAAGTAGCAGATTTGAACATATTGAAAGTAAGAGGTGTTATTGAATGGGTTATGAATTTATTAAACTCCCCATTCATTACCACGAACATCAAGTCGTTAATATTAACTTTCATATATACTGTACAGAAAGTTGATCAAGGCTCAGATATGTTGATTACGAAATACGCTATCTTAACTAATTTAGAGCAGTTTCAACAGAAATACAATAGTGAATTGTCTACTGGCGATGAAAAAGCCAGGTTAATTAACGAACAATTGAAATTGAATATAGATGAAATTTCAGTTCGATTCGGTGTGAGTGTCGGATCACACAAAAGAATAAGAACATGGACAAGTGGTGACTTACCTAGCTATGTTAAGAGAATTCACAAATCTTAGTTACTTAAATATTTCTTGTATAATAGAACAATAACTTCGCATTTACCGATCTTAACTTCACAAAAATTATTTCTAAATCTTCTAAACGTTAGAATTTTATACATTAAAAGACAGCCATGAGTGTAAGTTTTTAAGTTAGATTGGATAAAAGTAGTAGATGAACAAGAATTATCACTAACGTAAATAGCTTGGAAAAGTAGCGCACTACTCATTTGATTTAGTTCTTATATCGATTATTTTAGCAGGTATTCACCGTAACACTGGATTGGTTTTTGATACTAGCAATTTATCATCAGTGGATGTCCGTAGATGGTTTGGTAACTATTTAGCGTTCGGTGAACGTTGCTACGACTCGTCAGTATCTTTATTGAAAATGAGTGGTTACTTCAGACAAAAGAATCTTATAGTTGACTATGTTTCTAAAGAAGCTAACAAGTATTTAAAAGAACAAACAGGAAGAGATTTAAAAGATATAAGCAAAGATCAATAAATATTAGGCTTTTAGGTAATGGCATTCATAAGTTTGTTGCTTTTGTTAGTGCTTTTGTAAATGTTATGACTTCTTCTGTGACTACGATATTTTGATATTTTGATATTTTGGTATATTTGCTATTCTAATCCAAACTTGGTATTAATATTATTTATTGTTTATTGTTGTATAATTAAGTAAATATATCTAGTCAGCAGAATAAAGATAAACTTGTAATACGTGAATAGTACAAATCATCACTCAGTGAGAAAGTGCATATCTGGGGTGATTTTAGGTATTTTTTTGTAACTACAATAATATAGGTATGTCAATGAAACTCACAGATCAAGTCATTAGCTCCATTATCTGTTGATGGGAAGCTTATCAGTAGAATCTGAAATCAATTTGTATCTAGCCTTGAAGTGCTGAAAATTTCACTCAAGTGAGAAGATATACATCTACACTTCCTGAATAGGTTTACTAACATTGACTAAGAGAAATATGTCGAGCAATGATTCAGTACAAAGTCAATTAGTGGAATCATTCAAGAATGCCATCAATTTAGAATTGCAGTCAGATTTATTGTTGACAAATTCGTACTTAACGTCTTATTCGCCAAAGAAATTGCACAAATTGGGGTTGGCAGTAATTAACTTGATCGTCACAAATGTAAAGAATGGTCTTGGTGGTAAAACAATAATAGAATTGGAAATAGATCCTGCTTTGAAATCAAATGAGACAGAAATTCAAATGGGATCCCTAAGAGTTGGGGATATTATAAGGTTAGACAAGATGAGTAATGCTAATACATCAGAAACTGTTCAGACAAAGAAGGCACAAGATAATTCGTCTAAAAAGAAAAAGGGTAATGGCGAAGAGGATAATAGTCAAGATGAATCTTTAGATGCTGTGCTTATAAAAATTAACTCAAATACAATCACTATCTCAATTGAAGAGGACCATTCCGAAGAAAAGGTACTAAGCTTGTACAATAATACGTCCAATGATAATGTTAGAATGTGGATAGTAAAATTAAGTAACTCAATTACCTACAAAAGGATGACAAGCTCCATGAACAAGCTAGCTGAATTATCACCTTCTAAGAAAAGTGAAATAATTCAATACTTACTTGGGGAAACACAGTATGCCAAAAAAAGTACTGCAAAATCTTTAAAAGATAAACAGTTTTTCAATCCCAATTTGAATTCTTCCCAGAAAGAAGCAATCAACTTTGCGATCAATGAGTCTGCCATAACGATTATTCACGGACCACCTGGAACAGGTAAAACCTATACATTAATAGAATTAATCAAACAGTTGACGTTCAATAATGGTGAGAAAGTGTTAGTATGTGGGCCATCTAACATTTCAGTAGATACAATTTTGGAAAGATTATCACCGATTTTTAATGAGGAGGACGAGGCGGATAAAAAGAAAACTCGTAGAGCTGCCAAAAAGAATACGTCGGCTTTAAAGAACCCAGAGAAATTAATTCGTATAGGCCATCCTGCAAGACTTCTAGGCAACAATTTACAACATTCGCTTGATATATTATCTAAAACTAATTACGATACCGGATCTAATGATAACAAGGAAATATTGAAAGATATAGAAAAAGATATCAGTGACACACTAGGGAAGGCTAAGAAATGTCGAAACTATGCTGAAAGACGAGCTTTGTGGTCAGATTTGAAAACATATAAAAAGGAGTTACGTATTCGGGAGCGCAAGATAGTACAAGACTTACTAGTGGGTGCCAACGTTATTCTTAGTACCTTACATGGTGCCGGAAGTTACGAGCTTACGTCACTATACAAAGAACCAACGTTGAACTTCGACCACGACCATCCCTTATTTGATACTATAATCATCGATGAAGTTTCTCAATCGCTCGAGCCGCAATGCTGGATTCCTTTGGTCAACCACTTAGGATGCAAGCGCTTAGTGATAGCCGGGGATAACATGCAGTTACCTCCAACGGTGAAATCAAAAGATGATCTAGATGCATTGATGCATAAACTTAGCATAGATGGCCCAGTAGCGGATTTAGAATTAACCTTATTTGATAGACTCATCCGAGACCATAACGGGACGCAATTTAAAAAGCTCTTGGACACCCAGTACCGCATGAATGAAGACATTATGCGTTTTCCGTCGAATGAGCTTTACGATGGCAACCTCAAGGCTCACGACTCAGTTCGTTCGTTGACACTTGAAGATTTGCCCTCAGTCAAGCCTACCGATGATACCTCCGTGCCATGTGTATGGTACGACACACAGGGAGGCGATTTCCCCGAGAAGTCTAGCGACGACGATTCGCATGCAATGGCCGAATCAACTGGCTCCAAGTACAACGATATGGAGGTGCTAGTGGTGGTCCAGCACCTTCAGAATCTACTACAAGCAGGCATGGCCCCTGCCGATATAGGCATTATCTCCCCCTACAACGCACAGGCCTCCTTACTTAAAAAAACCCTTCAGCTGCGCCAGCTCGATGGGATCGAGGTATCTACCGTTGACGGGTTCCAGGGCCGTGAAAAGGAGGCCATAATTATCTCGCTAGTCAGATCGAATTCTAATAGAGAAATAGGCTTTTTGGCAGATAGGAGAAGGTTGAATGTGGCCATGACTAGACCTAAAAAGCATCTCTGCATCATCGGCGATCTAGAATTAATGGCCACAAATGGTAAAAAATACTTGACAAATTGGTCGCAGTATGCAGAGAATGAGTACGAAATTAGATATCCCGATCTAGGTGATTATTGATCTATGACGTCGGTGTTCCTTATAGTCTCGCCACACCGTTGACTTCCGTATATCCTCTATATAGTGCTTGCCGAACGGTAGTAGTTTTTACGCCTACCAAAACGCGTCGTGCAAGATTGCTCTCGAACTTGTTCCTAACGCACCTTGGAACAAAGCACTTTATGTTTTAGGTAAAAGTTAAATAGACGATTCAGACATGCCGTGTTTGCCCAGTGTTAGTAAACATTAACGCCGGTAGCCCCCCACGTACCTACTATTCGCTATAGTGGCCTCCTCAGAGCACCAAAATGGGGCATTCCATAGATCGGGTGTTTCATAGACGTTTCAGACCTTGTTTCATCAAATTCGCGTCTATCATTTCGCAATCATTTAGGTTTGTCACATACCCCTAGATATACCGCACCACGATGATAGACTTCGTATTACTTAGGTTAGACCAAACGAATATCTTCATAGCTACCGCATCTACTTGTTCATAGGCAAAATAATGTTTCTCACCAAGGCTTCTCGCTAAATGGTTTGAAGACGGGGATAACGAGCCTTGTAGGTGAGATCGGCTTGTAGGCCATCTTTGCGATCTATTGTACAGTAATAAAGCTTATGAAAACAGAAATATGATTACGTGGATGAGGCACAACAGTTAAGAACGATGAGGGTCGACTCGAAACAACAATAGAAATTTGTTTATGCATGGAACGCGAATGTTCGATTCAGTAACTTATATTGGCTGTACCTTTTTTGTAAATATGTAAACCTAGCGGGCATGGTGCTTAGTTCTAGATAAAAGTATAGCCTATCCAATGCTGTAAGGATTTTATAAAATTTTATTCTTTACTACATCTTTTTTCCTTTTGAAGTGTTATTATAGTGCATCTGGAACTTTTCCTTCGTTTTATTATAGTATTTTTCACAGGTTCATACATCCTACATAGTTGTATTTAAACCGTCGAAGTCCATTCATTTGTCTAATAGTTTTTGAACACTATACATTCCTTAGTTGCTTATATTACATCGTACACTTACATTCCCTACTTACATTCATTATGCAATTTTTAAAATTAGCTACTGCTTTATCTATCTTGTCTGTCGTTTCTGCTGAAACCGTGTACGTGACTCAAACCCATCTTACTACCATCCAAGGTGGTGACGGTCAAGCTGGTACTACTCTTTCCACCGAGGTTGCTGCTCCTACTGGTGCTACCACCTCTGTTGCTGCTGAAGTCAAGGCTCCAAAGAGTGTCTTGGGTGATGGTGAAGGTTCTACCCAATCTGCTGCTCCAACCACTTTGGTTTCCAAGACCAGCTCTGCTGCTGAAACCGCTTCATCCACTGAATCCGACTCCTCAAGTTCTGGTTCTGGTGTCAGCGGTGTTGAAGACGAAGATTTCGCCAAAGCTATCTTGAAGGCCCACAACGAAAAGAGAGCCGACCACAACGTTGACGCTTTATCTTGGGACTCGCAGGTTTACAAGTACGCCCAAGACTACGCCGACCAATACGACTGTTCTGGTACCTTAACCCACTCCGGTGGTGAGTACGGTGAGAATTTGGCTCTTGGTTACAACACTGCTGAAAAGGCCGTCAATGCTTGGTATGAAGAAGGTAACGATTACGATTACTCCTCTTCTTCCTCTTTCGACCACTTCACCCAAATCATCTGGAAGGACACCACCAAATTAGGTTGTGCCTACAAGGACTGTTCTTCCGCCGGTAAATACATTGTCTGTTCTTACGACCCTGCTGGTAACGTTGTCGGTGAAGGTAAGGCTAACCTTTCAAGTTAATTGAGTTGGAATGGTAAAAAATAGTTTGGGTTTATTTCTACGTTCTTTAGTTATGTTTATCTTCGATTCATGTTAGACATAGTTTGTTTTATACCAATGTTTTGTTATTTATTGTGTTTGCTGTAGATCTCATCTCATGAAAACCCGAGTCACTATTAACGATCATCAGATCTTGTCACAAATCATTGCCAAATTGCCCTTTTCTTTGTCGGATGGTAAATCAAGATATCAAGATTTTCTTTATCCTCTACACTTCTTCTAATTCGATATGACGTAGCCGATGCTAGGTCCTTTCAACTCTAGCTCATAGACTAGTAGGAGACTTAAATATTAGTACCGATTTGTATACAGGAGTCAATATCAGCTCTTTTGGACAGATTTTTAATGGTAACACTCCTCCGAAAGAAGTTAGTCACATACAAAGTCTATATTAATAGTAAGCGTTGTATATTAGATAAAGAACTATAATGAGTGGGCAAGGCCTAGACTCTGACACAGTGGATATGAAGGAATCGACGACACCCACGGAACCTACCGATTCAACAACCACAGAGCCACAAGCCCCAGAATCGAACAAGACATCGCTGTTCGGACAAATAAAGCCTAAAAGAACGTCGCTAGCGTGTATCAGATGTAGAGCACGTCATATAAGATGTCCAGGGGGCGATCCCTGTAAAAAATGTCTTTTAGCCAAAAGTAAATGTGAATATGTGGAAGCAGATAAGAAGATTGTGGTTTCTATGAAATATTTATCCAAATTGCATGACGATATTGCTAGGTTAAAAAAGGATAATGCCATGTTGAGGAACAATCTTAAAGAAGAGGAAATTAAAAGTGGTAAAAATGGACTGGATGTGCCCAGCGCATCATATCAAACAAGCTTGTATCGGCTGAATAGTCCTCAGCCGTTAACAACGTTCGATGATCCAACTAATCAGGCCACAATAGCTACTTCGCAATATCCTTCGTTTAGTAATGAAGTGATACAGCCAACGCTTGATAAACACGGTCGTATAATAGAGTCTAGAACAGGGGAAAAAGTGTATGTTGGATCTTCTTCGATGACATTATTTGGGTTGGAAATTCAAAATATGATACCGTCATGTGTCACACCATCGTTGTTCGATGAGTCTAGTGATACCCCGTTAGATAATTCTCCCGGTGGAAGAACGTTAGACACGCCTAGCGTAGTGTCTGATAATGGCCACCAAGCAAATAAACGGCAAACGGAGATTCTTGAAAAAGAAGGCAACGCTTATAAGATTATTCTCGCTAAAACTAATACTCGTCCGGGATTATCGATTGATTTAACATTACCGTCATACTCATATGCTATGTTATTGGTTGATACGTTTGTAAATTACAATGATGGATGTTTCTATTTTTTCAACGAAGGATTAGTGAAGAGATATTTAATGAATCTATACTCAGGAAAGACCGCTGAAAATAAGAAAATCATGAGAAGAAACCTATCCCATGTGAACATATTCCCGTTGGATGAGAATGAAGCTAAGAAAATTCAAGAAGAGGATACTATTCTTGAAACGATATGGTTCTGCAAGATATTATTGATATTTGCAACTGGTGAAATGTACTTAGGAACCGAGTCCGATACTCATATGAAAACACATAAAGAGCAAACAGCCAATAATATAATTAAGAGGCCTAGAAATAAAAACAAAGAGAGTGAAAATAATGAAGCGAAAGCCGATACAAAGACTAATTCGTTGCCCGGCTCCAAATATTTCCATCAAGCTTCTGAATTGTTTACAGGCTTGTTTGCATCTGGAGCGATTGATAACGTGAGAAGAGATGGGGGTGTGGAAGCAATGTTATTGTATGCATTTTATTTACAAGTAGCAGATTGCACTGTTTCATCATACTTTTATTTCGGTATGGCATTGAGAGCTGCTTTGATTTTAGGATGGCATGTAGATGCTGATAAAGAAAATTTGAATAGATTTGAGTTGGAACATAGAAGAAGAATTTGGTGGACCGTATATATGTATGAAAGAATGCTTTCATCAAAGGCTGGATTGCCTCTTAGTTTCGCCGATGCAAGTGTTTCAACTGAGCTACCATCAGACTTTGATATGCGCCTAGTTGATTTCCCTAAAGATGAGAAAGATGTTAGAGGGTATTACATATTCCCACCAAACGAGTATATCAAGAATTGTGTAACAATTACTCAAATTAATGCCATAATTTTATCCGCATTATATACTAAGCAACCAACGGTAAACATTTTGCCAGTTGTGTCTGATTTAGTTCACAAATTATTAAGCTGGAAGAATTCTCTCCCCGATTTCTTGAAAGTGGACTTTTCAGCTGATAGTATGCATGTTTCGAGGCTTGTGGTTAATCTTATGACAGAATATTTTCAGGGAATGAATCTTGCCGTTCGTCCACTATTGTTTCATTTTGCCACGAAGAAATTGAAAGAACTACAATTCCAGAATAATAACAGCAAATATGTTGATTTGACCAAGTATTCAAAGAATGTTCTAAGTCTATTGAATAGTTCTTTTCAAGCATCCATAAGTACGATTAAATGTATCTGGTCACTATTACCTGAAAATATGGTTGCATTGTTTGGATGGATGGATAGAGAATACTTGTTTACTTCTGCATCGACTTTAATTTTGTTTAATGCATCGTTTGGTGTTCACGATGCTACCAAGGAACATTTGGATCATGCCCTTATAATCTTTACAAGAATGAAAGATTTAGGAAATTATCCAGCTGCTTTAAGAAGAGCTCAGTTATTGAAATTAATTAGTGTCTTAGATTTTAATGGTGTTATGTCTGATTTATTAGCCAAGCATGATGTTGATGACCTTTATAATGAAAACTCAATGGATTCTAATATGCCAAGTAACATGCCTTCTAGTGAAACCTTTGAAGCAGTAAAGGGATTTAGAAACGTTGGTGATATGGGCGCTACACATGCAAACTTGAGTCAAGATAATTTGAAATTAGGCGGTGAAGTAAATCCTGATCCAAAGCTAAATAATTCAGATTTCGATTTCTTACAATTTTCAAACACTTCTTCGACAAATATAACAAATCAGCCGAATCCTATGGCTCCAATATCAGCAGATGATACATTAGGCGTTAATTTACAAATGCCATCGGGTATGGGCGGAACTGGTGATATATATACTAATTCAGATTTAGCTGGTATTGAAGGTTTAACATATTTGGATGAAGAACAACAGTTATGGAATGAAATTACTAATGATGCTGTCTGGTTAAATGTACCTAACACAAGTAATCAGCTGAATAATGCAAGTGATTTATCAAATAAAGGAACCGGTCAACCAAGCAGCATGGAATCCAATGGTCCACTCAATGGCTTTGATCCGAATTCCAAATTGTTTGGTAGCCTGTCAGTAGGTAATTTTGCTAATTTAGCAGGGGGGTATAGTGATATAGTAAACCAAGAGTTTCAAGATATAATGGGTGAATGATTCAAAGGGTGTTAGAGTTACATAATTTAGTATTTTAGCAAATTGTTTATAGAGTTAAATACTTTGATTTTAACGTCTAATAAAAAAAGAAAAATGTAGTTGTTATCACAAAATTTTCTATTAAGTAATTATACAAATGGTAAAGTACATATACATATATATATATTTCAAATTAGAAGAAGTCCATATTTGAAGTATCATTCAAAGGCTGGGCATTATTATTAGATGGCGTACCATTCATCTGTTGTAAGATTTGTTGTGGAGATATTCCTTGCATGGAGGGCTGTTGTGGCTGCAGCTGTTGACCCATACTCATAGCAAAGCTATTGTTAGCAGCTTGCGGATTGAAATTTGATGGTATATGTTGCTGGGATTGTTGTCGACCTTGTTGTTGAAGCTGCAGCTGTTGCATGAAATTTTGAGGCATATCTTTTGGGCCCATATTTTGAAAATTATTACTTGCTACATTATTAAGCATCGAGTTGTTCATAATCGCTGGAGAGGGCTGCATTTGTTGTGGTATTTGTGAGTTGCTGAATGGAGGTTGAGTAGACTGTGATGTTGAACGAGGTTGCTGTGCATTTGGTTGTTGCTGTACATTCGGTTGTCCCTGGGATTGCTTCCTCATTTGATTTATCTTCACTTTCAAAAACTGAAGAGCTTCAGGGTATAAGTCTTGTAATTTATTGTACAACTGTTGCAATTCTGGCATATCTTGAGGTGCAGACATAATAATGGGGAATTGGGCTCTATTTGATGGGGTTGGTTGGTTTGGATCCGTATGATATTTTTCGTGGAGATATGATAACACAGAAAGGTTACAATGTATTCTTCGAGTGCAGTTTTGATACAGTTCCAATATCGTCTGTTTATTCTGTGGTGGAATTTGTTGCATCGTCTGTTGGTTCGTCAAAACATTCACATAAATATTTATCGCTTTTTTCATAAGTTGTGCATTTATAAGCAAGAGGCACGTTACACGCTCTCTATCAAGATCAAGTGGGCTCCTTTTATCGGGGATCGAACTCATCTTATCACCATATATTGGAAGTAATTGAATTATTGATATCACCAACTAGCATTTTCATTTGTCTTATAAAAATCATAACATACACGTGATCGATTTTTAATAAGACAATACTACAGGGTTGATAGTAATGTAATAATGTATTTAGAAAGCATGAAAATGACATGATAGAGCTAGAAATGAAGATAAATAATAACTAGTAATCTATAATTTTTCAGTTAATTCAGGAACTGCTTCATTTATGTCAGCAACTAAGCCAATATCTGCAACATTGAATATTGGAGCTTCAGGGTCCTTATTAATGGCAACAATGGTCTTAGCATCCTTCATACCAGCCAAGTGTTGGATGGCACCAGAGATACCAACAGCAACGTATAATTCTGGTGCAACGATCTTACCAGTTTGACCAACTTGTAAGGAATTATCACAGAAACCAGAATCCACTGCGACTCTTGAAGCACCAACAGCAGCGTTCAATTTCGATGCTAACGGCTCAATCAACTTTTCAAAGGTTTCCTTGTTCTTTAATCCACGACCACCAGAAACAACTCTGGTTGCAGAGCCCAATTCTGGTCTTTCAGACGTCACCAAGTCTTCCTTGACAAACTCGGTTCTGTTATTAGATTCGCTGGATTGGGTGTATTCTTCGATTGGGGTTGAGCCATCGCCACTCAACTCAACTGGTGGGAATGCGGATGCTCTAACAGAAGCAAGAATGACCTTTTCGTTTGACTTAACGGTTGCCAACGCATTACCAGCATAGATTGGTCTGACAAAAGTATTTTCCGATTCAACTTTAAGGATGTCAGAAACTGGCTGGATATCCATCAATGCTCCAACTCTTGGTAAAACAGACTTTCCCACGGCCGATGCTGGGGTGATGAAATGCGTGTAATCGGACGACTCCAATACTTCCTTGATTAATGGAGACAATTCTTCAGCCAAGTAATGGTCGTAATTGCTACTTTTTGATACTAAAATCTTCGAAATACCTGGGATCTTGGCTACTTCTGAAGAAATAGCATTACCTTCAGTACCAGCCAATAATGCTGTGATTGGCTTACCTATTTGCGTAGCAGCACTAATAGCTGAAAGCGAGGCTGGTGAGATTTTGGAGCCGGTTGACTCGATGAAAGCAAGTGTTTCCAACGAAACTCTTGTGCTCGAAAAGAATCTCTTACTAATTGAACTGCGCAACATTATATAACTTGATATATAAGGGGTCTCTTGTACGATAAGATTCTCTATATTTATGTCCCGGTATTTGTTCATAGTTCGAAAATTTCCACTCTGTCACGTGACACAGCCGGTTTCGGAGGTATCTCTATAAGCTATAAAACATTCCTACTGGTACCATTACAAAGAGGCTAACTAAACCTACTGTGGTCTTATGATGCTAGAGATGTCGGTGAAACTGGTTCCGTAAAAAACTTATTTTTCACGAGATAGTGTAGTGGAATCAATTTTCGGTGAGAGCTGAGTACGGAAAAGCTTCTCTTGAACTACCAAATACCTTGAAACACCAACAAGTTGTCAGACAATGTTGCTCTCACAGCTATATGAGTACGCCTTACTTGAGTCAAAATACGTATTTATCCAGTCTTCATGAATAATTCTGCGTGAGTGTTCGAGTACATAGTTGTGAGGCATTGAAGTGTTCAAATGAGAACCAGTGGACAATAACACTAAATATCGATTGGCTGCCACTTTGTAAACTAGCATTTAAGACTGGTTTCATCCATCATATAGACGTCATACTCTATATCCAACCATATTATCATTAAAAAGGATGCAAATAGTCTTATGTTTTATTGTATACAGTAGGTCTTTTCTCACGTGGGGTTAGATACTCGAATCAAAATGCAGATATAGGTTGGTGGTAATCATACTGATAAGGAAGAATACTTCATGACAAGTTACTCAGAATAGCATGCATAGGCCTGATAACCCGACATCTAAGATGCAAGCATCGCCCTCGAGAGCGAACACTAGAAGTGACCCTAATATGAGACGAGCAACTAGTCAGTCACCTAGCGTGAGGCACATTTCACATAGAAAAGTGAACGCTTTAGAGAGAAAGCCACTCCTTGACAGAGCAAATTCGGATATCGCAGATTACCAGACTAGTCTAAACATGCCTCTGGGTAGGAATATGATTCTGCCGGATATATACCGTGATGATGTGGAATCGATTGTATACAATAATGGTGCTTCTGACACTAGTGGTAATGAGGGATACAAAAGATCATCGTTGACTCGTGCTGTGACAAATGATGACATGAATAGTATGCGGAGTGATTATTTGATGGGAATGAATCTTAATCGAGAGGATTTAAGTTGGAAGGTCATTTTACCCTACTACTTGCCATTTTTGTCGTGGATCCATCATTATTGTCCATCCTTCTTTGTGGGGGATTTGGTAGCGGGTCTTTCGTTGGTCTTTTTTCAATTGCCGTTGTCTCTTTCGTATGCTACCTCGTTGGCTCATGTTCCTGTTATATGCGGATTGTATTCGCTTGCAATATCCCCATTAGTGTATATGGTATTTGGAAGTGTACCACAAATGATCGTAGGCCCTGAAGCAGCTATCCTGTTAATCGTAGGACAGGCTGTCGAGCCATTATTGCACCATTATAAAAAGAAGCATTCAGAAAAATTAGATCCTGTCGACTTAGTCGTTGCTATTACCTTCATCAGTGGAGCCAGTCTTCTAGGGTTTGGATTAGGTAGATTTGGATTTTTGGATAATGTATTAAGTGCATCCTTATTAAAGGGCTTTATAAGCGGAGTTGGTATTGTTATGGCAATCAACTCGACAATCGTGATGTTAGGATTAACAGAATTATTGCAAGAAATCACCGAAGATCCAACAAAGATGGATATCCACTCTCCATTTGATAAAATGCGCTTCTTAGTTCATCATTATAAGCAGTTTCACTCTTTGACATTCAAGATTAGTATAGTAGCTTTTATTGTGATCTTGTTGTGTCGTGCCTTCAAGAACTATATGTCAAAGAAAGACTCTAGCATCCTGAAGAAATGTGTATATCTTCCAGAGATATTATTCGTAGTCATAGCTTCCACATGCCTTTGTGCTGTGAATAGGTGGGATGAAAAGGGTATTGAAGTCATAGGAAAAATTGCTGATGTTTCGTCATCTCAAATTTTGCATAACCCTGTTGCGGTAGAAAGGTGGTTTCTTATCAAAAAATTGAGTACTCCTGGTTTCCTCTGTGCCATGTTAGGATTTTTCGAATCAACGACAGCTCTGAAATCTTTAGGGTCGAGATATGATTTACCTATATCCTCGAATAGAGAATTGGTGGCCTTAGGTGCATTGAATATATTAGTATCAGTATTTGGAGGTTTGCCAGCGTTTGGTGGTTACGGAAGATCCAAGATTAATGCGATCTCCGCTAAAACCACTATGCTGGGTGCTATAATGGGCCTTTGTACCATATTTACTATTTCATATCTCTTGGATGCATTGTATTACGTTCCGAAATGTATTTTAAGTGCCATAACAGCTGTTATTGGTATTCTGTTAATAGATGAAGCACCTCATGAATTATGGTTCCATTGGAGAAGCAGAGGTTACAATGAGTTGATCACATTTTTCATTACTGTTATGACGACGTTATTTTTCTCAATGGAAGCAGGTATAGCAGTTGGATTGGTATACCTGTTAATCAGAGTGATAAAGCATTCAGCTCTGTCCAGAATTCAAATCCTTGGGCGCATTGCTGGATCCAACAATTTTGTAAACGCAGACGTATCTCATATTGCACCAAATACGGGAATTCCCTTTGATGATATTAAGCACCCTGGACATCCATTGAATATATTCACCGACGATAATTTTACTCATCTCAATTTAAAGGTGATAGAGGAAATAGAAGGATGCCTTATTGTAAAAATTCCTGAGCCTTTGACATTTACAAATACCAGTGATTTAAGAGGTCGCCTCAAGCGTGTTGAAATGTATGGTTCAACTAGAGCCCACCCAGCCCAGAAACGTACAAGAGATGTATCAATGACGAAATATGTTGTCTTTGATCTTAATGGAATGACAGAACTTGACTCATCGGCCGCACAGATATTGAAAGACTTAATCAAGCGTTATACTAACAGAAATATATACTCATTTTTCGTGAGGGTAAATGAAGATGACAAATTAAGACATAGGCTAGAGAATACAGGTATTACTAAACTATTAGCTGAAGTTTTGGAGTCAATCAAGTATAATGAGGCTCAAAATAGTCTAACGTTTAATAAAGTTAGAGATACCAGAAAGGTCGGTGATCTACAACACGAAAATTCCGATATTACGCATCCTGATATGAATGAACACATGGAAATCTATAATCTCACTGAAAATTCCCATACCCCTTACTTTGAGCATATAAGTGATGTCTTGAAAGTAATCGATTATTACGAAATTAGAAATGAATTACAATCTAGACACGAGTTCTTGGACGTAGACCAGGCTGAAAGAAGATCGAGTTTACCCTCTATCGACATTGCTTAAATTATATTTAGTAGCACGCTATATACATTCAATTCCAAATATATATCTTATTTATTGGTATATTGTATGTAATGGACTTTTTGGAGTGAGTGAAATTTGGTAAACGCGTAAATATATTGAACAAAAATTAACCTCACTTTTATAGATAACGACAGCATTCAATCATGTCATTAGAAGCAGAGATATCTGAACTAGGTCAAGATGATTCTCAACGAGAATTGACTATAAAGGAAGAATATCAATTATGGAGAAAAAATTGTCGTTATATGTACGAATTTGTTAGTGAGACTGCATTAACATGGCCATCTTTAACAATTCAGTGGTTACCTGAAAATAAGACGAATGAAGAAGAAGGTTTAATTGATGCTAAGTTGTTATTGGGGACACATACATCAGGTGAAGATACCAATTATTTAAAGGTAGCTAGTACGCAAATTCCATTGTCGAGTTCAATTAATCCAGAGGAAAAATCAAGCAAGAAAGTTTCTTCCCGTATTAAAATCACCAAAAAGTTTGAAAATAACTTTGAAATAAATAGGGCCCGTTACATGCCACAGGATCCATCCATCGTGTCCACGATTAATGGTGCAGGTGAAATTGATCTTTACAATTTAAGTGGTGAAAAGAAAACTGCAATTGCACATTTGACCCCCCATGAGGACAATGGTTATGGTTTGTCGTGGAACCCCCATAAGAAAGGGTACTTATTAACGGCCTCAGACGATAAAACAGTAATCTTGACTGACACATCTCAACTAGATGCTACATCAGAGGTGTGCAAATTCACTACGCATAAAGATATTGTAAATGATGCTAAATGGCATCAGTTTGATGAAAACTTGTTTGGATCAGTTTCTGATGACAAATATTTCTATCTTTTTGATATAAGAACTCCAAATGAACCAGTTTCTAAGTTTTATCATCCAGAATCAGAGGGGATAAACTCACTTTCCTTCTCTCCATTCTCTCAATATTTGGTGGCCACCGGTAACGCCAACTCCAATATTAGTTTATTGGACACAAGAAAATTGTCTACGAAGTCAGGGGTTTCCGATGGTTTGCTTCATACAATGATGGGTCACTCTGACTCTATTACCAGTTTGGAGTTTTCTCCCCATAAGGATGGAATGCTTGCGTCTGGTTCGCAAGATCGTCGTCTAATTTTGTGGGATTTATTCAAAATTGGTGAAGAACAAGCCCAAGAAGATGCTGAAGATGGCTGTCCAGAGTTGTTCATGATGCATGCTGGTCATACTGGTGCAGTAACAGATTTAAGTTGGTGTCCTTACAAAGATTGGACCATTGGCTCAGTCGCCGACGATAATATTGTACACTTATGGGAAGTCGGCAAGACTCTACTCAACTCCGAGAAGGGAATTGAGTTGAAGGATACTGATTTAGAATAATATATCTAGTTTATAGGTTTAATAAATATGTACTATACTGTAGTGTTATTGGAACATTGCGACATTGAGCCCATGTCGTATCTTTGAAGGCACAATGTCGTGTGCTTGCCTTTGACTGATTCGTAAGGTAAAATGATACGGACTCAAGTCAAAGACATTAATCAGCAGCCAACGATACAAACTGGGTCTTAAATACAATATGTCAGATTTCCCACCTAACTTGTCCATAAGGCCTTTAACTATTGAGGACCTTGATCAATGCGTTCGTTTAGAAAACCGAGGATTTTCAGAATCCGAAAGATGTTCGCCCGAGAAATTTAAATATAGATTAACTACATGTCCAGAGTTATGCTCAGGTTTATTTATTAGAGAATATATCCCAAAATATAATGCTATTAATTTGCCTGAAGTTGCTAAGCAAAAAGAGAAGGAAATTGCTCCAGAGGAAACGGAAGATGAAAACCTCGATGAATTACCATACGAATCGTCCGTCGTCCAAGAAACTTTAATTGGACATATAATTGCCACTAAGACTTATTCTTCTACCATAACTGAGTCAAGCATGGAAGTTTCGTCGAGTGAAGATCCAACGGCCGGGCATTTTGAACATTCAAGATTCATTGGTATCCACGCGTTGGTCATAGATCCAGAATGGCAAGGTAAGAACTTAGGTACCTTATTGATGCATGACTACATTCAAAAATTATCCAATCAAGATTTAGGAGATAAGGTTATCATTATTGCACACAAAGAATTGGTTCCATTCTATGAGAAAATAGGATTCCATAATTTAGGTGAAAGTGAATGCAAATTTGCTAATACCAAATGGTTTGACCTCGCTATTGATTTAGTTCCTGAACAGGATGATTAAGGGTCATGGATTTACAATAATAATTGCAATATCGTACCATAAAGTTCTATAAAATCATTATTTAGTTGTATCTATACTTAATAACGCCTTTTTACGTACAGTTAGTCTATCTTACAATACCAAATTATAATTAAATTACTCGCTATTAAGAATTGTTCTTCTCAATAGTAATTAAGCAAATAGGCATCGGTTTGTTGCTCTATAACGAATTTTAATTCTTAAATTGTGACTGAACTTCCCTTTGGTACTTCTCGCGACAACTTTTTTTCAGGGTAAGATATATAATAGTATAACGAAGTTCTTATTCACTATGTTTGAGGTGCCTGTACCTATAAAGAAGGTGTTTGACACCTTTCCATTGTACACATATAATCCTATTCCCAATACCACGCCTTCTAATATTCAATCTATCGAATCTAACAAGTTTTATTTTACATCCAGCAATGACCAGGCCGATGAGAGTGCATGTTTTACTTTAGGAGTACATAACATATATCTGGTAACTACAGCTAATGGAGAAAAGAAAATACCCTCGGACCCTATTTCCTTAGGGCATTCATTAATTTTATGTCATAAAAATGGCCTTCAGTTACCAACTTGTGGTGATAAAACTGGTAATAAATCGAAGCATTCAATAATGAAATTATCGTATCATGCATCACCGGATAATCAATTGCCAATACTCATTGAGGACGACCTCAAGTCACAAACCCGCAACATAAGATCTGCATTATCGATGAATCAATCTGTTAAAGTGAATAACAAATTTTCTGAGAATGCCCTGGCTCGTATAATTAACGAATTAGTGGATGCAGAGCTTGCTGATTTATGGATATTATGTCTCTTGAGTGACTTACCGAGCTCTAATCCTCTTGTATTTAACAAATTGTTCAGATTAGACGAAGAAATTACAAACTCAACTTTCACGAATAAAATCACAATCATGTCGATTTTGAATGAAATACCTAAATGGGGTTCATTTAAAACAAGATACTCTTATTTATTCGACCATTCTAGAACTAAGTCGTTAATTAATATGCCGCTGAGATTACAATCGGAGGACATATTGGAAGTGTTTGCTAATACAAATAATGAATCTATCAGAAAGGCGTACAATGACAAATTGAAAGAATTTGAAATAAATTTAGAATTGCTAATTGATTACATAGAAAACGAGTCAAGTGATCAAAAGAAGATTATTGAGTTGAAGTTGGTTGGTTTTGTTATCATTATTGATTCATTATTGGATAATACCGAATTACATGCGGTTATTTCCAAGGGCAAATTTAGCTCTTTCGTTAAACTTTGTTACGAAATTATAGGTAAATATTAAGTCTATTAATATACATATTGTACATAGGGATTCAATTAGCATTTTTCCCATACTTGTATATAGCTTTCACCTAAAAACATCAATTCGCTCTCGCAGTTTTCAACTTCTAAATCTCTTATTGTAACCCATTGATCTGTTTTCTGGTCTTTGATTAAATTAACAGACCACTGATGTTTATCATCGCCATGATCTAATTTAATTCCTGGTATTAATTCATGTTTAATGCTAGATATGAGCTTATAGCGTATTGGTTCATCTCCCTGATCGAGCACATATGGAGACATATCTATAACCGATGGGAACTTTACCACAGTCGGATTACCTCTAGAATTTTCCTCGCCATTATCTAAACCTCTATCAATATGAAACATTATATAAGGTGGTAATGGTTTCACTAATTGATAAACTCTTAATTCAGCGCGAGAAACCTGCACTGTCGTCTTTCCATCATATTTCTCAAGAAGCAGTTCAATGGAGACTTGTGGTATTTGCGATGTATGTTCTCCTTGATTTGATGTCCCTTGGAATAAGGAATTCCCTGGCAAATCCAATGATAACACCCAATATTTCAGTATGTTTGTAACCTTATCTTTGTCTTGAACCTTAAAATCTACTTTTTTCGTCAACTCGTTTGTTGTTGTGGTTATTGGGATAGTAGATATTTTAATCAGCCCCTGTAATGATTTAGAAAATATAGTAGATGTGCTCTTAGTACTTTTGATTAGCTGAATATGTAGTTGGTTCAAAAGCCAAATCATAAATGCCTTGGGTGATTTCTGCTCAGCAAGTCCGAATTTCTTCTTAGATGCACCTGAAATATATTGTAAAAGTTCATGAGGGGATATATGACCTTTGAACAAATGACTTGACCATATTTTTCTCACCAATAATCCAAAAAGATTATTCAATTGTGATTTTCTTATGATTCGATCATTGAGATCAGTCTTCTCTGGAAATGTTAGGTTAAGATAAAAATCTCTAATTGGAGGTATATGGCTTAAAACTTGAAATATTACATTGGCATAGTCATTGGCAGAGATGTTATTGAGTCCAATAAATCCAATCACATAAGGCTTGTGATTCAAATCGTGTCCAATTTGTACTTTTTTATGAAGATCCTGTATTGCAGAATTTGAATACACGGGATTCAATAGTAACCTAATGTCCTGTAAATTTTTCAATGCCTTTTGTGACGTTAATTCATAATTATCAGGTAAAATATATGTTTTAGCTGTTTCCAAGTTCATAAACACTCTGTGATTAACATTCACAGAGTGCAAATAGGCATGAGATGATTTCGAACGGCCTTGAAAAAATTTGCCGCAAACTAAGCAACAATATACATTGACATTCGATAAGGATATCAGACAAACTTTCTCAAAATCAAAGTCTAGCAAATGTCTATTAACTGTATCTAAACAAAATCCATCATCATAGCCAGATTCATCATGCGGCTGTGAATTCTGTAAAAGGTATTGAGGCAACTCTTCATCGTCAGAACTATCAATTTCAGGTTTATTGTCAGTCCTTTGCTTTTTTATGGGTCTATCGGTTTCATAGTCCTCTATAGTAGACATATTTGTTTCATATATAAGATATGGCAGTTACGTTTTGCAAGTACAACTATTTTAGCCCACTTTTATTACACAAAATCACAATAGTAAATATATAAAGACTAAATCTATTTTATTATATTATATGATGTAAGCCTAATGAATAGCTAAACTATTAATATTTCCCGTTAATAACGAAGTAACATTTTCTTCGATGGCAGCCTCAGCTGTATCGGATAAGTGCTTCTTTGGATCTTGTTTACCGACATATCTTGTTTTCAATTGTTCTTCCAGCAATTCCTTTTCTTCTTTTACTCTCTGGTTGTACAACTCCGCAATCTTAACCATTTGTTCAGTATTTCCTAAATTCTCGTGTTCCTTATGATTGTAGTCTACCATCTTCAAACCAGATTGCCAGTTTTTCTTATGCAAGTTTAAGAGCATATTGGTTTCATAGGACGTTTTGTGGTAATCGATATTCAATGAGTAGTAGTGACGGTTCAATCCATGGATTAATGCTTGAATGGAAGGCTTGTTCAAATGCCCGACGTTGGAAGTGGTTTGACGAGGTTCTTGGCCCATCATCAACGTGGTGGTGTCGATAGTTCTGAACGCATCAATAACAACCTTACCTTTCACAGACTGGATTGGATCCACCACAACTGCTACAGCTCTCTTATTTAACTGTTCAAATGACTGCTGTGTGTTCACATCGACAGATGATAACCAACAACCAAACCCTGGGTGTGAATGGTACCATCCGACAACCATTTGATCTCTACCCGTTTGCCTCAACATATCCATCATTTTGGTCTGGAAAACATCATCCACGGCTTCAACAGATACACCTGTACCAGATTGAGGCATGGCAAACACATCAATCACATGAATCGTAAATTCATCAACAAACTCTCCTAACATCAATCCCATCACTTCCATTGGAACCCCGGCACGTCCGTGCTTCAACATCTTTAGCAACGCCAATGACGATATATGCACTGTTTCAGCATTATCAATTGCTGGTCCATCTGTAGGAGGTGGTGCTCCTCCTAATCCACCACCTGATCCTAACAATCTTTGTAATCTTTCCATCGTCTATTTATTATAATTATTCTCTCAATTCAGGCTTTTCAAACTTATTTCCAATCAATTACTAGTTCTCCTTGGTTGTCTGTTTCTATTCACAACCTCTGAGTTAATGTAAACGTATATCTATAATAATATTCGAATAATCCTTTAATCTAACCGCTTGGTGGCAAGCTACTGATGTTGGTGAAGTTTGAATATTGGTGGTTTTGTGTCACTTTTATTGCAAATTGGATATATGCAGGAATATTATCCAATTTTACCGTTCAAAAGAGAATATACCCACCTAGAAGTAGCTAATGGTCTGTTTCAGGGTGAAAAAACATATAGGTGTATTGGAGTGGATTGGTGTGTATGTCTGGCTTCTTTATCAAGCGATTGGAGAACTAAAATTTGATAAAATAACCACTAGAAGAAAATGTATGCCTGCGATATACGGAACCATCCCCGGGCTCTTTAACCATAATGAAAGTGCCTTAAATTTTTCAGTCAACCCGTTCCCATAATTTATTGGACAAATATAAGAAGAAACGTAGGAATTACTATCGATAAGAAGGAATTAAGATGGTTGACGTACCTGTATCTTTAAAGGGAAAGAAATACCCAGCAAAGGAGCATGCTAAGAAAGTTTGTACTCACTTTAAGTGCAAAAGTAAGACGGGGTCAAAAAGCGATGTTGCATTTTTCATCAGTGGTGAAGATTTAGAATTGTACGATTACTGTGATCAAACCAAGCCTATTAGACAAAATAGATACTTTTTCTACTTGAGTGGAGTATCAATTCCAGGGTCCCATGTTTTGTATCAATGTGGTACGGATAAATTGGTCCTTTATCTCCCCAACATTGATTTAGATGATGTTATGTGGTCCGGAATGCCAATGAGCTTAGAAGAGGCCAAGGATAAATATGACATGGACGAAGTCAAATATGTTTCTGACTTGAAAAAGGACCTTGAAGCTGTTGCCGAATCATCGACAATTTATACTACAGACGTTAATAAATTCAACCAGCAATGTGGACAATTTTTAACTGAAAAGGATGAAGACTTTTTTTTTGCCTTAGATGAATCTAGATTACTCAAGGATTCATATGAGATTGAATTAATGCGTCACGCTGCTTCTATTACTGATAAGTGCCACTTAGCTGTCATGTCTGCTATCCCTATCGAAACGAATGAAACCCATATCCATGCAGAATTCATGTACCATGCTCTCAGACAAGGTTCCAAGTACCAATCTTATGATCCTGTTTGTTGTAGTGGTCCAAACTGTTCTACATTACACTATGTAAAGAACGATGAGGAAATTGATTCCAAGAGATCAATTTTGATCGATGCTGGGGCTGAATGGGAATGCTACGCGAGTGATGTTACTAGATGTTTTCCTATCAATGGAGATTGGTCTAAAGAACATCTCGAAATATACAATGCTGTCCTAAAAATGCAATCTACAACCATGAAAATGATCAAGCCCGGCGCCAACTGGGACGACCTTCATTTAACTGCCCACAAAATCATGATTGACGAATTCTTGAAATTGGGTATTTTCAACTCCAAGTTCTCTGCCCAAGAACTCTATGAATCCAAAATCTCCGCTAGATTCTTTCCCCATGGGTTGGGCCATTTGTTAGGTATGGACACCCACGATGTTGGTGGCCGTCCAAACTACGAAGATCCAGACCCATTGTTGCAATATTTGAGGTTGCGTAGAACTTTACAAGCCGGAATGGTCCTCACTGACGAGCCTGGTATCTACTTCTCGCCATTCTTGTTAAAGGATGTCTTAGAGGACGAATCAAAGATGAAGTACATCAACAAGGATGTGTTGGACAAATACTGGTACATTGGAGGTGTGAGAATCGAAGATGACTTGTTAGTCACCGAATCTGGCTACGAAAATTTCACCAGTATCACCTCAGATCCTAAAGAGATCTCCAAGATTGTTAAGCAAGGATTGTCTAAAAACAAAGACGCTTTCCATAATGTTATATAGGTATGTCATAGGTAGGCTCTTTGTATTGTTGTTAAGAATGTCACGTGCGAACATCAATGGAAGCAATCACCAGAGTGAATCAATATAGGGTACAAAGAAGTTGTATTCCATGATTGATCATTATATTTCAAGTTATTGTATCGATTGATAGATTAGTTAGGTCAATTTAATAGATATTCAGATTATAATGGATGAAAACTACGACGTTATTGTATTAGGTACCGGGTTAACTGAGTGTATTCTTTCAGGAGTATTATCAGTTGAAGGGAAGAAAGTGTTACACATTGACCGTCAGGACTTCTACGGTGGTGAATCTGCATCTTTGAACTTGTCGCAATTATATTCTAAGTTTAAACCTACTGCTCAAAAACCAGAATTGAAGGGTAGAGATCGTGACTGGTGTGTTGACTTGATTCCGAAATTTTTAATGGCGAATGGAGAATTAACCAATATTTTGGTACACACTGACGTCACTAGATACATTGAATTCAAGCAAATTGGAGGAAGTTACGTGTATAGAAATGGGCGTATTGCTAAGGTTCCTTCTAACGAGATGGAAGCCGTTAGAAGTTCATTGATGGGCATATTCGAAAAGAGGAGAATGAAGAGATTTTTAGAATTCATTGCCAATTATAAGGAAGAAGAACCAAAAACCCACCAAGGATTGAATTTGGATTCCAACACCATGAATGATGTCTACAACCATTTTGGATTAGAAAACGGTACCAAAGATTTCATTGGTCATGCCATGGCATTGTGGTCAAATGATGACTACTTGAATGAGGTTGCGAGACCAACTTACGACAGAATTATCTTGTATGTGCAATCCGTGGCTAAATACGGTAAATCCCCGTATATTTATCCGTTGTATGGTTTAGGAGAATTGCCACAAGGGTTTGCTAGATTATCAGCAATTTACGGTGGTACATACATGTTAGACACACCTATTGATGAAGTTTTGTACACTGACGACAAAAAATTTGCCGGTGTCAAGACAAAGGAAGGTACTGCAAAAGCTCCAATCGTCATTGCTGACCCAACTTACTTCCCAGAAAAGGTTAAGAAGATTGGAAGTAAAGTCATCAGAGCCATGTGTATTATGGATCACCCAATTCCAAACACCAATGACTTAGATTCAGTCCAATTAATCATTCCTCAAAACCAAGTTGGCCGTAAGAGTGACATTTACATTACTGTTTTGTCCGATGTCCATTGTGTTGTTCCAAAGGGCTATTATTTGGCAATTGTTTCGACCATCATTGAAACAGAACAGCCCCATGTTGAATTAGAGCCAGCATTCAAATTATTGGGCCCTAGATTGGATACTTTAATGGGTATCGCTGAATTATATGAACCCTTAGAAGACGGTACCTCCGATGGAATTTACTTATCCAAGAGTTATGATTCCACTTCGCATTTCGAAAGTACTACTGATGATGTTAAAGATTTATATTTCAGAGTCATGGGTAAGCCTTTGGTCTTAAAGAAGAGACCAAATGCTGAAGAAGAGGAGGCCTTAAACGGTCTTGAATAGATGTTACATCTATATTTCTGTTTTGTTTCGTTTAATTGCTCTACCGCATATTTTATTTAGGTATGTATACGAATTCAAAGAAATGAAGATTTCGAGTAAACTGGTAGCTCATATTTATGATGTAATAGTTCAAAAAGTTGCAATTTTTCACAAAAATTGAACAATTGAGCAAATATTATGTTCTATTCTCTTGTTTTCTACCAAATACCCAATCATTACAATACATATAACCCCTGGAGTATTTCAGCTCCACTGAAGTAGTGCTGATGATTTTTATACCAATGTTCATCAATAATTCATTTAGCTGCAAATTTATTTACTTTCCCCCCCCGCGATCCCAATTTCTGTTTTAATCAACATGAAATATAAATGAAGGAGTTGAAGTAATATTCTGAATATATCTACGATAATAATCAGTAGAAGAATTAGAATTATGCTACTGTGGCCCAATTTCACTCAAGTTTCATCTCTGTTAGCGAAATAATAGCTCGAACCACACTAATGTATATTCTTTTGTAGGCAGATTTTGTGTAATATATACTGTGGAGGTAAATGATGAGTAATTCAAAGTCCTTTACTATAAAGGGTTCTAAATTCTTGAATACTAGATACTTTCAAGCCAGTAATACAAAGAATGACTCAATCTGAAAGTCCTGTTGACTCTCATAATTTCCGTACTGTTTCAGGAAAACCGTTAATCGTCGGAACAGGTACTGGTACCAAGTGGCAATGGCTCAAAAAAGGTAGACCGGAAGAGGAAAGAACCAAACTAACCCAAGAATTAATAGACCAATTGCTGCTAGCATTAAACAATGGATTCTATCATATTGATACGGCTGAAATCTATACTACTCATCCGGAGGTAGCAGAAGCTGTCGAGCAAAGTGGTATTAAGAGAGAAGATTTATGGATTACCAGTAAATACAACCCATACCGGAACATTACTGCAGCTGATGCTTTAAAGACGACTTTAGAAGAATTAAAGACTGACTATCTTGATTTGTACTTGATTCACACACCATTTTTTAGTGATGAGTCGACATATAGTATTGAGACAGCATGGAAAGAGATCATTGATGCGAAGAAACAAGGAAAAATTAGACATATTGGGGTTTCTAACTTTGCAGTACAACATTTGGAAAGAATTTTTAAGGTTTCAGAACCAGAGTTCTATCCTGTAGTGAACCAGATTGAATTTCACCCCTACTTACAAGATCAAAGTGCTGATATTACCGATTACTGCAAAAAGCACAATATCTTGCTTGAAGCATACGGTCCTTTGACACCATTATTTAGAATTCAATCAAACGAAGCTGATACTGCGGAAGATCCTTTGAGAAAGGTCTTACCAAAGTTGAGTGAGAAGTATCAGAAAACAGATTCCCAAATATTGTTGAGGTACACATTACAAAGAGGATATTTGCCAATCACTACATCTTCCAAAGTTCAAAGAATTAGAGAGACGTTGGCTATCTACGACTTCGAATTGTCTGCTGAAGATGTTGCTTTAATTGACAAGGAAGGCTCAACCTTTCATTTCAGAAGCTTCTTCGACGGGAAATTTGACTAAAACAAGAGAGTAGATCATAGAGATAGATTATTTCATTCATATAATAATGATTTCCTATATAGAATAGTGTAATAACATAAGACATTTCCTACAAAATGTTTCTAAATTATCGAAGCTGTCTACTTCTTTATTATTGGAATAATAAAGACGCAGCAATTTCGACATTTCCTTGACTCTGTTCAAGTGCAAATATCGCTTCTTGTTTTGAAAACCCCAAACTCACCAATTGTTTGATATCGCTTTCGTTGAATTTAGAAGACAGAGTACCCGTAGTACCCGTATTTTGTCGCTTTGCAGCAGCATTGGCAGCAGCAGTAGGTGGTTTTTGTTTTGCTGCAGGATCAGGAGTAGAGTTAGCCGGAACAATCGAAGAAGTAACGTTATTATTTTCAGCACTATTCGAACCAAGAGGAATGCCGGGACCACCAAAGGCACCACCACTCGAACCTGCAACTCCAGGTAAAAATGGATTAGTTTGAATTTCCAGCTCATGTAAGAATTTTGTTTCTATATTTCCACCAACAACCAAAACGTCTCGTTCCAAATCTAAAACACACTTGTGTCTCCGTAACATATCTAATCCGAATAATAAATCAACATGTGTATCAATTACTATAAATGAACAAGGAATATGTGTATCAGACTCACCAATGGCAATAGGAACACTATGTATTTTACCTTCTATTTTTTGAGATCCAACACCTCTTGCTTCACCAACAAATCTCTTATCAATTAATCTAGAAATACCACATTTCTCTGCAAGTTTCGGAGAAATAATGGTTGACTGAGCTCCCGAATCAACAAAGGCTTGTACTAATACCCCATTAACCTTGATGTTTATATACAACATGTTAACAGAAGTAAACGACTCTGGAGCGATTTCATATGCCAATTGCATATTTTCGTCTATCTGTTCCTGCCTTATCATTTCTAAAATACGAGCCTGACTTTCAGGATCATCAGGGTTTTCTTGTAGTCTTCTTAGCTGTTCTTGTTGCTGAGGATTATACAGTCCTGGTGTAGCTCCATTTTGAAATTGCTGCAACGAACCAATCACCGAATTCTTAAACTCAGCAGGATTATTCAAATTAGAATGCAATTGTGGATTGGATTGACGGAGTTGATTATTTAATTGGGGATTACTCAAGAATTGGGTTCTCATGGCTTCAATTTGGAAATCCACAGCATTTGAATTATTCGAGTTAGCAGTAACGGATGATCCAGATGACGCCGTGGTAGATGCTATGTTACTTTTACCCAACAACACCAAGTCATCATTACTAAGTCCCAAATCTTCTAACGATTTATTAGAACCACTCAATGGTTTCCCGTTATGCTTCAATGCCTGATCTTGTGGAGAAATATCAAACTCTGCTTGGATATATGCTTGGAAATCTTCCAATGTCATAGACTCTGATATGTCTACCGATAATATTTGATTGCTCAGTTCGTTGGATATGGTTAACCTCATTATTGTTGTTCTTTATATATGGAAGAGTGGCAAAAAGGATACTCCGAAGTATTTATATGCTTTGTAGATCTGTGAGTGGCGATATCATACTACAACTATCACAAAACCACCCCTGTACATTTAATACATCAATTTTTGCTACAACCCTACATGAATAGAGGTATAATAGTAGTCAATACGATACAAATTTTATAATATACATGTGCTATAGAAGTACAGAAGATTTTATCTGAATTTATCTATGTCGAATGTGTCTGTTGGTAACTTTTTTGCATACCATGTCAATCTGGTTACTTGTAATCAAAAGGCGTCTATTCTCCCCGTCTCAAGCATAAGTAACACACAAAGAGCGACATACATTATGTAGCAAGAACAAGAATTAAAGGCTTGGAATTAACATAGCGACCTGACTTCCGTTCAACAACATTTTCTTAATAACCTTTCCTTTTTGACCTTCACCATCGAATTCTTCGACGTTTTCTAATACCATATTGACATAATCGTCAAACCCTATCAAAGTTCCATGAAATTCTTTATCGTTGGTCATCAATACTTGAATTTTATGTCCAATGGACTTGTCAATAATTTCCAATGGAAGAATCGTATTCAAAGGAGACTCTTCGGCCGCCGCTTGGCTAGTTGCGTTATTAGTTTCAGACATAATAGAATATGTTAAGGACGTGTTTCAAAACTAGATTGTTCTACTAAAATGCTAGTATATAGAATAAGTTCTCACTAGTTAGAACCAACGATCATTTGGATTCAATGATGATGTTGATGTTAGTGAGAACGCGCACGACTAAGAATATTTTATTAAAGCTAGTTAGAAAAGATGGGTGTGAAGTATAATCGTATTATCAGTGTATTATCAGTGTATTATCAGTGTATTATACGTGTATATAGCTGTAATATTAATGTATATATTAAAGAAATTATTCACAAGAAAGGAATTATTTTGAGCTTCCTAAAGCCCTATCTGAAGAATAGCTGTTGACAGATCTTTTTGCTTTCCATCCATCAAAGTCAATTAATGTTTGCATACACCCCCATTCAGTTATCTTATTCTGCAACCATACCAAATTCACAGGCTTGGTCAAATAATCATTACAGCCCGCTCTTAAAGCGTTTTTTCTGTCTACCGACGAATTGGATGAAGCAGTTAATGCCACGATGATCACAGGTGATCTAAAAACAGTCAAGTCCAATTTTTCGTTTTCTTTCAACTCCAATTCCTCCGAGTTAGAATATGTAGATGCAGTGAGTTCATGCTGAGCAAAAACACCAATTTTGTTTATCTTTTCTAAGTGACGGATTTCCTTTGTGGCTTCTATTCCCGACTTAACCGGCAATTGGATATCCATCAACACCAAATGAAAGCCTCCTGTCCTCCATTTATCGACTGCTTCTTGTCCATTTTTGGCAATCTGGTACGGAATTTTGTATTTTCTTAAAAATGCTCCTAAAATAGCTTGGTTAATGGCATTATCTTCCACCACCAAAACTGATATAGACGGCAATACAGTGTCAGTAGTAAGCTTTGACAGCTTTGTACCTTTAGGCATCATTGAATTAGGTTCCTTCGCTTTTCCAATATAATTAGAATGTTTAAAAGATTCTGGTGTACCAACATTTTTCTTTATGGGTCTCAGATTATTGCTGTCTTCACCACTGAGAATTTGGTCTAAGCTAATATTCTGTTTATTGGATGATGATTCATCAATAGACGGTGAAGGAGATATACTTAGTCTATCATCACCTTTCGAAATATCTGATTTTTGATGATGGTTTTCAGGGTCTGTATTACTTCTTTCTTCTAACTTTCTCCCCCCATTAGAATCTGAGTTCAATTCGTAAGGCTCTGGGACGGAATGCGATTGACTATGGATTCCCATTCCAATATTAGTTAAATTAGTACTCGAATCAACCGGAGACTCATTTATAGGCTCTTGTCTGTTCTTTTGGACGAAACTTTCATCCAAAGAAAGCCTCTTCTTATTGTGAAATGGATTAGTTGATAATGAATTTGTATTTGAAGCAAGTGAAAAATTCTTTGGTAATAACAAAACTGCCTGGGAATTTTCATTATTATTATGATTCGTAACGTTAGTACTAGAAAATGAAGGTGATTGTAAAGGATTTGATTGGGATCTTCTATGGACGTTAGAGCCATATGATAATGGCGATTGTCTGCCATTAGTTATTGACGCTGGGGAGACAGATTTATAATGAATTGTGCCTTGGTTTTGTGCAATCGGATTACTTTGATGCATATACTGCGGTTTAGGTTGATGATATGACTGACTAGTATTTGAAATTTGAGATGGATTAGTAGATCGTATTAGTTGTTGTGATACTTGCGGATACAGTCCTCTTTGATTATAATTATTTGGAAAACCAGCATTGAAACTGCTTCTATTAGACGCAGGTTCTACATATGGAGCTTCAATTATGAAAGCCTCTTGCATTCCCATACCATTTGGATAATAAGAATCTAAAATGTTCCAAACATTCTGGTCAGGTTCTAAGTTGACGTAGCTATAAGGATTTGTCTGCTGCTGAGTTTGAGTTCCCGACGACTGACTGGCAATAGGAGATTTAACGCTCTTGAAATTATCAGGAGATGTCAGCAGGCCGGTGTTAGATGGGTACGTAGTCTTTTTGTTAGCAGACAAATTTTGGTTATTAGATGCAACGTTTACCGTCTGCCTAGCCAGCAAATCCATTTTTATTATCAAGTCGGCTGGATCTATTTCTCTTGCCAATGAATTCGGGAACTTATTAACGACAGCTTGCTTCAAATCATCTATTATGTCATTTTGATGAATTACTATAGTGGTTGGTGTTCCTTGGGACTTCTTGACCCATACTCGGCGAGTAGTAAAAATACTGGGCGAGAACTGCCCTAAAGTATTCTGACTAGTAGATGAAGGATGGCTAAAGTTAATTGGAAAATTGCTTTGCTTTTGTGACGTCTTGGGCATATTTGACTGGTTATTGCTATTGTTATTGGTTTGGCTATTTGACTGACTGTTGGAATTAGTACCTATTGGATTGGAAGTATTCGGATTACTAGGGGGTTGAATTGAATTTTTGACACCAAAGCCGGGTATAAAGTAGCTATGTTTTGATGGAAGTGGCAACAGAATATGTAAATTAGACATTTAGTTTAACTCCAACGTTGATGTTGCCTTAGGTCGGAATTTAAACGTCCTCTGATTTCAGTAGCTTTATAAAATATTCGAGTATTACGTGAAAACAAAAATCAAATACCAGTTAAAAAACCTGAACAATGATAAAGATTCTAAAAATATGAATAAGATCACAGTCTATGTTGACTCTTATCTTCATCCACATTAAATACCCGATGGTGTTTTATTCCTTAAAATTGATTTTAATCACATGTTTTGTGCAGTACACAACAAAATGTCCAATTGGCTATTTCAATATATTTCATTATAACTATAGAGGTATACTAAGTACAGTGCTATTCCCAATCGTCGTCGTCATCGTCGTCGTTATTTGCATCACTAGCCTTTTTCTCGGATGATGCTTGAGTCGAGTTAGCATCCTTTGCAGGTTTTGCATCATGCTCACCTTGTGCCTCTTTAGCTACATCAACGACGTCTTCTTCTTCGTCATCGTCCCAAGTGAATTCTTCTTCATCATCATCATTTTCGATGACGTCCTTGGTCTCCTTCTTTTTCAATAATTCTTTTCTCTTCTTTTCAGATTCTTTAAGCTTTGCCTCGGCCTTGAAGTAACGATACCAGAATAGTTCGTAGGAGATTTTCACAGGCACCAAATCGTTCATCAATATGGTAAGGGTATTTGGGTATTCTTTGAGTAATTTAGAAATTTCGTTTGTTTTTGTATCAGCATTGAATTTCTTGAGTTCTTCTTCGCTATCTGCCTCGTCAGATGTGTATATCGATGCAGTGGTATGTAAGTTGTATAAGTCGCTATCATAACGAGAAGTTCCATAATTTTCTTTCGTGTTCAAAGGTGTCTTGAACAACGTTTCAGATGCTTCGTCTTGCTGCTGTTGGCCTGGGTCCACAGAAACCATCCCGGAAAAAAAGGAGGTAAGCTGAGTGACATATTTACCAGCTTGCTTTTCAACCAGTTCTAAAGTAGAGTCCAAAGTGTCAAGGGTACTAGAGGCATGTTGCTGTAAGTTTTTCAAATCTACTTCAGGAATATGACCAGATAATGCCTTCAATTGCTCTTCAATTTGTCCTAAGTTTTCCGTCACCTTTGCTCTGTTATTAATATTAGTCTTGGCAGAGCTCAATTGCTCAAGCAACTGATTCTTGTGTTCTTCCAACTTGTATTTCTCTTGCAATTCGTTAGCATTCTTTGATGCGCTTGACCACAAACCAGCAAACCTAGTTTCGACCGCCGTGTATGCTTGATCAATTTCATCTTCTAGCTTGTGAACTGCTTCTTCAGTCTTATTATCATTAACTCCTTCTGTCTTAGGAAGCTCTTCTTGTGCCACAATTGGATCATAGAATTCCATTTTGTTTCTCTAAGCTTGAGGTGGTTAAGTATATCTATGATCAAGGTAATCCTTTGATGAATATACTGATCGTTATATATTTATATGCAGTACGATATTATGTTACTTTGGGTCAAGGTACCCATGAAACAGCATTATATTCGAGGAGATGGGTTCAAGTACGTCACAAGATGCGATATATAGTCCCTGGACATATAAATGGTAAAAACATTGCTTCAATTGGAGCAATAACACCGCAATGGCGTTAACCATTCAGGAACTTCGAAGAATGCAACTTCGTTTTGTAGACTTCAGCTTTCTAATTGGCCTCCCCATTGCAGATGATATTCCGAAATATGCAATAATATTAATTTTCACTTAGTATTCTTAAGAATATTGTTTTTGGATGAACCATGAGTCAAATAATACGACTAAGTCAAATTTTGCAATTAGTGCGGTTTTGAGTCCGATAGTCGGGGAGAATAGAAGCAGCTTTAACGATATTCTATGTAGCTATTTTTTTCGTAGACAACTCAACGCTAACGAATAATGATACCGACAGGAAGGTTATTTAACTCACAGGTAGATCAATGTTTACTAAGAATTAAGGATGGGCTTTTCAAGAACAGTGGAAAAAAGACTCAGGATTTGAAAGATTATGTCTTTAGGAAGCCTATTGAAAACTTTGAGATTTATAGACTCAACAACGAGAATAAGCCTTCGTTATGGTCTGTAACAGGACCAGCCAAATCACAATTCCTAGCTATTGTCTCAGGGAAATATCTTCCATTACCCCCACTTTCTAGAACATATCCCTTTATGCTGGACACTTTCAAGTACGATCAGATTCAATTTTTGAACTTTAAAGAAGCTTCAGGGTTAGATAAAGTACATTTATCAGCTAGATATGAATCTTATTCTTACAAAGGAAGCTTAGAAATGTCCGATGATGTTAATTCTGTCCGCAATTATATTACAGGTGCTAATAATTATAATAGTAATACGACTTCGGGAGTTAATGAAGAATTTGTGAATCAACTTTTGGATTTGTTCAATTTGAATCACTTGTCACACAAGTGGATCAACTCGTTATCTAATGGGCAATTAAGAAGGGCAAGATTAGCTAAAGCATTGATCAACAAGCCTAGCTTATTCATAATCGATGATCCGTTTTTGGGATTAGATCCCCACGCAACCAAGTTAGTATCCAATTCGCTTCACAGAGTCAGCAAAGACTTGAACACTAGTGTTGTGTTAGGTTTAAGAGTCCAGGATGATATTCCAGATTGGCTTACCCACGTTGGCTATATTACTACAGAAGATGGATTAAAAATGTCAGGTGCTAAAGAAGATGTGCTTCCTCTTCTCGAAAAAGAATTAAATACTGTGAACTCTATCCATAAACAACACGAAACAAAGCTGAAGAATAAACACAGTACCCCCATTACGAATGAGTCCTTGTGTGCTTCTGGTGAGATTCCTCACATCGAATTTCGCAATGCATCTGTTGTCTACAAAGATTTACCAATATTCACCAATTTTAACTGGAAGATTCCTCGTGGATCCAAATGGCGTATATTAGGTGACAACGGTACCGGAAAAACCACTTTACTCTCCTTGATTACGGCAGACCATCCGCAGTCATGGAGATCAGTGTTAAGCATAGACGGTGTTCTCAGGAAAACCGGAAGCGGAGTTTCATTTTTCGATGTCAACAACAAGATTGGTATCTCTTCACCTGAACTCCATGCCTTAGTTCCAGGAAATAAGACTATGATGCAGATCATTATGAACGGACTAGTTGCTGATGTCGCGAACTCAAATTTCACCTTTATTGCACCCAAAGAACTGCTTACTTCACATTCTCGCGCCCTTCTTGGCAAATTCGACGATATTCTTGCATCTCATGCCAACGATAAGTTCTCTGACTTGTCCATTACCAACCAGAAACTTACATTATTCCTTCGGGCCATTATAAAAAACCCTGAAATTCTCATTCTTGATGAGGCCTTCTCTTGCATGGACGAAGAACAAATTATGATCAGATGCCACGACATTGTAGAAAATGAATTGAAAGACACAACTGTACTAGCGATAGCTCATATAGACTGGGAAATTCCATCCTGCGACTATGTTTTGAAGCTACATGGCGATGAACAGAGATCTTACGGTATTCTGAAGTATGATTGATTCGAGCTTATACTAGTAGTGCTTAGGTGAATTTTTACCCCTATACACTTTTTCTACAACTTTCATTACTACAATTGCACCATTTTTTATTAAAATTTCTTCTGATACAAAACAAAACCAACTACTTAAGACTAGATGTCTTTTATATATAGAAATACACAATATATTCGTTGATATACTGCTTTATTTGCTCTGGATTAAAACTTTTCACACCCAAACGCGCTATTCTAACCGTTGGTGGTTTTGTGTAACTTATCGAGTTTTTGTTCTATTTAGTTAATTTTATTGTCAACAGTTGTTAGCATAGGAGATTACCACGGTTTATACGGACAATCATTAGGTATAACAAGCATCTGTATTGAATAATATCAATAGGAATTATACTCAGAAATTACCAGTGATAGCAGTAAACGTCCGTACCATTTGAACAACCAACCTTGGGGATTACGAAAATAGTAACGCAGGCATATTATTCACCAAAGCAAAAGATAATATGTCTACCAAAATACCAACTGCCGAGAAAGATACTAGGTCAGAGGAAGAACAAGCAGCGTTAGAATATGGGAAGCTTACTTCTAAAGACTACTTGTATGTTTCTCAACATCCAGTGGGAGAACCATTACCCACACCCATCGAGGACGAGCCGCCATACATAGTCTATATTACGACGTATATAAGTTATCTTCTTTTGATTCTTATTGGACACATTCGGGACTTCTTTGGGAAAATATTCAAGCCACGAGACTATGAACATTTGGTGGAGAAAGATGGCTATGGTCCGTGGTACGATGGGTTTGAAAGTTTTTACGTCCGTCGGTTGAAATTAAGAATCGATGATTGTTTTGCGAGACCTATTCATGGAGCACCGGGGCGTTACATCAAGTGTTTTAACCGTGATAGGACCCGCGTGTACGATGAGTATACCTATCCTGGAACTTCAACGGAATGTTTGAATTTGTCCTCTTACAACTATTTGGGATTTGCACAGTCTAAAGGTTTGTGTACGGATCATGCCTTAAAGGCGGTTGAAGATTATGGTACCTCTGGGTGCTCTCCAAGACTGCTTAGTGGTACCACTGACTTACATAAGGAATGTGAACGTGTCATTGCTGATTTTGTACACCAGGAAGATGCTATCATTGTTAGTCAAGGTTACGGTACTAACGCCAATTTATTTGCATCTTTGGCCGATTCCAACTGTTTGATTATAAGTGACGAGTTGAACCACGCGTCGATTAGATTTGGTATCAGATTGTCAGGCGCATCTGTTAAAGTGTTCAAACATAATGATATGAAGGACTTAGAAAAGTTATTGAGAAACTCGATTGCTCAAGGTCAACCAAGAACTCATCGTGCATGGAAGAAAATCATCATTGCTGTTGAAGGGTTATACTCTATGGAAGGTAATATGTGCAATTTACCTCAAATTGTGGACTTGAAAGAAAAATACAAATGCTATTTGTTCGTAGATGAAGCTCATTCTATTGGTGCGTTAGGACCTGAAGGTAGAGGTATCTGTGACTACTTTTCTGTCGATACACGTAGAATTGACTTATTAATGGGTACTTTCACTAAATCTTTTGGTGCTACCGGGGGATACATTGCTGGTCCAAAGGAATTAATAAATAAATTGAGAATTAATTACATTACTAACAACTACTCCGAATGTGTTCCTCCTCCAGTCTTGGGTCAAATCATCTCTTCATTAAGTGTCATTGATGGTAGTTTAAGCCCTGGTGAAGGTTCTGAAAGATTAAAGAGAATTGCTTTCAACTCGCGTTATTTAAGATTAGGATTAAAGAAATTAGGATTTATTGTTTACGGTGCCGATGACTCTCCAGTTATCCCGGTTTTGTTATTTTTGCCAGGTAAGATGCCTGCTGTATCAAGATTCTTGTATTCTATGAACATTGCTGTCGTGGTTGTCAGTTATCCTGCCACCCCGTTAAGTAGTGCTAGAGTCAGATTATGTGTCAGCTCAGCATTAACCAAAGAAGATCTTGACTACGTTTTAACTAAATTTAATGAAGTTGGTGATATGGTTTATTTGAAATTTAGCAGTGGTATCGCTGGTGGGTCTAAAATACCAGGACAACCTCCTAGATGGTCAATCGAAGATGTGATCGCCACTAATGTCGAAGATTGCAAAAAAGCTACTATGGCGTAATCCCTCTCATTTTTAGACCTTAATTACTTAATGTTTCTCTTCTATTATCTACATATTAATATCAGCTTCTATTTCAATCGTATATAATTTAATTACTTAATATAATGGCTTTCCTATACTACTTAATCGAACGAGCTTGATATTATGTAAGCAGTACATGTATATCAAAAACCCGATATCAATTAGAGGGAAGTATACCTGATACAATTAACTACTGATGGCTTCTACTACGGAATGGAAAGTTCCCGATCCACTAACTCCACCGTTGAAATTTAGCACGGTTCAACCAAATTTGTATAGGGGTGCATACCCCAGAGAAATTAATTTTCCCTTCTTGAAGACTTTAGAGTTGAAGACAATAATATCCTTGACCCCTAGTCCAATTGCTTCGGAAACTGACAAAAAGTTATATGACTTTGCTGTTGAAAACAATATACGAATGGTTCACTTAGAATGTGCTCATCTAGGAAAGGGTAAAAAGAGGGGCGTCCCTATTGGATATTCGGCAATATTGGAAGCCTTAAACCTAATGATTCACAAGGAATATGGACCGATATATATACATTGTCTAAATGGAGGACAAGTCACAAGTTTGGTAATAGCATGTCTTCGTAAAGTGCAGTTTTGGTCTTCAATTGCAATTTTTAATGAATTCATAAACTTCACGTCTAATATAACGGTAAATGATAGAAGTTTCGTAGAAGGGTTTAAGGGAGAGATAAATGTAAATTCTAAAGATAAGGTGGATTGGCTATGGGTGGGTATGAGTAAAGGTGTCATTGGTAATCATCCTAAAATAAGAGTAACTGATGTATCATGAGGAAGTAATTAATTAGTCAATTAATTATTATCTATATTTATTCAATATATATATATACAAGTATTATCTAAATACGTTGGTAAAATAAACAGTATGCATTTCTATTCAATACCTGGCTCTCTTTACAATTGTAGGTGACCTTAGCGTCATCGAAGTAACACCAATCTCTTGTCTTTTTTGAATCACTTTGCTTATAAACATAGGAGGTGTAATGTCCAGTGGTTAGATTACCATAGTGATTTGCCACGCCATAAAGTTTATATCTGAATGGAGGTTGTTGATTTCTTGCTGGCAACGTTGACAAAATCTGCCTTTCCTTTTCCTTCGATATTTTTTCATTTGACTTAAGATTATCATTAACTGACGTGCCAACGTCTGGCCAGTATGATGTAAGGTCTAAAACATCATTAACTGGATACTTTATAAAAGTATCAAGTTTATTGAAATAACCATTACTATTAATTTTAAATCTCTTGAAATGAATGATTAAGACGTTTGGTAGCCTGGTGATGGTTATTTTTTTTGTCAGTTTGGTGAACTTTTTGCAACTAGGACAATGCCATTTATTATTATCATCAAGTAATTCAGTAGTCACAAAGCCTTCTAAACAATCATGTAACGAAACATCCTTAAGGGAACCAAGTTTCTCTGGAATTGGTAAGGATAATATCAGAAATGCATTGTATGTCGTTGATGTTAACCCACATTCCAAACACTTTAATTGTGATAAATATTGACCTTGGAAAAAATCAACGATAATTGAAAAGTTTAGTTTGAGATATCTTTCCCATTCTATGGTAGAAGCTAATCTAACAGGAAGAAATTCTCTTGTTTTCTCTTGTTCTGGGGTCAATTCCAATATAGTCCTTTTTTCTTCAGGGTCCGATATTAGCATTTGATTTAAGTCTTCATGTAATCCATCTAATATGAAGTTTAAAAATTCAATACAATCCTGTTGATCAAATGTCGCAAACTGTTGGCCAGGGGATAATGATCCCACTACCTTTTTAAAACTTGTTGGAGTAAAGTATTTACCAACATTTGAGAACATATTCATTAATAGATTAGCAAAATTTGTAGTTAAAATGCCTTTAGTTCCTAGTTTATTGTTCACATTAATATGCTGGCGATATGATTGAAGCGAAGCAGTCGATGGCAAAGATGAGCTTGATATATTTGGAAAAAAAAAATTGGTTAATTGTGGTGTAGCTCCTAAACATTGAAGAATGCAATTCATATAACAAGAATTACCAAGATTAGTGAGGCCTGTAGTATATTGCTCTAAAAATTTAACAGCATTGTTATTCTTAGAAGTAAAAGGAATTTCAGAAGACAAACTAGATTTTGATGGACTAAGTGAATTCGACAATGTATGGGATAAGTTTGATACCGATGCATTAGATTCTCTTCTAGACGGACTTGATTTGAGTTTGGGCTTCTGCTGTCGTGGTGGAGAAGAGCTTAGCTTATCATTATTGATAAACGAGCCTTCCAAAGAAGAAGAACGAAAGCGATTGGAATTTTGAATACTTGTCGATGTGTTTGAATTAATATTAGACGTCGTTGCCGCCATTAATGTGGAAGGTGAGAAGGTATTTGATATCGGTGTATTCTTTGACTTCGCAGTAGATAAGTAGTCACCAAAGTTTTTAAGATACGGCGACGAAGATCTTTCTGGATTTATAGAGTCTTCTAGAGTTTTAGCATTCTTCTGTCTAGGTATCGATGAATCACTACCGCCTCTTGACAATGAAGCCTCGGGCCTAGCAAGAACTTGTGTAGTGTTAGTTTTGGTGATATATTTGTCACCAAACATATCATACCAGGTTTTTACACCACCTGCTAAAATGCAAGGGTGACGTTTTAGCTTTGAACTTATATATTTGTTCTTGTATGTTATTATATCAATTAATTTTTGAAATGGACACTGTACTGCGATACCGTTCGAGTCACCATTTATCAACAGACTTTTGAGTGACATAAACCTATCTTCTTCTATATTTGGACCGTAACGGAAATTGTATATAACCACTAAATCGTAATTGAATCTTTTCAAAAATCGTTTGTATTGTTCAGAAGGAAGTAACATTTCAAGCCTTGCCTCTAGATCTTGGTCGACAACATTATGGAATTCTTTCAGTGTACCTGATAAGCTATTAACCCACTCCGGTTCTATGTTCACAATTTCAGAATGGTTTATGTGATTGTAATTATACTCCTTTCTAGTCCTAAAATCTATCAATAAAATGCTCTTAGACGAGTAAGTTTGCAGGAAAAGCAATGTATATAGCTCAGATGGATTAATAAACTCCCTATATTTATATGCTTCTATGCTTATACTCTTTGTATGAGATATTTGAGAACCATCTTCCATTTCCTGGGGTGAAGGACTTTTAAGATTATTAAACCTGGCTAATAACGGATCCACTGATCCGTCGATCTTATTAGATTCATTAGCCTTCGGAGAATTCGAAAAGACCTCCATCATATGTTCATATTTGCTTTTCTTATTCTGTAAAGTAACTTTTATATCATCAAGAAACTCCTTCGTCTCAACGGTTACTGCTTTCTCGCAGAATTTATATAACGCCACCGAGATATCAAAACTGACCAAGGCTAACTCGAAATCGCAGTAACCCAATCTCTCTAGCTTCCTTGATTCATGGGTGAATATTTCTATAAGCGAAACCTGATGCCCTAAAAGTTTAGGTATCTTTGGTGTGCTCGATATAAGTTCATTTGTAATCGATAAGGATAATGATTTAAGCTCATCAATTGACCTGAACTTCACTATTTCAGACGTCATCTATGAAATATGATATTAGACTCTATTCAGACGTATGTCTTGAGCAATATTTATATTAGGTTTTAATTATCAGTAAAGAACTATCAATGGGCCTGAATGGTAACTAATCCAATTTTGAGGATTATTTTGGGGTTCCAGGTTTTGCACGTTCTACAAAAATATGTTAATAAAAATACAGGATATCACTTTATATATATTAATAAGCTAGAAACTACTGAGGAACTCTTTCAAACCGGAATCGAATCCTTGTTCCCATTCCCAAATAAAATTCAGCAGACCTTTGTCTTTGATGTGCTCGGCCAATCTTGCAGCCTTCCATGCACCAGTTCTACCTATGACAGATCCATCAAATTTAGCAAACTCTAAGGAATCTTTCCAAGCTGTAGAGAATCCATCCTTGTATCTGTCATGTTCGTATTTTTCTTTTGAGTTTTGCTTATTCCAATAATCAGAATGACCACCAAATGCATTATCTAATTTTTGTTTGAATACAGATTCATCAGGTACCTGTTTCCCTTTTATAGAAATAGGTGGCTGGATTGCTCCCTTATCAAACATGGTTCTAAAGTCCCATTCTCCTCCATTTCCTGACTGGAATTTGAAGGTCCAGAAGTAGGATCCGAAGCCAGCTCTTTGGGAAATAAGTTCAACTTGACGTCTACCATAATCAACTACCAAATTATCTCTCTTGTCATTGGCCCCATCTCTTCCCCAGGAGTCACCGTCTAACACACAAGAATATTCCCCAACCATAAAGTCTACCCCTTTACCGTTATCATTGAGGTTCGTTAATAAGTCTTTGTCTAAATCACCAATGATTGCCTGTGGAGACTTCTTCTTATCATCATCAGAGAAACAGCGGTAGCAATGATGGTCAACTACAACTCCTAATGATTCTCCATCAGATTGGTTGTCTTGGACCCATTTAACCCACTGATCTGGCCACCAACCGTCAGATATAACCACTGGAACTTCACTGTCTGCTTTACGAATCAGTGAAATACCAGCCGCATAGTAGCGTGATTGTCTTTTTGGATCATTTGCAAATTCCGCTTCGTTTACAATTTGAATGGCAGCAATATTTTCGTATTTCTTTAAGTCTTTAGCGATAAATTCCAACATATCACAGACCAAAAGTTGTGACTCCTGACAGTTCCAGAATCCAGCTTCTCCGCCAGATTTTTCACCACTGTGATCCGATCCGTTGGCTCCTTTAGGTAACCCGTGAATATCAACCACAACTGAAATATTGTGTTTACCAGCTTTTTCTATAAATTCCTTTTTAAAAATATCCCACGCATTAGAGTACACAGATTTAGCATACTTCTCGAATTTAGTACCCTTGGCATATTTTCCACCACCCACTTCCCAGTATCCAATTGGTACTCTAACACTTTCAACGTGATGATCATGCAACCACTTCCAGTCATCATCGTTCATAAAGTTGGTCCAATGATGCTCAAACTTCTTTTGAGCTTCCTTTTCACCACTTTGTTCTACTTGCTTGCTAACAGCTTCTAATTCACAATCTGCTCCTTCTGGGAATAATTCATGAAATATCCACTTTTCCATCACGAAACAAGCTCCAATATTCACACCAAAATTATGACGTGATTGGTATATTTGCTTCTTCGTTGGTGCTTTACCAGGAGTTGCAGCTGGCGAAGCTGGGCCAATTTTGGAACCCTTTGATTTAATCTTAAGTTTATCAAACATAGTTTATTATTTGTCTACTCGTTTATTTTCCACAGTTATCAAATATATCTAAGCGATTCTTATATATTTATCTTGTCTAAGCCTTCAATTTTCAACCTGACCATCAACTACGTAATTGCTAAGGACGCTTGCTATAATAGCAAGCATGCATGTCAAGATTGTTGTCGCGAATCATGTCGAAAAGTATGCTAAAAATGACAAATCAGTTTATGGCGCTTAGCTATATGCTTCTCAAGCAGTTTATTGTACAGTTCATATGAAATGAAGAGGGAATGGAGCAACATCGCACCAGTATAGAGATATCAGACTGGCCATCATCATTTCAAAGGCTATTGAAAATTTTTTTTCAAATCAATACCCATTTGACATTTTTATCATCGCATTCAAGATCAACTATACCGACGTATGATCTACTACATAAACTAAATGGAGACATTAGCAAGCTAGATTTGGCAATTATAGCCAACTTATTACCTCATGGAGATGTAACTTATGAATATGTGGATGAGAATCAAGTAATGCTTTCATTTACGGAAAAAGTTCAGTTCGATTGGACTACGGGGTACCATCAATCCAAACCTAGTACGATGGATGATGCTTATAAGGAAGCTGCGGAAATGAAAGGTGAATTTGATTCAAAACAATTGCTTATTTTTGACTTTAGGGATACGAAAGTTCAGGGCATTGGTTCGGTAATTAAAGGAGGAAGAAGAGCAAAGAAACGAAAGACAGAACCAGTGGATCCTGGCGAAGGGTTTTTTCTTTCTAGTAAGGATCTTAGCCTTCAAAACCTAACAAATAAACAGCTCCTGAACATAATAATAGGTCGGAATGAAAAATTTAAACGGTGTGTAGCTGATTATTTGCAATCTATGACAGAGGAAGAAATACACGGTGAGGATGATTTAGCTATGAAGAAATTACTTGATTCGAATCGAGAGAAGATACCAAAGCCTCCTGACTTAGAAGATCCCATAGTAGCTCTTGACAAAAATAACACAAGTATTCCGTCGGATGAAAAGCCATCATTAGACGACATGATAAACGCATTAAAATTGAAGCCATTCTACAAGGATCAGATTGTTGCCATTGAGACATTGACACATGCCCAAAGTGGTAAATTTGATATGCTTCCTATTAAAAAAGAAGACAGTGAAATTGTGATTCACCCAGATCTAAAGAACGCACTCCTCAATTATAAAAATATATCAATTGATGGTGGATTGTACTTACATCAAGCAGAGGCATTAAAAGCATTGATGTTTGATGAATCGAAGAATCATGTCATTGTAAGTACTTCAACCAGTTCTGGAAAATCACTTATATACCAACTACCTATTATCAATGATATTCTTTGGAACATTAGCAAAGGTAACAAGAAAAGAGAATGTACAGCATTTTTTATATTTCCTACAAAGGCATTAGCCCAAGACCAAAAGAGACACTTGCAAGAATTTATTAAGCATCTTTCAATAACGAAAGACAGACAAATAATTGTTGAGACTTACGATGGTGATACACCCGGACATAACAGAAGTTCAATACGAACATTTGCAGACATTATTTTCACTAATCCGGATGCCATACATGCGTCTATTTTGCCTAACCATAGAGGTTCCTCTTCTGACAGGTCTAGTTGGCATGATTTTTTATCTGGTTTGAAATATGTTGTAATGGATGAGTTGCATGTTTACAAAGGTACTTTCGGTATACATGTGAGTTATGTTATGAGTAGGCTAATGAGAATAGTCACCAAATTGCGTGAAGATCAGGCTATATATCCTTTTAACAATTTACAGTTTATATCCTGTTCTGCAACTATAAAAAACCCAATCTCTCATTTTAGGGCAGTTTGCGGGATTTCTTCGAAAGAAAAGATAGTCCATATATCTGAAGATGGCAGTCCGTGTTCCGAAAAGAAATTAATAGTATGGAATCCACCGGCTTTGATGAATAAAAAAGGACAAATGACCTCCTCGGGTAGTTTTGGAAAATCAAACTCCTTGAGTTCAGTCCTTGTACCAAGGGAAAATTCTATACTGGAGCTGGCAAAATTGCTACTTCAGCTTTTGAATAATTTACCAACGATAAAAGTTATTGTATTCTGTCCGATTCGTGTTGTTTGTGAATTAATGATGAAGGAGATTAGAAGTTTGTTATCAAATTATGCTATCTCTAGCTCATCTTTATCTGAAAGTGATATTATGTCGTACAGGGGTGGGTATTCAAAATCTGATAGACGTATAATCGAAGAAAAAATGTTTAACGGGAAATTAAGGGCTATTATAGCAACAAATGCATTAGAATTGGGTATTGATTTGTCAGATTTGGATGTGGTAATTACATGTGGTTTTCCTATGCTGAAGCTGAATTTGCATCAGCAGTTTGGGCGTGCTGGAAGAGGTAATGCATCCCAGGGAAGTCTAGCTATTTTCGTTGCTGGATCCAAGCCACTCGATCAACATTATTTGAGGTATCCTTTAGAGTTGTGTGATAAAAGTACATATGAAGATTTATGTGTTGAAGGTTTAATGGATTTGGGGCTGAATCAGCTTATTATGGAAATGCATTTACAATGTGCAGCCTTTGAATGGCCAATTGATATTGAAAGTGATATTGATTGGTTCTCTCTGGATGGATCAATAAATAAGAAGAATACCTTTATTAAGCTATGCAGAGAGAGGTTATATAAAGATAAGGGTAATAAATATAGAACAAGCCCACGTTACCTACCTTGGCCTGTCGAACATGTGTCTATTCGAGCTGTTGAGGAGACCAGCTATGCAGTAGTCGATACCACAAATGGCCGTAATATTGTAATTGAGGAAGTTGAAGCACTGAGAACAAGTTTCACACTTTATGAAGGAGGCATATTTTTACATCAAGGATATCCGTACTTGGTGACAGAGTTCAATTCGGATGGGTGTTTCGCAAAGGTTGAAAGAGTGAAAGTCGACTGGATCACTCAACAAAGGGATTTTACGGATGTAGATCCAATCGAAGTTGAATATATTAAATGTTTAAATCCACCTTTAGATACAAACAAAATTAATGATACACCTATATTTTTTGGTAAGATTGAAACAACAATAGTGGTTTTTGGTTATTTCAAGGTCAATCGAAGATCAGAAATACTTGAAGCAGTTGAAGTCAAAAATCCACCTGTTATTCTTCATTCTAAAGGATTTTGGATTGATATCCCTCTGGAAGCCTTAAATGTAATTCAAGAAAAGTCCTTATCTCCTGCTGCTGGCATACATGCTGCTCAACATGCAATCATGAATATCCTTCCGTTATTCATAAATGGTGGTGCGACTACTAATCCCAACGCAAAGTTTACATCTAATGTAGGAGAGTCCGAGTTAATGACTGAATGCAAAGCACCAGAGAAAGAATTCGCCCGAAGGCAAACTAAACGGAAAAGACCCGCTCGTTTAGTATTTTATGATGCAAAAGGTGGACCTCAAGGATCCGGTGTTGCAGCTAAAACCTTTGAACATATTGATGAAATTTTGCATACCACCTACCTTAGGGTAAAAGATTGTGAATGTGAATGGGGCTGTCCTAGTTGTGTTACTGCAAGCTTTTGTAAAGAAATGCTGTTGGTCATGTCCAAGCCAGCAGCAATCATTATATTAGGTGCTTTATTAGGATTGGATTTGACTGACTTAAGGGAAGAAGTTTCTGATGGCCCAGAACCAAATATGCCAGAATTAAATGTAGAAACAATTCAACCCAGTGGTTCTGTAAAACTCTCAGCTGATGTGGAAATTTTAGAAGTAAGGGAAGCATCGGAACCTTTGAAACCTTTAATCAAAAAAGAGGAGGTGTAACATTTAAGCTCATATCTATTTGATTAAATGCTTTTAAGGGTAATATCTAGAAAAAAAAAAACTATGTCTGTGCTTTTGTTCGATCGTAATATAAATCTAGCTACACTAATACCTACAATTTATGTACATTTTTCTAATTATGATATTTATATGCGTTGAATATATAATACATAGAGTGCTACAGTGTCTATATCATTTATTTTTTCTTCCAGTCAAAATAGAAGCCTGCCTAGTGAGCCTCTTAGCGAAGCTGCTTTTTCTTGGTGTGCTGTCTTCATTGCTGGATAAATCAGATTCTTGTCTACGAAGCGGTAAATGTCGACTTGGTCTGCTTGAATGGTTAACGCTTGGAGAGCTCATCCTTCTTGGAGAAATATAATCTGTTGAGGGAGCCGCGGAATTCGCAACGTGCACATTTTCGTTAGATGCATTCGCTGACACTGGTGAGGAAGCCTGATGTCTACTTTGTAGAGCAGGACTATATGGCAAGGATTTTGGTTTTGCATAACGGAACACATGCAGTATAGGTTTCAAGTAAATTGATGCCAATGTTCCAATATTCAATTCAAGTTCTTCTAAGATACTTGGATCAATATTATCACTATCTGTTGAAATAACTGGATTCGAATTCAAAATCACCTTTTTAGTATTTGCTTGAAATTCCCCATCTGCGCCATTAGCATCTTCCGCAGAAAGTAATCTCCAATATATAAATCCCCTATCTCTAATATCTGGATTATCCACTTCTTCGGTTGCCCACTTCAATACTTTTAGTATCAAACTTTCTCCCTTTTCTGGTAACTTTAAATATAACTTTGTTGCTGCAGTAAGTATGGCATATTGTACTTCTATTGGATCATCCTTAAATGTAGAAATGAAATCTCCCATTATAAGCTCCACTCTATCAATATGTTCACAATATTGGCCTAAAATCCAAATCATTGCAGTTTTGGCTTCTGGTTCATCAATAACCTTATAATGTTTCATTAATTCTTTAATTGCAAAATTGTACCTACCTGGGTACTTCCGCAATATATTCTTAATCACAATCGATGATTCCTGTACAATATAAGAAATTCCGTTAGAAATTAAATCACATATAACATCAACACATTCATCCGATGCTGCAGTTAACTTGACTGCTAGGTTCCCAAAAGCCCTGATTGCTTTTCTAGACATCGCAACGTCAACCTCAGTTGCGTACTCCTCTAATTCCCTCAAAACAACACGGACATTTTGATCATTAGCCGCTAGGTATATGATTTCTAGCTTTGTATCTTTGATGTAGATAGGATCATCATAACGACAGAAAAACATTTCAATATCGAAACTTAATAATTCCTTCCTTCCTAGAAGAAGAAGTATAACATTTCTCAAAGCAAGGAACTGTGTTTCTGGCGGCTTAGATAAAAGGGACACAAGAGAAGATCCCAATTTCTTTGATAAAGTGGGAATAACTAATTCTGGATTTTTAACATAATGGCTGAAGTATACAATTAACTTAATAGCATTTAAAATTACCGCAGAATTCTCGTGCTGCAAAGACGGAATGGTAGATTCAATCAAGTCCAATGCTTCCTCTGTTGTTTGTGGAACATAAGACATCAAGGAATTTAAAATATATATCTGACACCATTCGTTTGTCTTACCCAAATAAGATACTAAAGTCAACGAGTGTTTCTTATTAATAGTCAAAGCTAATGTTTTCCCATTCTCAGTTATATAACTTAAAGCAGCTAATGCATTCGCCACGACTGCTTCATTCGAGTCATATAAAAGGTCATTCAACTCTTCAATCAAGTACAGTTGCATGGCTCTTTCTCGGTCATGTTGGAATAATCTTGACACCGCAAAAGCGGCCGCTTTTTTTACATGAGGATCCGGAAAATGCAAGGCAATAATGACCTTATTGAATGTAGCATTTACATAGTCTTTATTTGGAATTGATGATAAAGTCTTAAGCGCAAGTGCCTTCATTAAAGGATCCGGATCGTCTTCAAACCGGACCAAAAACGGCAACGCTTCATGAGCTTCTTTCGGGCTAGAAGCAGAGAATGTAACCAAGTAGTGGAAACACATCTTCCTGATCTCGAAGTCATCAAACTTCATAAGAGAAATTATGTCCGGAAAGAATTTAATAATTTCATTATTATTCAATATTATATTGGCGAGTACTTTTTTTAAAACAATCTTAATTCTAGCGTGTGGCTTTGATTTCTTAAGTGCCCGTTCTAATTCAGTTCTTAATTCAACAGACTTAGTCTTAGTAAATAGTTTTCCATCACTCATTATTACAGTTCAAGAAATCCACTACTAGATCAAACCATAAAGATTCTGTTTTATGAGTAGTTCCATAAACGCGTGATATACAGGATAGCAATATTTAGTAGTTAAGTCTATTTAATTACTATTACACCTATGTGGATACTTCAGCTTTATTCCTTCAATAAAGGAGAAAAATTTATAATCATGATAGCTAGTATAAATATCATACTGAGATACTATATAATTTAAGAGGAATCAATAATTTAATTGACAATATAACAGATAATATCACGTAGATGCAAAATGCATACAATTCAGGTTAATTGAACATAGCCTGAAGCATAGCTGACACTGCTGTCGCTATATTTATGAACTTCACTACTTTGTGAATAATTGATCCAGTTAAATACATTACTACCCGTCACAATTGACTTACCTGATTTTTCGTATTCTTCTAGAAGCCTCAAAATAATACCTATAGGCTTTTGGCCACAAATTGTATTACCCGTAATAGATATGTATTGCTGCCAGAGGTTGTAAGAACCTTTGGATGCAATATCCATGGCCTCTCTGTCCAAAAGCTCTATTGATTGGTAAATTGGTAATTCTACCGAATTAGTCTTTGTGGAATGGCGCAAATTTATAAGATCATCTTCCTGGATTCCCTTTGTCGGCTTCTGGGGTAGGTATTTTGTGTAGCCAAATCTAGACCCCCAATGGCAGAAATCAGAACTAATTATGAATGAGTTCTGTTCGTCATCGAGATAAGGCAAAAGAGCATCCACTATATCTTTACTCAAACGATCACCCATTCCACTAATCATAATAGGAATTATCAGAGGCATCCCTTGGGGTAAATTCTTGCATTTGTGATAAATAAAGGGCGCATGCATCTCAAATGAATGCTCATCATCATCAACATCTTCACTCATGTACTTGAAGACCCGATTTCCCTTTGTGCCTTCAATATCCGTCATTTTCTTCGTAACTTCAACGTCTACTGGCAATTTGCCAAATGGAGTTTCATAATATTCGTATCTTGAAACCAATGCAGAGCTTTTAAAATATACGTGGTGTGAAGGACCCAAAATAAAAACTCTCTTGACTTTCGATGTGTCCCATGCCGTGAACGTCTCAGCAAGTCTGGCTCCACTATAAGTAAACCCGGCATGTGGACCAATCAATATTCTAGCTCCTTTTATGGCCTTTCCATAGCTGCCCACTTCATGGGCATGTTTGAAGTATCCTTCCAATTGTGATCCCAACTTAATGGAACTATTCGGATACCATGTCCCTGCATGTGTTGCTGGACGAATAGACATATTCTTCAGGATATTAGCTCTTAATAACGTATAATCTAAAATATTCAATTCTTACAAATCAGGCTTTGCCTTTCTCTGATCGATGTTGGTTTTTCTTACTCACCGACTATATCTTTCTTTCAGAAACAGTCAACTTCAATGACTACTCTTTTAGAAAATATTATGTCTATGACTAATCAAAGAAAAGCAAGACGTTATTTGTACACTTAAGGGCAGTATTAAGTGTAATACAGTATCAGGTGTAATGACTATAGATAAGGGGTTTTGTGTAATTTTTTTAGTAAGAGGAAGTAGTAGTACATTATCAAGACAATCTAGTCATAGTACGTGATAGGGTCCGGAGTATCCGCTTGGCAAGAAAGATTACCAGATTGAAGTATTCATAGGATTCCATGAGTTATTAAAAACGTTGTACCTAAAATGACTATCTTAAACCTTTAAAAGAGAGTTGCAGTGTGTATATAGTTCATGAAATAAGATGTTTTACAATAATTGAAAGAGTTCTTGCTATTGTATAAATATGAGTTGACTTATATTTGGCAACATATATGATATAAAATATCTCTAAAAATGGTCCATCTATTGTATGCAAATTATAGTGATATAAACTTCGTAGATCATAAGGTTTTTGATGCCGACTTTATTATTTTTTCTTGGTAATTTCCAACGACCACTCAGTCGTCATCAATTCTTCATCATTAGCAAAGTAGGTTGAGGTGGCAGGGTATACGCCTCTTACGATAAACCCACCAGGGGTGGAATCTTCTGGGAATTCCTTCACGTAAACCTCTTCGGATGCTTCGTAATCACCAACTTCAAGTTCTCTGTTTTTGACAGTAATACCGTGTCTCTTAACGACTTGTTGGTATTTGAAGTTCTTTAAGGTCTTTTTAGCTTTAAAGTGGATGGAAATGACGTATTTGGAGTTTTCTGGAATCTTAAACTCGATTTTTTCGGCACCTAATACAGGAACGAAAAGAGGTTCTTGACCTTCAATCGAGATAGAGAATTGGATGATTTCAATATCTGGGTGGGATCTAGCAACTGTCATATTTACTTCTATGTTTATATTTGTACAAATGATTATGCCATTGCCAAAGCAGATTTGCAGCTATTTATGTCTGCGATATTTAACCTCGGCACAAAAATGCGGGGGGGTGTTATTACTAGATTCACTGTATAAATAGTTTCACATGATACTTTAGAATACTTATAAGCCAATAGCAATAAAAGTATTCGGTTAAGATACCCCATGATGCGATCGTACATAAGATCAATATGCAAGCGTTATAATCAAATTCTAAACCTACACGTACTCTTGCAGGCGGAAGCGTTATTCATTTTATTTTTCTCACCTTTAGCTGCTACCATTTTAAATGATCTTTTAGTTCTTGTCCTATGCATTAACCAAAATGAAACGTTTATTGTATTAGTTTATAAAATATATAAATCTTCAGGCTTTCTATGATGATGTGTCCGGTATTAAGGGCCTAGACGTTCTATTCTGAATGAATCCACTTCTTCTTGTAGGAGAGACTTTAGGTCTGAGATCGAAGTAGCCATATATTCAAACTTGAAATCGAAGGGAGTACTACATTCCGGTTCATCCTTTGGGTCCCTAACTTTTATTAAGAATGTGTGGGACAAAGATTGGTGAATATCTAGCCTATCTTGAGGGTCCCAACACATCAAGTTTTGCATTAAGTTAATGGCTGACATGGACGCATATGGATAGATGTGCTTTAAACTCGAGGGCAAGTACAGATCTTTAGCAGCCGTAGCAATATTCCAGTCATATTTTCTGATGATACTGGTGGCAGGAAAACCCAAAATCTTTACTATTTCACTGATTTGTTCTAACTGGTCTTTACCCATAAAAAGCGGTCTGCGACCATATAATTCGGCAAGAATGCATCCAACAGCCCACATATCAACGGCTTTGGAATATCGTTTATTTGATAACATTAACTCTGGAGCCCTATACCAACGAGTTGCAACATAATTAGTTATGGGGGCGGATTTCTGCTTGAAGTATTTGGGATTTATGCCTCTTGCCAATCCAAAATCGCAAATCTTCAATACTCCCTGGAGTGTCACCAAAATATTGCCTGGCTTCAAATCTCGATGAATGACATCAGCCGAGTGTATATACTTCAACCCACATAAAATCTGGTAAATAAAGTTCTGGATATGAAATTCCGAAAACTGAATCGATGAGTAGATAACTCTCGCCAAATCGTAGTCTGCCAATTCCTGGATGCAATAGAGACCATCGTATGGTGCCGTCGACACCAAATCCAAGTCAATTAAATTCACTATCTATCTCTGTGTTAGTATTAGCTCTGTAAGTATCGCAAATTGGTATATAGTTACATTTCTATGGCCCTTAAAGTGCCTCATGAGTTTCAATTCCCTCACAGCCCGTTTCATCAACACTTCCCTCTTAAATATACTAGACACCTTCTTTATTGCTAATTGCAACGTTTCGTCCCCGTTAGATGATCTGGTATCAATAGCCGAACATACTGTTCCATACGATCCCTTCCCAAGTATGTTTTGGATCTGATATCTGGAATTTATCGAAAAATTTGCATCTTTATAGATTGTATGTTCATTTTTCTTTAAATTATGATCCTCGATACTCTTAGATTGTTTCACCGGATAATTTTTAATGAAATTGCTCATATTATCCTTCTCTGTAATATTTCGAATGATCTACTCTCTAGAACGACTATTAGATACCACCAATAGTATTATAGTAATGATTGCAAAATCGTTTGTGGTTGTAGCAAATAGGACAAAGTAACACAAAATCACTCGAACTAAATTGAGTCATATTACGTAATCAGTTAAAAAAATTGAAAGTGAAAAAATCCGAAATATTCTTCATACATCTCGAGACCGATTGATAGTATTCAATAGAATAAGAGACTAAACCATATTGTTAGCATTAAATAACAACGGATATTAATATGAGTTCCTCGCACTGCAGATTTTATGAAAACAAGTATCCCGAAGTGGATGAAGTGGTCATGGTTAACGTCCAAGAAATCGCTGAAATGGGTGCTTACGTTAAATTATTAGAATACGACAATATCGAAGGGATGGTGTTGTTATCCGAATTATCGAGAAGACGTATTCGTTCGATTCAAAAGTTAATTCGTGTAGGTAAGAACGAAGTTGCGGTTGTGTTGAGAGTCGACAAAGAAAAGGGTTATATCGATTTATCGAAGAGAAGAGTTTCGGCTGAAGATATCGTCAAGTGTGACGAAAGATACAACAAGTCGAAGGCTGTTCATTCCATTTTGAGACACTGTGCCGAAAAATTCACTATTTCGTTAGAAACATTATATCAATCGATCGGGTGGCCATTAAGTAGAAAATACGGCCACGCGTACGATGCGTTAAAATTATCCATCACTGATCCTACCATTTTTGATGATATTGAAGCCCCATCTCCAGATGTGTTGGAAGAGTTAAAATTATACATTTCAAGAAGATTGACTCCTCAAGCTATTAAGATAAGAGCTGATGTTGAGGTTTCTTGCTTCAGTTACGAAGGAATTGATGCTATCAAGAAGGCATTGACTGCTGCTGAAGAGATGTCTACCGAACAAATGGCTGTTAAGGCTAAATTGGTTGCTGCTCCATTATACGTCATTTCCGTGCAAGCTTTGGATAAGAACCAAGGTATTGCTTTATTAGAGAAGGCTATTGAAAGAGTATCTGAAAGTATTGAGAAGTCTGGTGGTGTTTGTAAGGTCACCATGTCTCCAAAGGCAGTTACTGCTACTGAAGATGCTGAATTACAAGCATTATTAGAAAGAAAGGAAGCTGAAGATAAAGAGTCATCCGACGAAGAGGAAGAAGACTAAGTTAATGCTAGCATTTAATACCTCATTTCTCGCCTTTAACTAATTACTTGTCATTTTACCACTATTCTTTTCCTATATATAAATTTATTCATATTATGTATCATTATACGAAATTTTTTGAAGTAATAATTATGCAGTAGATTTCAATTATTGAAGGGCAAAGACTTACTAATAACCAACTGCTTTCTATTTGCTCTTTCTACTATGTATGCTGGCAAGTTTGATACAAGCAGAGAAGGAATTCGTAAATCTGTTACAGATTCAGGGATCAATAAGTGATCGATATTTGTTAACTCTTGGTTTCCACTCAAGTCCAATGTTTTTAATTTGTTTCCGAATTTAACATTTCGTATAATTTTTAATTCATTGTATGCTAAACTCAATGAAGTTAATGAATACGGAAACTCTATTGATTCAACGCTTTTTATGGAATGGTAGCCTAGCCTTAAAACTTTTAAGTTAGGAGGAAAAATTACGTCTTTTAATGTAGTTATATGCTTATCATTCTCATCAATATCAGGATCCATTTCGATATCAAGTAACTCCAATCCATGTGGAAATTGAACATTCTTTAATGTAGTTACCAAGTTGTTACCAAGATATAATTCTTTTAATGCTGTTGGGAATTGTACTTTGTTAAGAGTCTTTATGTTATTATTTCCCAAATATAAACTTTCAATACTGTTTGGTAATTTCAACGGATTTATACTGTTAACTCCATTAAATCCCAAATTGGCTTCCTTAAGAAATGCTGGTAACTTCAAACCTCTTGTGTTGGTCATGGACTGTTGTAAATTTAACGAATGAAGCAGATCTGGAAATTTAACACCAGTCATAGACTCATTAGGTATGCAAGAAAGATCCAAATATTCCAAGCTTTCTGGGAACTTAGCCCCCTTAATACACTCTATCGGGTTTTGGGAAAGCGACAAGTATTTCAAGTTTCTAGGGAAGTTAACTCCACGTAAACTATCAATTCTGTTTTGGGACACATCTAAAGTCTCTAGTCTTGGAGGAAATTCCACATAATTCAAAAAGTATATTTTATTATCGACGAGCTGTAACTTTTCAAGTGATGACGGGAAGTTAACATTATCTATACTTGAAATAGACCCATTACAGGCTACTAGAACCTTTAAATTAGGGGGCATTTTAAAGCCTGCTAATGTTTCTAATGAATATCCTCCCCCAATATTTAGTATCTCTAAGGAATCAGGAAATTTAACACCAGGAAAGAATCGAATGCAGTTTTCACCATAGTCGAATATTTTCAAGTTTTTCCAATTTTGTATATCCTCCTGAATCTCCTGACCCAACTTAGCTAAATCATTTCTCTCAGTAAGATAAATCGTATTTATTTCATACTTATTTATGACAGAGCATTGGGTTACTTGATCCCCTGCGACTTTACTCAATACCACAAGAAACCTCAGATATTCTTGCCGCTCATACTCTTGGTAATCCTCCCATTTCTTTCGAGAATCAAAATGGAAATGATATGCTATTTCTGACATATTCTTCATCCGGGACGCATCATGCTCGATAAAGTCAATTAGCTTTTTCATATTATTTTCAAATTCATCATTATATTCCACACAAATATTTAAAAAGTTGAATTGGACAGTTGAAAGCCTGTCGTCGGATTCCAATCTATCGATTGAATTAAGCTCTATTATATAAACATTCTCAGTTGTATTATTTTGAAGCCCTTCTAAAAGCATCTTCATGTGCGTATAACGAGGTTTGTCATATATGATAACGAGTCTGTTTTTCTTTACTGTTGAATGACTAGTGGGTTCCGAAGAATTGGATGCATAGTTGTTGATTGGTTCTTCTAATTTTAATTTCTTCAATGGTGATGCTTCTATAGTTGTAATAGGCGAATGTACAGGCTCGATACTAAAATTTGATGGTTTGGATTCTTCACCCGGTAGTATATCAGGATCTATTACATGTTCTGAAACATCAGCTATTTTACTTGTATTATAGCTAGGTGGTATAGGCGGTGTGTGAGATGCTTCCTCCATTTGTCTTGTAGCTATTTTGTACGTAGTATTTCTAAATAAACAAATTCAGTTCGTATTTTCATATTTTTGTTTTTAATGCTCACTACTTCGCTATCAGAAAAGTGACAAGAATAATTTATTTCTTTATAATCTTATGTATATCATATATTATATATATATATTATGTATATATATTATGTATATTATGCGCAATTAGTATATATTAGGTCTAAGTTTGATAAAATTCACAAACTATTTATTAAATTTAAGCCCTTCTAGGGGTCCATTTGAAACAGCTTCTTAAAGCAAGACCGAATGGAACTTTTACTGATAAATGTCCACCGTAATCTGAATCAGATTCAGCATCCACTAAAGTATCACGGCCCAAAATGTAACCTCTTAACAATAATAATGAGATTGCACATACAGCAAACGATACACCAGCAAATACAGTACAGTAAACATATTGTGTAGGATCAACAAAACCCCCACCTCCAGTCTTCAAAGAAACCCCAATAACAGGAGATGCAATTCCAGCTCCACCTAAGAACACCCACAACATGCAGAAAGAGACATTTAATTTATTCATACCAACAAGCCTTGCAACAGAAGGAGCGACGGTACCATAAATAGAGCCCATTAATGAACCCATAATTAAAGCAAATACAATAATTGTTGCGTAGTTTCTAGCAGGGATCCACATCGCCAATGTGAATATTGCACATATGGTATATGCAATGAGTGCCATAGTAATTGAACCAATTTTGTCAGCAGTGAGACCAACAAGGGGTCTTCCTAAACAAGAGCCTAATTGAACCATTGCAGACACGATGGAACCTTGGTATTCGGTATAGCCTAATGATGTAGTAAAGTTAACCAAGGTGTACAATACAACGACATACCCAAACATACAAGTTACCGCATACAAAGCAAAAAGCCAGAACCCTGTGCATCTCAAGCATTGCATGTCGAAAATAGTGAATTCGATCTTAGCATTTTTTGAACGAGATCTAATAATTGCTATGGCTATCCATACTAAACCAAAACTTATGATACTTTGACATCTTAGCGCCCAGAAAACATCCCTAACTTGAATAACCTTTTGCATACCAAGGTTAAATACAATACCACCGACTCCTGACCCGGCTGTTGCCAAACCTCCCAGCAATGTTCTTCTCTTCTTGAAATATTGTGGAAGTAATGTCAATCCTGGAAGAGAGATACATGCTAATCCAAAACTATTTATGACTCCCTGTGTCATGTATAGTTGCCAACGGTTCACTGCAAAACTAGCCATCATTAACGCCATAAATTGCAAGCAATTACCAAGGATTATTAAAGGTCTAGTTCCAATTCTACCTTGTAAGTAGTTAATCAATGGCGAGAAAAGTAATCCTCCCCCAAATGCTATTCCTCCAATGGCACTATAATCCAACTTCGAAGCCCCTTTAAACGTATCATTATTCAAATAGTACGAGAAATAAATTGCAAATCCTGAGTTCATACCCCACGTTGAAAAATTAAGCAAAAATATCCCAAACACTATTACCCATGCATATCCAACGTCATATTGAAAATTATCATCTGTTAGCGGCTTATCCTTCTCCAAGTCTGAATGAATCATATTATTCTCCGAGTTCGTACTAAGACTCTCCATATTTGGTTCACTTCCTTCTTGACTAATGGTATTGTGCTGGCTAATTTCTTCTTTTTTAAAGGATTCACTCAGTCTTTCTTCCATTTTCATATACCTTTACAATATCTTGCACTGCCAATACTAATATGAGGATTTACTTCGTTCTTAAGGCCATTCTATATAAAAAAAAGGTATTATTAATAGTCATTGAATGGTGCAGGTTATGCACAATTGACTTCGATTTTTTTTTTTCGGACCGGTCAAAGCATCCGCGCATGCGAGCTTACAACTGAATGCCGTTTAAACAAAGTGCAACTAGGCTAATGGTGATACCGTCCCATTTCTATATGCTTCGACGGCATAGATTACCCTACGATCGGATCGACAATAATTAGTAAGATTTGCTCTTCTGGTAGCCTTTTCACCAAAAAAAAGTGTGTTCAAGATAATCCTTGAACAGTGAGTCATTATTCACTCTTTCCTTGTAACGCCTAACCTGCAGTTTAGGCAATTCCCAGGGTTTAGCAAGAGTGGAGGCTGAAATTGAAGAAAGCTGTTTAAAAAAAGAGAAACAAAAGGGGCAAGCTGGGAATTGAACCCAGGACCTCCCGCACCCTAAGCGAGAATCATACCACTAGACCACATGCCCTCTTGCAAGTAAATTTAAAAAAAATAAATATATATGAGTCAATATGGGGGAGACAACGACATTATGGTTATTTAAAGGGGTATCGAGGCAATTGGGACAAGATGTAATACTATGGCTATCAATTTATATATTTACTGGAAGATTTGGTGACTGTAATGAGAATAATGATTGAATTTCCAGAATCACACTAAAGTTTATGCTATATGTGTCTTTTATCGCCGGATCGAAATAAAAAGAAAAAGAACTTATGTGTAGTTTGAAGGTATTGATATAAACTAGAATTAGTAGCATACTCCGAATTGAGTCATGAAAACTTCTCATATATGTTGTTTCGCCGTTGACAAACCTAACACTAATCTTTGAACTACAGACAGACATTTTGATGCGCGACATAATTTGATGTAGTGAAATGAGCTATAACCTAATCTGTGAACTCTTTGAGCTCAATTAGCTCGACATTAATACTTTTTCTATGATCGTCACGGGCCCCACTGTCAGGAGGGTCTTTCTATACTCCTCAATATTGGAGACTGTCAGTTACAAGAGAGGATTACACCTGTCGAGAAGCGTTTTGAGCGAGAATCGTTTAAATTCAGTTCCACCAGATCGTACCAGAAATATAGGAATAATTGCCCATATTGATGCAGGTAAGACAACTACAACAGAAAGAATGCTTTTTTATAGTGGAAAGACTCGTAGAATTGGAAATGTGGATGAAGGAGATACAGTGACGGATTACTTACCATCAGAGAGAGAAAGAGGCATCACTATTCAACTGGCAGCTATCACGATTCCTTGGAATAAAAACAAAATTAACATTATAGATACCCCAGGACATGCTGACTTTACATTTGAAGTTACAAGATCTTTGAGAGTTTTGGATAGCTGTGTGACTATATTGGATGCTGTTGCGGGTGTAGAAGCACAGACAGAGAAAGTTTGGAAACAAGCGCAGTCATTAGGGATTCCTAAGATTGCGTATGTGAATAAGATGGATAGAGATGGTGCTGGATTTAGTAGGACCGTGAAAGAGATTATCCAAAAGTTGCAAACTCGAGTTGTTCTTTGTAATATCCCGTACTGGGAGACTCCTGCAAATGATATACCCATTTTCAAAGGCGTTCTAGATGTATTAAATATAAAACTTTTAAAATGGAATTCGGAATCAAATTCTAATGGAACTGATATTAGTGTTACTGATATAGAAAAAGAGAAGGATACGTATCCAGAATTGTACGAAATGGTTAGTAAGAGTCGTGAATCAATGGTTGAAACCTTAGGTGAGTTTGACGAAACTATTATAGATTCATTTTTGGAAAACGATGAAGACTATATGAAAATTCCCGCATCGGTTTTAAATTCTGCTATCAAAAAGGGTACAATCGCTAATTATGTTACTCCTGTATTTTGTGGTTCATCCTTCAAGAATATAGGCGTTCAGCCTCTTATGGATGCAGTCGTGAACTTCTTGCCTTCTCCTTTAGAAACTAAAATTCCTGAAATTAGCTCCAGTGCTCCAAAAGCTTTGGCTAAGATGAAAGGAAAGAATCGCAAAAAGAAGGTAAGCTCAGAGTCTACTGAGGTACCTTTATCTATGGATCCAAAGCGTGGATTAGTCATTAATAAAAACCCAAATTTGACAACAGCGTTGGCTTTCAAGGTCATAACTCATCCGACTCGGGGTGTCATGACTTTTTTTAGGGTTTACAGTGGTAAATTAACATCCAATACAACAGTCATGAATACTCGTACTGGAAAGAAACTCAATCTTAGAAAGTTGCTATTGATGCACGGTGATGAACCAGAAGTTGTACCCCTGATTAGTGCAGGTAATATAGGAGTTATTTCCGGTACCGATGATGATATTATTACTGGTGATACTATTGTATCCCATGGTCCGGTGAACAAGCCATTTAATGATTTAGAGAGCAGCTTGAAGATGTTACCAATTGAAATACCACCCCCACTTTTTAATTCCTCAATTGAACCATTGACCGCAGGTGATACGAGACATATGAATAGTTGTATACAGATACTATTGAGAGAAGATCCTTCGTTGAAGGTGAGTGTTGATGAAGATCTTGGTCAAATCATTTTGAGTGGAATGGGTGAATTACACTTAGAAATCATTAAGGAACGGTTAGTTAAAGATATGAAGGCTAACGCTAGATTAAGAGATGTTGCTGTTTCATATAAGGAAACATTGGCGAAACCAAATTATCAACTGGTTATGCAAACAACAGGTGATAATGGATGTGTCTCAGTAGAGATCTCAATGGATTCTTTCGAAGGGCCAGCCGAAGAATCCAGTTTTGCGGAAGAGGATGGTGCAATCGTTCTAGAACATGAAAATAATATCATTATTTTGGAACCTGCTGCTACCCCGGATTACATGCAAGCTGCAATTGACGAAAGACGCTGGAAATCAGAGCATTCTTTGGAGGATCTTCAAGAAAGCTTAGTCCACGGATGCATCACTGCCTTGCAGCTAGGCGGACCTGTATTTGGATTTGCTTTACATTCCACTGTCATCCGGATCAAAAACTGGCACTTCCCCGTTGATTCAAAAGACTATAATTCATCCTCATTATTGGATGTCAGCAGAAGAGCAGTCACAAAGAATATAAAGGATCTCGGAGAATCAGATAAGGATTTGTTCAGCCTTTTAGAACCTATTATGCGAACAAAAGTGTACATTAATTCTGACTCACTTGGAGAGGTTGTTCACGACTTGACTCATAGATGCCAGGCTACTATTACTTCCATTGATGACGAATCCGAAAACATGGATGCTTTGAACTGGGCAAATGAGGAATCAGAAAGAGTGTATGTACCACCTGATTACACCATGAAGAATTCAAATAATCTTCAGGTCGAATTGAGAAATAAGAAGGTAATTATTGCTGAAACACCTTTGAGAGAAATGATTGGCTACTTATCTCGCCTAAGATCAATCACTCAAGGTAGAGGGGTGTTTGATATGAGCTATCTTGGTATGAAAAGAGTAATTAAGTCAAGATTGGCTAGCATATCCAATGAATTTAATTTCATGTAATTGTAAATAGTAATAGATAGATTCTTCATGGAATTCACGTGCGTAACAATTTTTGACCATTTCCCCAGGTGTTCAAATCACATAACAGTGACTTTTAGTGTAGGTTAATTGAATATAGTTTCGGTCAAGCATCTAGTATAATTGAAAGCAATATACAATCATGTCAAACGGCCAAAAGTCTTTTTTGCCAACTGATATCGCTAATGATGAGAATCAATCTGTTGGATCGTCTTCATCATCATTCGTTCCTGTTGAACAGAATTCAGAAAATGCTATCCAGGTTATCAATGAAAATAAGCAATTCAATGAAAGTATTTTAAAGTATATCGATAATTCTACCAGCTCATCAAATATTGGTAATAATTATCATATTATTTCTGTTTTTGGATCGCAATCAACTGGTAAATCAACTTTATTGAACCATCTTTTCAATACCAACTTTGACGTAATGGATGAATCAAAGCGTCAGCAAACTACTAAGGGTATTTGGATGGCTCATTCACCTTTGGTTTCGTCGACTTCGACAAATGGCTCTAAGTCAGAAGAAAATATATTTGTAATGGATGTTGAGGGTACAGATGGTAGAGAAAGAGGCGAGGACCAGGATTTCGAGAGAAAAGCAGCATTATTCGCGTTGTCTACGTCTGAAATATTGATCATTAATATATGGGAGACTCAGATCGGGTTGTATCAGGGGGCAAACATGGGATTATTGAAAACTGTCTTTGAAGTCAACCTTTCATTGTTTGGGAAGTCGAAGTTAGATAAGAATGATCATAAAGTATTATTATTATTTGTTATTAGAGATCATATTGGAGTAACCCCATTGGAAAATTTGGCTGCCACATTGACTCAGGATTTAATGGCAATGTGGGATAGCTTAAACATTCCACCAGAATTGTCTCATTTGCAATTTCAAGACTTTTTCGATATTGCCTTCCACACACTAGGCCACAAGGTTTTGCAACCAGAAAAGTTTTCCGATGATATAAAACTCTTGGGAAATAAGATTATCGACACTAATAGCAGTGAATATTTATTTAAAAAGAACTACCATCACAATATCCCTGTTGATGGTTGGACTATGTACGCAGAAAGTTGCTGGAACCAAATTGACAACAACAAAGATTTAGATTTACCTACCCAACAAATTTTGGTAGCAAAATTTAAATGTGACGAAATTTTGAACATGGTATATGACGAATTCGTTTTAGGATTTAATGAACATTTGTTGACGAATGCTCCATCGGGCTCGTCTGATACCGAGTCAAATATTGATTACAGCGAATTGGGATTATCTTTTATACAAATGAGAAACACTACTTTTGAAAGGTTTGAATTAGCAGCCTCTAAATATAACCAATCTGTTTATGAGCAAAAAAGGGCTACTTTGTCTTCAAAGATTAATGATAAGTTTGGTGAAATTTTTGAGATTTACGTCAAAGATTTAGTTAATAAATACACTAAAACATTTACCGATACCGTATCTTTCGGAAAGAAAAAATTACAAGGTAACACATTCCATGAAGGAATTACCAATTTACAACAGTCTATTTTTCAAGAATTTTCTGAAAATATAGCATTGATTTCATTGAATGGTGCTTTGGAATATGAGAATCATACAAAAGGATTACAATTGAAATTGGATCAAATGGTTTCTAAACAGCAAATTGTCGAGCTCAATTCTATCATAACTAAATCGTTAAAAAAATTAAATAATGGTTTGGGTAAAGTAATCGTTGAGGAATTGAATGACCCAAAGAGTGAAACGTGGGATAATATTTTAGAGAAGTTCAATATGTACGTGGATAACACGGTTACTAAATATGAGGTTGGTCCAGGTGAATATGACTTTGGCTTAGGAACTTCATTGCAAACAAATAGCGGAGCAATTGATAAGCTTAAGTATAAATCATGGATTAGCTTCCACGATTTGATTCATAAATTCATTTCAAAAGATAATGTATTAAACCTGTTGAAGGATAGATTTGATGATAAGTTCAGATATGACGAGAATGGGTTACCAAGATTGTATCAAAATGGCCATGAATTAGAAAATAGCTTTAATGAATCCAAATCTTATGCATTAGAGATCTTACCAGTATTGACAATTGCTAAATTGAGCGATGGAACTGAGATTTTACCAGAGTATGATATTTTTGATAAACGCTTGAAAAATCAATACGGGGGTGCTTCAGTGGTTACTACTGATGATCAGCAGATTAATGTTGACTCTGATAGTGAAGATGAGGAAGAAGAGCCTCCATGCTTTGCAGAAATTTTATCGGAATCTGACAAAGCGGTTATTTTAGCTAAGTTTAAGAAGGAAATTAACGCCAAATTTATCGAAACAAAGAGATCTATCATTCAAAATGTGACCCAGATTCCGTACTATATATATTTAGTTATTTTGGTTTTGGGATGGAACGAATTTATGGCCATCATTCGTAACCCATTATTTTTCACTTTGGCTCTACTTTTAGGAGCTGGTGCATATGTGATGTACCATTTGAATTTATTGAAGCCAGCCAGCATAGTGGCACAACGGATGATCGATGAATCGATTGTGTTGGCCAAACAAAAATTAAAAGAATTCTTACTAGACGAACATGAAACTCATGGAAACAATTTGAACAAGATCAGTGGCAACAAAACACCCGAAGGCGAGTCAATCGAATTAGATAACTTAGATCCTAAGTAATGCTCTCTCTATATATTGAATGCAAATTAGTTACATAGTTTAAATTTTCGCCTCTAGACCATTGGATGCAAATTCAAACCCCATACAGAAACAGAAGCAGCGCTATTGTGGCACATGGGTGGGTTACACACTCTCATTTCCGCTGCAACCTAGCTATTAACAGAATTCAATCACACCAAATCGGCATTACTAACACAAGCCATAGCCATACTCCTCACCACATTGCATTTTTCAAACACCAATTCCATTATTCACTGTTCATTTGGTAGAACAACAAATCAGATATAACATCTAACTTCAACCTCTATTTATTATTGAATTGCAACAATATAACCTAGACTTATTCGGGCCGTTTTATTGCCGCGTACAGAACGGTTGCACTCAAGTCGAATAAATTCGAATGAATGCACTTTTACTGATTCCTTCACTCTTAAAGCTACGTTTAAAATTATGCTTACAGTAGTATTCAGCTACACGAATGTAATGCAACCTTCTAAGCTTGCAAAACCTTAGCATGCCGTTACACTAACTGGCATGTCGTAGATAATGTACACTTGTGTGTGGAATGAGACATTTCATCCGACACTAAACGACATAATGTAACCAGAAAAAATGTTACACAAAATTCTTTGAATCAATGTAACAGTAGGGCAAACACTTCTTGTGATGTTACATCCTGAAAAATGTACCAACAAAGGTTTGTATTGTTAACGAATTATAGTTGCAATCCATAAATAATAGTCAGGCAAAGTGATAATATAAATTGGACAACATACCCGTTTTTGATAAATCGCTGATAAAACTCATCGATATTATTGTGCTTATTTTTGCATCTAACTAACGTGATAAGTGACCTAACTCAAGATAGGTTACAGTTTAACAAGAAGAGATTTGTATTTCAGAAAGCGAGGGAATATTAAGAGTAAACGACAAAAAATCGTTGTTTTTCGTACAGCTTAAGGATTACTTAGCAATATACGACTATATGTGGTGATATTTGTTCCCCAGAATAAGAATAAGACTTAAAAATATACATGATAGCAAAAATGATACATACGATTACGACACCAGGCTTTTCCACATTATCAGGTACGGGGACGTCTAGTCCATTGAAAGATCAGCTGTTACACCCGGTTATCGAAGAAACTGCGTCGATCGACTCTGATGTGGGCACTTTATCGTCTTCACCGAGTTCACTCAGCAGTAACTTGTCAATTGTACCGAAAACGAGGTTAGAGAAGGCAGTTCAAGAGTTTACGCAAAATGTAGACCCTTGCAGCTTAAAATATCACTCGGATTCCTTATTAGACGACTTTAATGAATCGCTTTCGGAAAATTCGAAATTGACCATGTTGCCCAACTATAATATTAGCCCTACGGGAATGGAAGAAGGAAACTTCTTGATTATAGATGTGGGAGGGTCAACACTTCGTGTTGCAGTCATAAGAATTGATCCTTTTGTTGCTGAATCAGAGGATCGCTCTAAACGAGTACATATTATCATAGAAAAGAAATGGCATATTAATGACTCCTCGAAGACGATCGATTCAGAATTTTTTAAATGGCTTAGTTCAAAAGTATACGAGACATTACAAGAACAGAATTTAATAAAGGTTGACGATTTGGTGATCAACACTGGTATTTCATGGTCTTTTCCTTTGGAGCAGGTTTCTCACAATTCGGGGAAAATTGTGTATGTTGGAAAGGGCTATACCATTGCATCTGATATTTACAATCAAGATTTAAAAAGCATATTAGAAAAATCATTGTCAAACAATTTCAATATTAATATTGATATCAAAACTATTATCAACGACTCTTTGGCGGTATATTCTGCTGGCTCATTCTTGGATAAACATATGAAATTGGCACTTGTTTTAGGAACAGGGTTTAACATGTGTTGTTCTTTAAATACTAGTAAGTTGCACGAAGGGAAGAAATTACATCAAGATGCGATCCTTCTTAATACAGAGTTATCGCTTTTTGGTCACACTTTGATTTCTGACCTAGCAAGCAAATATGATAGTAAAATTGATAAAAGATTTGATTTGAAGGAGGCAACCCTTAATTTTAAACCACATATGACGGTAGATCCATTGACGAATGACATTTTTCAACCTAGCGAATTAATGACTAGTGGTAGATACTTATGTGAGTTAACGAGATTGATTTTGATTGACTTGATTGAAGCAAAGGAAATTTTCACTCAATTACATGATAAGGAGTTATCTCCAATTTTCAGAAACTACGAGGGTATCACAGGTCAATTAGTGTGTTTTATATCAGAAGTTGACGACGAAACATTAATTATTGACAAGTTATGCGACGAATTTGGCTGGAACAAATCTTCGATTACGCTTTCTGATATAAGCAAGTTAAAAATAATTGTTAATAGTGTCATTCAAAGGGCTGCATTTATAGTAGCAATCGCGATGGTCAGTTTTATAAAACTTTTGAACCATCATAATGGGTGCTATGGACAAGACCTTCTTACCATAGGATATGTTGGATCTGTATTACTTCATTTTAAAAACTATCGGAAGTTGATATTGAAATATGTAAATGACAATGAGGATATCAAAAGGTTGAATATTAGAATAGATTTTAAATCAATCGATAATAGTTCGATTGTTGGTGCTGCAATCGGGGCAGCTTATTATAAGTAAATTAATTAATGCATAGATTTTTATCATTACAGCATGTAGCTAATCTCTGATAGGACATTATTGGATTTAATGAGGTTCTTGAGTGGTAATGTTCTCTTAAGAAAATTCAACTAGCGTAATAGAATAGAAGAGTGACCTAAGCTGTGGAGTGCTATTACATTTTCTTTTTTCAGATTAAACGTCCATAGACTACAAACAAGATAAACTCTAGATATATATTCTTCAAAGACTACAATGTAAAGGCTTAGCTAAATAACTCTTGTCTAAATTACAACTTCGCTCTAAGGCCAGCAGCCTCATTATCGCAAACCACCATCACATTGTGGTGATCTTGCAAATACGAAGATGGATACTTAGCATCATTTTTTGCACCATATAGAGTCTTTTCTAATGCAAACTTTTTATTTTTACCTAACACAATAATAACAATTTCGTCAGAATTATCCAAAATGGTGGAGATCCCCACAGATAATGCATGCGACGGAACCTGAGATTTGTTGTTATTAAAGAATCTAGAATTAGCCTGAAGCGTTGAATCGACCAATTCAACCTTTCTTGTGACCGACTCTCTAGATGATCCAGCTTCATTGAACGCTAAATGGCCCTCTGGTCCCAATCCGCCCATAAAGAGATTGATGCGCCCCAAACTCTTGATCTTGGCCTCATACCTACGACATTCACCTTCAATATCCTTAGTCAAACCATTCAATATGTTAATATTTTCTCTGGGTATGTCAATATGATTGAAGAATTTATTAAACATGAAATAATGGTACGACTGTTCATTCGAAGGTTTTAATCCGATGTATTCATCCATATTAAATGTTACCACATTTTTGAACGAGATCTTTCCTTGTTTGTATGCCTCAATTAGCTTTCCATATACACCTTCAGGAGATGAGCCAGTTGGAAGACCAAGAACGAATGGCTTGGATGCTGTTGGTGCAAATTCGTTGATTCTATCAATAATGTACTTTGCCAAATATGACGATGCATCCTCTTTGGAGCTAAATGTAACTTGTTTCATTATTAACCTATATGATTTTCTACTTTCATTTATTAACTATATTAACAATTCTTTCCATTATTTATAAGTCTATATTAATTAGAAAGGTATTAGTAGTTGCCATAAGTCTCAGTTTTTGTAGTAACGTTACATTGCGAACTTATTTCTCATCTCTTATCATTGCGCATTCACGTTTTCTATTTAATAGTAATGTAACATACTTTAGGTTGCAATGCAACATATATAAAGAACATGAATATATGGAATATAATTATATATAAGTATACTAAGATATAGTTTGTCTGGTCATAACTTTGTATCAATAAACTTAACTACAATATGTCGTTTACTAAGTTCACTAATTGCCATTTATGCGACCAGGGCACTATCTTAAATGACGGTGAGCTATATGTGGATAACTCCACCGGTAGAATTGTTAATAAGCCAGAGAAAGGTGCTAAAGTTGAAGTTGTTGATTTAGAAGGTAATATATTAGCCCCAGGGTTTATTGATATCCAAAACAACGGAATATTTGGGTTGAATTTTTCGTCTTTAAATGCGGAGTCAAGTGAGGAAGATGTTGCAGGGTTTATAAATCACTATCGTGATGCGATGGCTAAATATTTAGGTACGGGAGTGACAGCTATTTGTCCTACGGTGACATCAAACTTCCCAGAAGTGTATGAGAAGGTTTTGCCAGTGTACAAGGCCAGCCGTTCTGGAGCTCAGACAGATTCTCTTGGAGCGCATTGCGAAGGTCCATTTATAAATATAAAGAAGAAAGGGTGCCATCCTGTTGAGACATTTACAGACGCCAAAGGAGGCTGCAAAGATATCTGTAGGGTGTACGGGGGGAATAACCTTTGCGAATACGTGACTATTGTAACTGTAGCACCCGAGATCGAAGGAATCTTGGATGTAATTACTGATTTAAAACAAAAAAATATTACTGTTTCCATTGGACATTCTGCTGCAGATTACGAAACGGGGTTACAGGCTATTGAAAACGGTGCTACGATGATAACTCATTTGTATAATGCCATGCCGCAACCTCATCACCGGGATGTCGGGGTTGTGGGATTAATATCATCGCCAATTGCAAAAACCACACCATACTTTGGTTTAATAACCGATGGAGTACACGTAGACCCTGCAATGGCCACTATAGCATACCGATCGAATCCAGATAAGTGCATAGTGGTTACTGATGCAATGCATTTGATTGGATTGCCAGACGGAACTTACAAGTGGGACAATCAACAAATAACCAAATCAGGCCCCAAGTTATATTTGAAGGGAACTAAGACTTTGGCTGGTGCTGCAACTTCATTGCCCCAATGCATGAGAAATTTAAGAGCTTGGACCAATATTTCGCTTGCTGAGGCAATTAAAACCGTCACTAACAACCCAGCAAAGTCAATTGGAGTACAACAGAAGAAAGGATTCTTAAATGTAGGTTGTGATGCGGATTTGGTAGTTTTAGACAAAAACGGGTTTGTTAAAAACGTTTATAAATTGGGAAAGCCAATTAAATCTTCAGATGAAAACCAACCTCCAAAGTTGATGGCTGCTTTATAATGACTTTGAACCGACATCTTTCTTATTATGTATACTAGACTTTTTTATATAGACAATATAAGCAGTAATACCCATTAAATGTGAGAGAGCAATTTGTGTGACAAGAATGTAGAACGGAATCCGATATCGATTTAAACGGCTCTTTTTACCCTCTTTTTAATAATTCAACAGTAAGAAAGGTAACGTTCGAGTTGACGGTCGAAATATTAGACACTGAGTATCAGAATGGGATTCAATATCCATTGTATTATGCGAAGGACATATAACCGGGGTAATTTCATCATGATTCGGAAATATGCCACTGCAAGCGAACCTATAGATCATCATTCTAAGCATAATTTACAACCTTGGCCTACTTCAAAGAAGCCTACACCATACGAAATCTTTCACATTGATCAAAAGGATGAAAACCTCTCTGTATTAGAATTTAATAAGATTTTAAAGAAGATTCACTCAAGCTATGTGAAGATTTATCACCCAGACATATCAAGCAATATAGAAATCCTTGATTCCAAGCAGCAGCCATTGACTCCACAAATGAAGAGGGATAGATTTGATCAAATCATGACCGCTTATGAGCTTTTGAAAGATCCCAGAAGAAGAACCGCATACAATAGATACAAAGGTACATCATGGGATTCATACCAACCCCAAGGTAATTCATTTGAGTCGTATCGTATGGCTAATGCCCATAGGAAAAAGTATAACTTTGAAAATGACGAGGAGTTCTGGCGGGCTGGGACTTGGGAAGATTATTATAATATGAAATTTAAACGTAAACCACCTACAAAGGAAGAACTAGACAAAAACAAATACAAGATTCTTGCCGGAGTGCTTACAGTTGCTACTCTAGTATGCGGGTTAGAAATAATGCTTGCGTTAAACAAAACGAAGGAGATGAATCGCCAGATTACTTTACTGAGCTTGAGATCAATGCAAGACTTGCAGAGAAGTAATGACAATTACGGAGAAGGTACAACCCGTTTCCTGAGAATTAGGCGGTTCTTATTACAGAGAAGGTCCGCTTTTAATAACGAAGATGAGGTGAATCTTGAAAAGCTTAAGGCCGAAGACCGTAAACTTTTAGCAAAATATGCTCAGCAGCAAGTTGATAAGTTTTAAAACTAATGATATATTTAATGACCCATGAATAATATATACGTTTATATATGTTGTCGTATAATTGGAATAAACTATTTTGTATTCTTTATGTTCCGGCATCGCAATGACGAAGTGGTCGATATTTTTCAAATTCTCGTCCGAGCGATAAGTAAACTTGAAAGGACCAATTGATGAAAACAAAACTAAACTACATACTAAAAATGGATTTTATGAAACCCGAAACTGTATTGGATTTAAACAATATCCGCCAAGCTCTTGTGAGGATGGAAGACTCTATCGTCTTTGATTTAATCGAAAGATCACAGTTTTACTCTTCACCTTCTGTGTACGAACCTAACAAATTCCAAATTCCTAACTTCAATGGATCATTTTTAACATGGTCTTTATTGCAGATGGAAAAAACACACTCACAAGTAAGAAGATATGAAGCCCCTGATGAAACACCATTCTTTCCTAACGAGCTTTTACCGTCTTTCTTACCATCAATAAAGTACCCCAAGATTCTCGCATCTTACTCAGACGAAGTCACCGCCAATGACCAAATCTTGAAGACATATGTTGAAAAAATTGTACCACAAGTGTCTTGTAAGACTGGTGAGCAACAAGAGAACTTAGGATCAGTGTCTGTTTGTGATGTCAGCTGCTTACAGACTTTGTCGAGAAGAATACATTTCGGAAAGTTCGTAGCAGAGGCTAAATATCAATCAGACAAAGCAATGTATATCAAGCTTATTAGAGCAAAGGATGTTAAGGGAATTGAGGCCTCTATTACTAATTCTGCGGTTGAAGCTAAGATTTTGGAACGTTTGATCGAAAAGGGCCACTCATATGGGGTAGACCCATCGTTGAAATATTCGCAGAACCCACAATCAAAAATTAAACCAGAAATCATCGCCAAGATCTACAAAGATTTTGTCATTCCTTTAACAAAGGTTGTGGAAGTTGATTATTTGCTCAGAAGACTTGAGGATGAATCAGATGAAGAATTGGCCAAGTACGAGTAATTTCTACTTCATCAATTTTCTAAACGGTGCGAGCAGAATTCACACATTATTAACGTCTTCGGTGCATAAATAACAATTGGTCTCACTTGCCTTATATATCTATATCTATATTGATCGCTATATGCTATCAGTTGCTTATTTCTGTTCATCTCTGTTAGTACATATATATTTAATTTTAATACAATCAATAAGCCATACGTTTTTGTTTAAACCGTTAGAACCTACACTTGCATCTAAATGTACCTTTTCAATATTATTTTACCTGTTTGAAGAAGTAAAAGCGAAGTCTCATAACAAACAATAGACACGTAGTGTCAAGTCTTTATACTATCGTCTGGTCCATTTACCCAGTTTTCCACGTTTATAACCACGTTCTTTGTGTACATGTGCGCACTCTAAAGAATTTAACAGCCATTTCAACTGGGTATATAAATACTGCTAAAGAGCCATAATGTACCGTCACCAACTCTATTTATACAATAAAGCTTCAATATGTCAGAAATAATTCTTGAACAACCAATTGATTTATCCAAAGTGTGTATTTTCACCAGTATCTCGCTTGTATGTGCTGTTTTGGTGATTTCTAGAGTCAATGAAAAAGTCCACTCAGCCTTAGTTTTCGCTTGGGCATGCTTCTTCAAACCTATTATTAATAAGGTTACTAAAAAGCCTACCGAACAGCAACAATCTTTAGAGCTCTTCTACAAAAACCAAGCGCATGTGTATGATAAAACGAGAGAGGTATTGTTAAAAGGACGTAAAGAATGCTTGAGGTTGGCCACAGCACATCTCTCCAAGAAGAAAAACCTTGTTTGGGTCGATATTGGAGGGGGTACAGGATCCAACATTGAGTACATGGATCAGGTAATGTCAATTTCCAAGAATTTCAAGGCCGTCTATCTCGTCGATTTATCACCATCGTTGTGCGAAGTTGCGAAAAAAAGGTTTGCTGATAAGCGTTGGAGTAATGTGCATGTTATAGTTGCAGATGCTTGTGACTTTGGTATTGGGTATGAAAAGGCCGACTTGGTCACCTTCTCATACTCCTTGTCTATGATTCCAACTTTTCATGGTGCTGTTGATCATGCTGTTAAGTTATTGGACAAAGCAGGTGTTATTGCCTGCGTAGATTTCGGAGTGCAGACCGAGGAATCTTCGATTGGTAGAGTGAATACTTTAGGAGGTATTGTTAACAGAAATATTCCATGGGTTTTAAGAAACTTCTGGCGTATATGGTTTGAAGCAGACAAGGTATTCTTGGACCTGTCGAGAAGACATTATCTTGAATACAAGTTTGGTACCATTAAATCACTCAACTGTTACAATAATAAATTGGGACGTATTCCTTATTATATTTGGGTTGGCTGTGACAAGTCTAAGTCGTCTTCATTATTAACTAGAATCAACTGCTTGGCAACTGAATCACCATATCTTGCTCCATCTGATGATAAGAACAAGGAAATTGATATGCCTATATCAAAGGGACACGAAGCTGCTCTTATAAATTTCCAGAAGAATTTGCCTTATCCATCTATCTATTACCAAAAAGAAATCTGGAGAGTTTACTTTAATGAAATTAGAGACCAATATGCACAGTTCAAGAACCAATATGTTTACGCATTTACTTGGGAAGATCCTCGTGAAGATCATAACATTTTGAAGTTTACTTCTGAAGATACCGTCTTGGCAATCACTTCAGCTGGGGATAACATTTTGTCCTATGCTACTTTGCCAAACCCTCCAAAAAGAATTCATGCTGTTGATTTAAATCCATGTCAAAACCATCTTCTAGAATTAAAACTCGCTTCCTTCAGAGCTTTGTCTAGGGATCAGATCTGGTCCATTTTTGGTGAAGGTAAAATTAACAATTTCAAGGATTTGTTGGTTGATAAATTGAGTCCTCATGTCTCGTCCAATACATTCCAATACTGGATGGATAGAGGTGACAAAACATTTAATCCAAAAGGTAACGGTTTGTATGACACTGGTTCCACTAGATGGGCCTTGAGGCTAGCTAAATGGGTATTCAAAATCTGTGGAGTAACAAAGTACGTAGATATGCTCTGCGAATGTGATACCTTGGAAGAACAACAAAGAATTTGGAACGAGAACATAAAGCCTACCTTATTCAACCCATTCGTTAGCTCATTGCTCATTGGTAACCCTATATTCTTATGGAAGGCATTGGGAGTTCCAGCTAACCAAGCAGCCATGATGGGCAATTCGATTTTAAAATACGTTGTCGATACTTTTGATCCGGTCATTAAGAGATCGCTTATCTCTAAAGACAACTATTTCTATTATTTAACTTTGAAGGGCAAGTATGTCCCTGAAAACTGTCCTGATTATTTGACAGAAAAAGGTCATAGAAACCTTACTACAACCAACAAAACGTCTAAAGAAGCTCCAATTGATAACATAAGATTACATACCGACATGCTTAACGATGTTTTTGCTAGATTGAGCAAAAAATCTTTGTCCATTGCTATTATTATGGATCACATGGACTGGTTCGATCCAAAGGGTGAAGATGCTTTGAACGAAATCACAGCATTGAAGAACTGTTTAAATACCAATGGAAGAGTCTTGTTGAGGTCTGCTTCTACAAACCCATGGTACATCAAAACATTTGAAAACCTTGGCTTCAGTTGCAAAGCTGCTGGTGTTAGAGATACCGGTATTTCTATTGACAGAATCAACATGTATGCGTCAACCTGGGTATGCACAAAGCTCGATGATCAAATTCCTGCTAATCGTCGTCGTATGAGTAGTTTGAAAATTTAGAAGCCCTGTAATAAATAGTTTGACAATAGTTCGTATTCAGAGGTTTATATATATACATATTAGAGTATAATACGCCTATTGTAGAGCTAAATAGATTTCTATATTGGTTGTGAAATTTACTCACCATGGTTCAATATGAATCGCGGGCAATTAGTAATAATTCAATATATATTCTACAAGTCTTTTTCTTTACAAGAAACCATATATTAGACCATGACAAAATCGTTTGAAATTGTGTTTGCCGTTCCTATGGAATGTCAATCATGTGTTGATGCCGTATCTCAGTCATTGAAATCATTGAACGGTGTATCTAAATTCGATATTGATTTGAAATCAAATATAGTCACCACAGAAGGATCGGTTCCACCATCCGAAATCGTGAAAGCTATACAGAGTACCGGAAAGGATGCTATCATACGTGGTACAGGAAAGCCTAATTCTGCGGCTGTGTGTATTTTGGAGTCGTTTGATCCAAAAGACTACCAACAACCGGTTAAAGGTTTGGCAAGAATTGTGAGCGTCGGTGACAACGACCTAGTTGTCGATTTAACCGTCAATGGTTTGCCTAAAGGGACATACTACCCGTCTATCCGTAAATCGGGCAATTTGTCCAAAGGTGCATTGTCTACTGGTGGGTGTTTCTACCCGTTAGCTCCCTTAGATGTTGATCAACCTGCTTCTGAATCTACTGTCATAAATTCGCTTGGTGCTGCATCTCATACTTCCGAAGAAGGTCCATTGTATGCTGGTCAAGGCTTTCTACATGCAAACTTGAATATATCTGACTTAATCGGCAGGAGCGTCATCTTATCCAAGTTGAAAGACGAAACTGCTCCCGACTCATTATGTGGAGTCATCGCCCGCAGTGCTGGTGCTTGGGAGAATGATAAACAAGTTTGTAGTTGTTCAGGTAAAACCGTTTGGCAGGAGAGATCTGATGCTCTTGCTAAAGGCTTAAAAGTGTAAATAATCTCTATATAGTAGCTGTTTCTATAATACATACTACTTATATGCTCAGATTTGATCCTCTGGCGTAAACTTGAGAATACACATGCTCTCAATTTTTTTATCTATTGATCTGAATCAACACTATAATTTACTGAATATTGCATTAGTATACATTTGTATCGTTATATATTTAACAGAGTGTTGATGGATCATCATTCGTTTCAATATTTTGTTCCCAAGGTCTTTTAAAAAATTTTAATAGATATTTGAATCATGCATCAACCATATCTATCGCAGAAATCGCATATACTACAGTTGATTAAAGATCAACTAGAACACATTAAACATAATAATGCGGTGAAACTAAATAGTATATTGCAGGATATACCTAATGTGACATTGTCAGAAGTCATAGAGTGTCTCCATGAATTTTTACATTCATATGAGCCGTGTTTAGAAGTAGAGAGATTGACACTCCAAGGAAATCAGCTCACTAAATTACCCAATAATTTTTCAATAATTGGCAGCAGCATTCGGTATTTGGATCTTCATGGTAACAAATTCACAGAATTTCCATCAGTGATCGGAGATATACCAAATTTGGAGATTTTGGACATGTCAAAAAATATGTTGTCTACATTGCCATCGGCGGATGTAGTCAAGCTCCAGAATTTGAGGGTATTCTCGTTGAAGGAGAACAACTTCAAGTATTTGCCACCAGTTCTTGGGAAGCTAAGCAGTTTAGGCTTAATAGAGGTCACTGAGAACCCATTAGTAATGCCTTCGCCCGAAGTAATAAGAAACTTCCAAATGCAATCTCCAGATCTCGATTGGGTCAACGAGTTGAAAAATTATCTTAATACAAACAGTTCAATATTGGAAATGAAACTTGCTGAGCAAACCGGTCATTTTAAGGAACAAGAGCATACGAATCGTCTACCAGCAATGTCTAGGTCGAAAAGTATATCCGAAACAAGAACCAGCGCATCAAGGGCTGCTAGAAGAATGGGTCTAATTATTAGAAAACCCGATGAGACGAAATCTAACGATACCTCCAATACTAGCAATGACTCTTCTGACTCGCATTATCAACTTGGAGACAATTCGGGTTTTGCACCGGGATATTCTTCACCTCTGCCTTTGCCTCAACAATCATTATCTGCATCTGCCTCCCAAACTACTTTCAGCATATCAACACCACCCCCAGTTCCATCGATCACTGCTACCTCTACGAACTCGGTCTCTCATACAAATTCGCTTTACCCACAAGCATCTAACACTCCTACCATAAGTAGGAATTCAAGCCGTAACAGATCTAGGTCTAATACATTAAAAGAAATAGATAGGATTCTTGAGAAAAGTGATACAGTTGATACAGAGCATAAGTCTGGAGCTTACTTCAGGCGACTTTCCACTTTACAAGAATTACCTACTGATGAAAACATTTCCAATGTTGGATCTAATCTCAATGTGCCTCTCTCGTCGTCTGTTTCTAGAAATAACAGTGTTGGCCAGCATTACAAAAATGGCATAAGTTCATCAATGAATAACCTTGATGCTTCTGAGACTATACCTGAAGTACCACCATCAATCAGCAAGTCTACATTAAGAGTTTCATCAAAATCATCATCCCATAGAGGTGATGTTTCACCGTCTAAGACTTCATTTCAGTTGAAAGATACCACTAGTGCTAAGAAAAGTGCCTATACTGCAGCATTGATAAAAGCATCTAGAAAGATTCTTTTCTCCTTCAGTGAGCTTCATTCTTCAGTGCGTAGGTTTACTGGATTCTGCATTGATAAGAAAATCACTATCAAAATGGTTTCTCATTTATACACAACGAAATCAAATATCGATTCTCTAGTTGAGAGCTTAGAAATAGTTGAAGAGAATGGTGATAATATAGATCAAATCAACGTTCATCTACATGCCTGCATTTCCTCGTTCAAATCAATTATGAGTTTATTAAGTGAAAATTTTACAACATTCGTCATGAAAATCGATGTCTGCTTTATTAGAATGCTTTACTTGACTCTTTATGGTTCGTTTAATGAATTATTAAATGCGCACAAAATACTTGCAGCAAGTCCGACACTGCAAATGCCATCTATAACACATTCAAGCAGTAGTATTACCAACCAAACATCTTCATTGGATTCAAAACACCCAACTAAGCAATTATCAATAAACACAACTAACGTGGGAAACGACCAGGATGATATTGATGAAAAGCTATATGCGACTATTGAGATTGCAACTTCCAATGCTCAGATCGTTTTCAGCGAGTTAACGAAGGCTATTGGTAAAACAGCAACCGCGAGTGCTGTTAGTAGTTCTACAGCTTCCGGTCAACCCATTAATCATACAATTGCCACTAAGGTCAAGGAATTGACTAACGTTTGTATGTCCTCAATGGACATAACCAAGAGATTAAAAACTAAATTAATCACTATTAGGAATAATCCTTCACAAACAACTAGGAAGCTGTTCTGGGACGATATTAATCTATTTCTTAAAGCAATTATTCAAACGTTTTCTTCCGTTAAAGGAGTCATGAAAGACTTGCCTATCTTGAATGATGTTAGATCATTCATGGCTAATTTGACCAAGACTACTAAAGAGGTCACCATCATGTTGGAAGCCTCGTCGTACAGATTGATGTCTTCTGAATCAGCATCATCGTCTACACCTGCACTCCCACCTCAATTGCCATCCATTGCCAGTGTTTCCAATATTTTCACTCCTGTATCACCACATCCTGCGGTGCCAAATTCTTTGCATTCGCATTCTCTGGCGAACTTAGTTCAAATGAGTAATCCAATCTTAGCAAATACTCAGCAAGGTCTGTTTGCCACACGTACACCACTAACCAACCCTTCGGGCCCTCCTACGCTGTTTGACCCACCCGCTAGTTATTCAAGTTCTATGCTAAATGCTAATTCGATAACTGGTGGCGCCAGTGTTACTGCTCCAGCACATTCTACAGGTCAGTACTACGCAAAAAATGGCATGAATCCTTTCGATGGGCTTATTTTGGCAAATAGCGATAAAGATAGAGCAAACTCAAATATTAATGATTAGCTATATATCGTAAATTGTATGGTAATAACTTCCGTGATATTTCGTTTGTAACTCAATATTTACTCTGAGCGATGAGAAGAGTCAAATCTTTCTCCACCATAAATTTTCAGATTTTTCACTTTTATTGAATTTAATCTATAGAATCAAATAGTATTAACAATAAAGTTAAAGATATATATATTCAATAATGACTATCGAGTTAGAGGAACCAATACTTACACAAGAAAACGCTCAGGTTTATAAGGATTTGCTTGGTGGTACCGTTGGTGGTATTGCTCAAGTTTTGGTGGGGCAACCATTTGATACTGTTAAAGTTAGATTACAATCTGCTCCAGAGGGTACGTATACGGGAGCATTAGATGTTGTGAAGAGGTTGATTGCTAATGAAGGTCCTATGGGTTTCTATAAAGGAACTTTGACACCATTAGTCGGGGTTGGAGCTTGTGTCTCAGTGCAATTTTCAGTGAACGAATTCATGAAGAGATACTATGATAGAAAGTTGGATGGACAGGCTTTGACTTTAGGTCAATATTTCAACTGTGGTGCCGTTGCAGGTTTTGCCAATGGTTTCTTGGCATCTCCTATTGAGCATATCCGTATTAGATTGCAAACCCAAACGGGATCTGATAAATCATTCAGCGGGCCTATAGGATGCGCTAAAAAGATTTACCAAACTGGTGGTTTAATGCAAGGTATATTCAAAGGTATAGGACCAACTTTGTTCAGAGAATCTGTTGGCTTAGGTATCTATTTTGCCACGTATGAAGCCCTTATAAGCAAAGAGTTAGAAAAGAAGAAAGATATTGTTCGTACTGACATCCCAGGATGGAAATTATGTGCTTATGGTGGTTTGTCTGGCTATGCATTATGGGGTGGTATCTACCCAGTTGATATTATCAAATCAAAGTTGCAAACTGACTCTTTGAGCAAGCCAGTTTACAAGGGATCCTTAAGTGTCGTCAGAGATATCTGGATTAAAACCGGTATCAGAGGTTTCTACAAGGGTTTCATTCCAACAATCTTGAGAGCTGCCCCAGCTAATGGTGCCACATTTGCTGCCTTTGAAACAACAATGAGAATGATCAATTAAGTTACAAGGAAATAACGTTGATCGAATTTCTACGTATGAACAGCTCACGAGCTACTATTTTATTTATTTCAGTATACAATAGATGCTATATAGAACGTTTAATTTACCGTTACTAAATGAGAATAATCTCGACCAAATATTTATATAATATATCCAGATCTAAATGAAGTATAAATACATAAAAACCAAAAAAAAACGCCTTGTAAACTAAATACATATCATAATCATATAGTAAGAAAATATGATTTAATGCTTTCATAAAAGCCTAAATAATAATATGATAATTATAACAGATAATTATATTATTCAACTTTTCGTGCTATGTGATGTACTCCTTCTGGGTGCATCTGATAATCAGAACCTATCGCATTGACGCTGTCATATTGAGTCTCAGCCTCTTCTGCTAGCTGATCAAATGGATAGTCTTGCGGCCGTATCACTTTTATAAATTCCATAAAATCCATGAAATATTCCCCATTAAATTCATAACAATCTGTGCCCAATAATTCAAGTTTTTCCAGATAAGTAATTTCCTTTGTGGTATGGGGTACGAATTGTTCTTCCATGTCTACACTACCAGGAGATTCTGTTGATTCTGTTTGTGCTTTTTCTTTCTCTTCTCTCATTCTTTGATTAAAAGTCACATCCATTCTTAAATGCAAGCCAGGTATCAAATCGATGCAATATAAAAAGACACAACTCAAAACAAAAACGTAGGCGGCCGTAACTGTACAACCTAATAATTGGTAACCAAACTGAATCCAATGACCTTTCACCCATCCTCCATCTGAATTATATCTTTGGTTAGCAAATATTCCTGTAAGCAATGATCCGAGTATACCTGCCACGCCATGAATGGCAAAAATATCTAATGCGTCATCAATTTGTACAAAATACTTAAGTCGTGTCGATAAATTAACAACTATTCCACCAAGTACTCCAAACACAAAACTCTTCCAGAACTCAGTAGGAGACGAAACGTATCCTCCCCCTGGGGTTATCACCGCTAATCCTGTAACAATACCCGAAGAAAATGATATAATCGATATCTTTCTACGTTGAACAAAGTTGGATTTGGTATCATGATAATGCTGGTTTATTGAAACTCCAGTTACTGATGGAGCTGTCCTAATATTTGTAGATGACCTTCTCAATACATGAATCTTATCTTTATGATTTGAAAGAGTGCTTTCTATAGGTGCACCTTCCAATGGGATTGCTGAAAAGTAGTAATCAATAAGCATCCAGATTATTCCGCTTGTTGAAGCGCATAATAAAACATTCATGATAATGTATAAAGATTCAATTGTAAACTTATAATCACACCCTGCCACAAATCCACACCAGCCACATATCATGAAAAATGTACCAATGATAATATGACCAGTGTTAGCACTACGATAATCATAAAGAATCTTTGGATTCCTTGGTCCTAAAATATAAGAATATGCTAATGCCGTAAATCCACTAACAATATGGATGCAATTACCACCAGCAAAATCCAATACTGGAAGATTATTCAATTCTACCGATAACCATCCTTCTCTATTCCAAAACCAATACGTCACTGGATTATATATGATGACTGACCAAAAGAATAAGAAAACGATCATGGGTAGTATTCTTCCCCTTTCTGCAACACACCCAGGAAACGTCAAACACACGCATATAATCTTCATAAACCCATTAAACAAAAAATGATTCATCAGCCATATATCACCTCTAGGTGTGGTATAATTATTTGTCACTGAATCTCTCATATGCCGTAAAACGGCATAATTCAAGTCCCCTATGAAACGGTTGGAAGAGCTGGAATAGCACAACGAATATCCCCAAATGAACCACTCTATCAATACAAACGGTGTGAGAAAAACCGGAAGCGCAAGCATGGTCAAAGACGATCTCCGTTGAGTCAACCCTGAATAAAATAATGCAATTCCAATTATAGCCAATGGAAGCAACGACGTACAGTAAATCATGTATAAAGAATTAATTACCGTCCACACATCATCCATACTTGTCAACACCTGATAATGCAGACTATTCATAGCAAATGATTATTACAATGAGCTTTTATATTATAATATACCTATGAATGCAACGATCCCATCAAGTCGTTATTTCTATATTATTAACGAGTTTTATTAACGTTTTTGATTGATATACGAATAGATTTTCAGCTCTATTGTTCGTCATGATAATAATGAAAAAAAAAATATTGATAAATTCGAGCAGGTGTAGGGATGTTTCTTATCTGGCTTAGACCACTATTCACTCCAACAAAATGAATCAAAGCATTCTTGACATATCGTTGGTATTTTAAAGTCGCCCTGGTATAAATTATTAAGTCCAAGATCTATTCTGTCGAATTCTCGTTTTAAAATAGCACATCCGATACAAGTGGAATATTGAGTAGAATTCATGTATGTGGCTAAATTATAGCCATTCTCAATCATTCCAGATACTTCTTCTGGCGTATAGCTTAGCTTGAAAGTCGATGTATTTGAAGGATAAGAGTAATTTGAGTTTGCAGTATATATAATAAGGGGTGGTAGGTGGTAGTTATGTGTGTTTCTGAAATTATGGAGTGTTTGATTTGAGTCTGTCTGTTCAGCTGTTCCAATAGTGGGATAATCTTTATGGAGGTTACAGCCGAAAAATACAGGTTTATTGTTTAGATTCAATTTCATCATGGTCTGAGGGTCAGGTACATGGGGAAAAATGGATCTGATTCCCGTATCTGAGGTGTGTTTTGCTTTGGTGTTATTGGAATAGAATCCATGAGACATGTTTTGAGACGAAACACTATTTGGTGGATGAGAGCTGAGACGAAACACCGGAAGAGATATGGTAGACTCTTTATTGTGAAATCTTTCTGATGATTTCTCTAAAGTCGTTCCGTTTGGGTAATTAAATAAATCGGAAGTCATGTCGAACGAAAGTATCACGTCAACTTCCCTTGCGCTCTGTAAGAACGGTTGAAATGGTATGTTTTGGCCATCATCTCCCCCGTCAACAAGATAAATAGTTTTGCTTTTAGATATTTCTTCTTCACTGGTTTGAGAATAGTTGTATCCGTAAAAAGGGTTTGGGGAAAAGGCTGCATAGTCTGGGTGGTGCAGAGGAAACTCGAATGATTTAAAATCAGAACTTAACCCAAATGATTTGAGTATCGTTTTTATAGCGTTTGATGCTTCTAGATTAAGTCCTAAAAGGAATTGATACACATAGACAAATATGTGACTGAACAAGCATGAGGAAGTCCCAGTTATAAAGCCAATGTTGTCGAACCCTGAAACACAAATTGATATATTTGGATTCTGTGTAAGAATCGTTGATTTCCCGCCAAATAATGAAGTCCCAAGATATTTCATAGGGACAAATGCATTTAAGTACGAATCCCAAGAACCAAACTCGTACGGTGTGAACTCAAATAAATGTGAATCTATACTCTTCATTTCCTTAGTCGGTATCTTTTCAACAGCACAAATTATGGGGAAAGGCTGTTCATGATTTTGAAATGAAGGCATAAGTGTGCTTGTAGTTACAGTTGCACCTGGACTTCTTGCAGCATTGGGAAAAATTCTCCGTGCTAAGACCCTACCCCAGTAATCAGTAAATGATAAGTGATATCCTGCTATACGCTTTGCCCGTACTTCAATATTCAACTCCTTATAATAGCTGAAAATTTCCCTCCATGTTGCTAATGTTTCGAACCTGAATACATTTCCACTGGTTTTTGATACTTTCAGATCTGGTGTTTTCAAGAACAAAGACTTGAAGAACTCACTTATTGTTGAACTTTTTTTCGTGTTTTTCACTTCTCTTTTTATTTTTGACAAGGACTGTGATTGAAATTCAACGCTCTCGGTAGTACTCTTTCCAGAATCGAACCACTCTATAATAGTTTTCACGAAGCTAGGCCATTTGTCTTTCTGTTTAGTTGAAGTATTTGCATTAGTCTTGTTACTCATGGGTATTTGTGATATTGCATTTTGAATACTTGTAGGGTCGAAGTTAGGTATTCCTGCTAAAAGCTGATCTTGTAATGCCCATGAGTTAGGATCACTTTTTAACTCGTTTATTGGCCTGAAATCATTTATCAAGTTGCTCATCACTAACCATGAGCCTCCAGATATGCCACCAATATATGATAAAGCTTGCAAGAGCCCTCCTAAGCCATATTCAGAAGAATTAGAAGATCGTTCATCATATGCAGCCATCACACCTGCACCTGTTAACATGGATCTATAACCACCTCCCGAAATTGCAAGGGCGATAGTTATGTGTTTTGTAGATTTTGCTAAAAATGTTTGATAATCAAAATCAGGTATTCTGTTTCTAGACAAGAGGTCTTTTAAGGCAATATCTGTCAATTTCTTCCGTTGCCGCATATACTTCTCTTCTTCTTTACAGAGGGTCTAAATTTATTAGTATTAAGGTTTCTCACTAGGTAAACAGGGTAATCTTACTTTATTTGCCGTCCTTACTAGCAGGAAAGAAGGACATTGGATTTCATAAGGAGCATAAGACAAGTTCCATAAGTATTGATCATTCTGAAGACTCGCATCATGATTCAGTAACGCAAAGGGACTGTCTATATATGTGTTTAACCCCTCCGATATTGTTTTGTTTAATTCAAAACCAAGACTTTTAAGATGCTTCTTATCTGTTGGCATTCCACAAACAGTCAAAATGAATGTAAGAACGATTAACCACTCCCATGTAGAGCCAGTCATATTCTAATATGTTGTTTCATTCATATTAAATTCATGAAATGTTTCTTGAATTGCCGCAAAATATTTTTACTTGTGGATCTGAAAAATTATACCTGGATTACACAATATTTTTTTAAATAAATATCTATTAATATAGAAATAAACAATTAGACTAAACTAGAAATTTACTAACATAATTCAGAAAAATTCACGTATATATATAAAAAGAAAAGAAAACTAAAGACTACTAAAATACCAAGTTAAGGATTAGAAATAACTTAGAAATCTTCATCTTCAGAAACGTAGGCATCACCTAATTCCTTCTTCTTTCTCATTCTTTCCTTCTTCTTCTTTCTTAATTCAGCAGAAGATAACTTAGTCTTCTTCTTAGCAGCAGCAATCTTGTTACCCATAGCATCGAATTTGTCTTCTTCGTCTTCCTTCTTTTCAAGTCTTGGACCAGCACCTTGACCTTGAACCCAGTTGTGACCGGATGGAGTCATTTTACCGTCTAAGACAGCCCAAACTTCTTCGGTAAGATCCTTGGTGAATTCAGCAGAGTGAGTAATGATAACAATACCACCTTCGAAAGCCTTCAAAGCCTTGGATAAAGCACCTAAGGAGTCACGATCCAAATAGTTAGTTGGTTCATCTAAGACAATCAAGTGAGGTCTTTGCCATGTACAAGCAGCTAAGACTAACTTAACCTTTTGACCACCAGATAAACCTCTGATTCTGGAGTGGGAAACTAATTCAGCTTCCAAACCCAACATAGCACAGTGTTCTTCAATTTCCTTTCTGGTTAATGGTCTGAATTGACCGGAGGCTAAAGCTTCCTTCATATCAACTTCGGCGACTAACTTGGAGTGAGTTTCCATAATTTCACCTCTTGGTAACCAAGCGTTATCAACAGACATCATAGGAACCCATCTTTCGTTCTTCATACCAATGTTTTCACCCAACATCCAAGAACATTCATATTCGTAAGAGTTCTTGAACTTTCTTCTGGCGTGGATACCAGCAATTCTTCTTGGGGTACCTTCAATCTTGAAGATCTTGTTCATGGAAGTTTCATCATCTTCGTTGATTTGTCTGGAAGCTCTGTCCATGGTTTCTCTATCTTCACCAGTTTGGAATCTCCATTGGATATATTCAGATGGAGTCTTGTCTAAGTGGTTATCAATATGGGCGAAAGCATGTTGTTTAATGTAAGCAATACGACAGTTTTCGTGGACGTAAACTTCACCTTCAGTTGGTAATAATTCACCAGTTAAGACGTTAATCAAGGTAGATTTACCAGCACCATTTGGACCAATGACAGCAATTCTGGAAGATAAAGAACATTGGAAGTTGATATTTTGAATTTGTGGCTTGTTGGTACCTGGGTATTGGAAAGTCATGTTAGAAACCTTGACAATAGCCTTTTGCTTAGTCTTGACACCTTCTAAGAAACCTGGTTCTGGGAATCTGAATTCTAAGTCAGAAGCACCTAATTCGTAGTAAGATTGAGCGGATGGACATTTCTTAACGAATTCGGATAAGTTACCCTTGTACTTTCTTAACTTGAAACCTTCGTAGTGGATAACGTATTGAACAACGTTATCTAAGAAACCGGAATCGTGAGAAACGATAATAGAGGTAATACCACAGGTTTGTAAGTAGTTGACTAACCAAGCGACGTTGACGGTATCTAAATGGTTAGTTGGTTCATCCAATAATAAGATATCAGCGTTCTTCAAAACAGCTCTAGCTAAAGCTAATTTCATCTTCCAACCACCGGATAAGGATTGAATTGGCATGTTGATCATTTCATCAGAGAAGTTGAATTCTTGCAACTTAGCAACAACAACATCTTCAGTTAAACCGACTTCACCATCTTCAAGGACGAATTGAACAACAGTGGTTTCAGCGTGGGTACCATCAATATCGTGTTCGACGTAAACGGTCTTACATTCTGCTTGGGATGGGAAACCTTCAACTTGACCGTTAGCAATAGCTCTCATCAAGGTAGACTTACCGGCACCATTTGGACCACATAAACCATATCTTCTGTTTCTCTTTAATCTGAATTGAGTCTTGTTCAACAAGATCTTAGCACCGTAAGCCAAGGAGAACTCACAGTTACATAAGTCTTCACCTTCATCTTCTTCATCTTCGAAAGATGGTGGAGCTGGGATGTTGTCGATGGCTCTCTTTCTGAATTCTTCAATGATTTCCTTAGCTTCCTTTTCGTGTAAGAAAATAGTAGCAAATGGTAATAAGTTTTGGATCCAGGTGTCTGGGTTGATAGCTCTTTCGTCAATCAAGTCACCAGCAATGGCAGCAATATATTTCAAAGCTGGGTCGAATCTGGCGGCAAGGTCCTTACCCTTTAATAATTCTTGGAAGACACCTAAGGTGACTGGAATATCACCGGCGGTGGAAACTTCTGGAATAACGTCACCTTCCTTGATATCACCAACTCTTCTTAAAGTGTTCAAAGCTCTGTTGGTAACTTCACGGGCTTCTGGGTCAGCCATGGTGGAGAAGTTAGCCTTTAAAGCTGGTAATAATTTGTCCATGAAAGGAGCAACAACTTGTGGATCGTCGACTAATTTACACATGTTATCAACAATAACAGCAGCCTTACGCTTGATGGCGGTTTCACGTTCAGCTAAACCTCTGGACAATAATGGGGCCATGATGGATAAAGTAGCCATGGTAACTTCGGAAACAAAGGTGGTAGCACCCAAAATGTGGACGGTTTCTGGAACTTCAGCTGGCTTAGCAATACATTCAATCAACTTAGGAATGAACTTTTCGATATCCTTGTTGTCAATGGTTTCGGTGGACTTGGTCATGGTTTGGGTGGCAGCTTCCTTGACTTCCTTCTTGGTATCCCACATGGCTTCAGATAAGACTGGAATTAATTCCGGCATTCTTAAAGCAACTTGGGCCTTGGCGGTGTCAACCAATTGGGAGAGAGATCTCAAGATAGCGATCTTTTCGGTCCACTTGTTGGTGTTAGCCAAGTTGTCTAATAAAGATGGTAATAAAGCCTTAACAGCGGTTGGGGTGATGGCTTGCGAGATGGCAAACAAAGCGTCAGAAGCAGCAGCTTGAACATCCTTGTTCTTGTCACCAGCCTTGGCAGCAACATCTGAGACCAAAGCGACAACGAATGGTTCGACAGATGGAGATAATGCGTTAGATGAAGCAATGTGTGCGTAAGCAGTCAAAGCAGCAATGCTGGTCTTTTCATCTTTCTTGTTACCAATTTGTTTCTTCAAGTCTTCGAAGAATTGTGCTGGAACATCATGTTCAACAATCGACGAATTCAAGAAAGAAGCAACATTAGTAGCGGCTTCTTCCTTATTATCAGCAACTTGAAGCTTGCTTAATAATTCGGAAAGCACTTCAGCGGAGTATTTAGATTCACTGGCAGCAGACATTTTCCAATGTTAGTTGAAACAAGAAAAGAATAAAAAAAAATTCTTCAGAAATCTTATTAAATATATTAGTGGCCAACTAAAAAAAATTTTCACATAACGGAATCTCTTCGCTGCACAATAAAAAATTTGGTGCGGCTCAACAGAAATGCTTTTTGTTGTTTCTGTTCCATCTCCCTCGTTGTTGGCTTATCTAGAGCCAAGTAAATGTCAGTATGCAAAAGTAAGTATAGACCGACATTTACGCTGAGACATCTTGGTTACCCGGTTAGGATTTTAAACGGTTCGACTATGATTGGGTTTAAGGTTAGGCACAAATGTAGCGAGTATGCAAGCTTGACATGTATAGAAGGTCGGGAGCTTGATGAGAGGAGGTGAGATATGGGAAAGTGGGAAGAGAGAGGGATGTAGGAGAAAGGGTGAGGGAGGCACATGGAAGCCGAGGGAGCGGAAGGGACGTGAAATCAAGGGTAGTATGGCTGGGGCCATCGCGCATGAGGCCACGCAGAGATGGAAGAAGACAGAGAAATGGTCGAGGATATGGAATTTACGGAGGATATGTGATGTGGAATGTATATATATTGTTTATGGATGAGAGGTAATGGAGAAGGATGTGGGGGACTGAAACTGAAGACTGAAAGGCCAACTTGGATCAGATAAGGTACTAATTAGGATGAAATTGGCGAAGAATGGAGTTGGCCCAGAGAATGTGGTCCTATGCAAATTGTAGGGACATGGAAACAAGGAAAATTGTCTGTAGATGTAGAGATAGTGGTATTTGCCTTGAAGAGTATGTTTTGAGCACCTAGGGACAGGAACTGAAATTGTAGGTATGATTATGGTTACCACTATTCGTGATTATGTGGATCTAGATATGGCCACATTTATCCGTAATGGTCTGAGATGTAAACCCTGCTAAGCGTAAACGTATGCTTAGGTGTCGGGTACGATGTCTACAAATTTATGTGACCTAGGCTGTATGCTTGTGGGTCTAGTTTCAAGAATCCTCTCCCCTTTGTACGTACTTTGAAGATGTTATTTCTAATCCGCATAAGGGACGTCTCTTTAAGCAAATCCAGATGAAGTACATGCTTCAAAATCTTCAAAACAATAATATGCTGTGTCCAAAAATATTAACATTCCTACAATAATAATTAGTGTACCTGCTGTCATAAATGCAGCAATAGTCCAGGTGATTTCCGCTTGATAATTACCAAATATGTAACAACTACTAAATTGGCTGAAGACCTTGCCTAGCCTGATCTACGTTATGACCTGACAGTCAAACAAAGAATGTCTCATTAAATAGGCCCATGCATTTAAAAGTTGGCTCATGTTTCTCAATGTCTTGTAATTCTGCAACATTATTTATTGTTTCGCAACCTTGGATTTTATTGATTGTGATAATCCACTATTCTGGATCATTTCTAGCCCTTATAATGGAACAGCTCTTGAGAATGGATTATGAATTGATCATGATACTCACTTATTTTTTAGACATTTATGAAAGGAGGCGATATGTAATGAATCAGTTGGAATCACTCGTTTTACTATAGTCACTAATAGATGAGTAATCCCATAGTACAAGCAAAACGAAGAGATTAGAAGCAATATTTCCATGGCTTACAAATGCGGTGGTGCCAGATGTGTCATTTTCAAGTCTATGGACACAAGTTGAGTGAATAATAGTGCCTGGAGTTAAGGTGATTAGAGCCCAAGCAGTTACACACAGTACTATTAATAAGTGCACACATGATTAGAGCCCAATTGATTAGAACCCAATTGATTATCAATGGTCATGAACGAATTGATTAAAGCCCATTTATGCCATATTAGTATATAAATGGCTAATATCTGGGCTTCTATGAGAATCATGCCATACTATTAGATTAATTTTTTAAATCAGTAGGCTTTTGTCAAAAAAATGAGTATTGCAACCAGTGTCCATAAAGTTTCAGTCCAAAACGAAACAAATGTATTTTACAGAGAAGCTGGGTCACCAAATAAACCAACTATTTTGTTGCTTCATGGTTATCCAACTTCTTCTAACATGTTTAGAAATTTGATTCCGCTTCTTGCCCCACACTTTCATGTTATTGCACCTGATATCCCAGGCTTTGGCTTTACAGAATTACCATCGTCATATAAGTATGACTTTGCCAACTTGGCTGATACAATTGATTTGTTTGTGCAAGCTTTAAAACTCAAGAAGTTTGCTATTTATATCTTTGATTATGGTGCTCCTGTTGGGCTCAGGTTAGCCCTCAAAGATCCTACCAGAATTACTGCAATTGTGTCACAGAATGGTAATGCCTATGAGGAGGGTATCGACGATAGGTTTTGGAAACCAATTAGAGAATATTGGAAAACTGACGAACACAACGCTCAATTTGTCGATGCCCTTTCAAAATTTATCGAAGACCCTGTAAATATTGTTAGTCAATATGTACATGGCGTTAAAACCCCAGATTCTATTGATCCAGGTGCGTATCTACTTGATGAAGCTCTTTTAAAGAGATCTGGACAAACGGCAATTCAACTAGGTTTGTTCTACGATTACAAGACTAATGTTGATTTGTATCCACAATTTCAAAACTTCTTGAGAGGTTCAAATATTCCAGTTCTTTTAGCGTGGGGTAAGAATGACATTATTTTCAATGTTGATGGAGCCGAAGCTTATAAAAGAGATGCAAAAAATTTGAAAATTGTGTACTTTGATACGGGACATTTTGCTCTTGAAAGTCATGTCGAAGAAATTTCTAAAGAAATTGTTGAATTTGTGGTTCCCCAGCTTTAAGATTGTTGTCTTATTGCGTAGTTATGTTTTAAGATATTATTTCAGTGTAATTCAAAGCTAAATATATAATGCTAGTATATACAATATGGGTATATATATGATTATATTTATATGACGTATTATTCATATGTATGTGTGTAGATATATTCCTTTTTGCAATCGGGATTTCTTAATTTGCTTATAAATCAGAAATTTCAATATTTCTGAATAAGTCCGTACTAAATTCATATATTTCACCCCATTATATCAAACTAATAAGCCAATTGCACTCTTTGATTGCGAATAGCTACATGATATTCCTTCTTGTGTAAAATGAGCAAAGAAGATAAAATCACTAGACCAAAAAGGTATCAATGTCCTGTAAAGGATTGTTCAAAAATGTATAGCAGACCTTGTTTGTTAGAACAACACCGGCGTACTCATACCAATGAACGAAACTTTGTTTGTGATATTCCCGGCTGTGGTAAGAATTTCTTAAGAAAATCACATTTGAAAGTTCATAAATGGTCACATTCGTCTGAAAAGCCTTTGAGTTGCGAAATATGCCATAGAGGATTTACTACCAGTCAACAGTTAGCTCGTCATTTGAATACACATCCAAGAGACAAAATTTGTCCATATGATTGTGGTAAGACATTTTTAATAGACGAAGACTTAATAGGTCATATGTTAGATGAGCATGTTCTCAACGAAATAGTGATTCTGCAAGAAAGTCCTGGTCAGAAAAAGGATGATAACTCGTTATTTTCGGCAACACCTACCCTAGATTCACCAGGTGACTTCATTCTACAGTCAAATACAAGATATAGAGATCCTGCAACTTCGTCGCTTGAAGATAGTGACAGTAATATTGTTCTACATCTGAAAGATAAAGACTCTTTTGTTGGCTTGCATTGCATGGAGGATATTTGTGAGGGTTTTGATGCTTACGACTCGGTCTTTGATTTAATTCAGCACTACGATGAATATCATCACTTTGTCCCAGATTCATATTTTCGGGAATTCAAATGAGCTTAGAGTAACTTTAATTACAATTTGTATCATGCAGCGCAATCATTAATAATTTAATTTCCATTCGAGGACTTTTCGGAACAGCTGATCCAAAATGCCCATTAAATTCAGACTTCAAACACAGTTTGAACTAATATAATCGAATTAACTTAACATATGTAGGTAAATATTTGGTAACTTTTATTAATTTAATTATCTCATAGAGTATAGGAAATGCTCCATTAAGTTCAGAAGAAAGGATTTGGAAAACCTTCTAGACACCATATTCTTGTTGTGGGTGTACAGACTTCATTATGTATACGTATAGGCGTTTCAAATCATATAATTTCTCCTGATTAAACAACTTATAGGTCAAATAATTCTGTTTAAGATGTGTACTAACAGGTTTTGTAGTGTAGTGGTTATCACACTGGTTTCTGATGCTGGTGACCTGGGTTCGATTCCCAGCAAGACCTTTATTTTTTATTATCGTACTAATCGCGACACTTTGCGTTGTTTTATGTGATACCATAAAGAGCTAGCAAATACAATACATGGCTAATCTAGTATTTTACAGTTATTTTTTGACGAATACAGCAAAGATTCAATCCGGAAGCCATTTTTTTCCCAAATTTAAAAATAAAGGAAACATGCCTCTCTTAGTGACTACTGAACTACTGAACCATCTACAAAATATAAACGTAGCGACGTAAAATTAATATACATGTAATTCTATTTAAACTATCAGATGAATAATATTGGTCATAATTTATCCTCCATGGATGCCTTGATTCCTTGTTTTGGCTTCTTGATAGCATTAGGGTTCTCATTGCCAACCACAGGTGCTTCATTAGCCATACCTCCTTTTGGTGCTTCTGCAACTCCTACACCGATGTCACCCTTTGATCCCTGCGCAAGATTTCCAGCTAATCCAATGTTTTCTGATTCTTTGTCTGCATTTCCGATTCCTACGATATCATCTAGGTTCTTATTGTATTCAAGATCCGGTTGAACTATTTCGTAAGATGGTTGTTCCATTGAACCCTTCAAATCTTGAGAAAGCCAATACATACAACTCCCAAACAATATTAATAAAATCAAATACCCAACTACTTTTCGCCTTGGAGAAGCGAAAAATGACTTTGCTTTGTTGTGATAAGGTGAAAAATTCAGCGACGGTTTCATATAGTATGGCCTTGGCAAACCATTGTTTTTATAACTACCTTGCATTATGATACTCTGTATATTCCGATACTATTCACAAACTTTCGTATCAACACTTAGCCTACTCCCAACTAGCTGTTAAATGAACAGTAGTTTGACATCTATTTGATCCTACTTCGCAAGTTTACTGCTTATGTAATCGGCCCGAACTATTCACCACCAAAACCACCTGTAAATCATTGGTTCTGGACTTCAAGCTTCTGGAAGAGATAAATATTCCATATATAGATCTAATTTCACTTTGCATGGAAATAAAGAAACGTATTTAGTAAAAGCTTTGGCTAAAAATGACAAATATTATAATAATTATGACATCCAAGTTGATGGCGGTATACTTCCCAACAAAATGTGATTTCAAAATTGATCTTTCCAATATGTATCTCTAGAAGGGTATATGATCATCACTTCTATCATTTTTCTGCATCTGCAACTAATAGTATTTGCTCTATTCTGTAATAATACTCACTTCGTGGAACTTGTTTAACAATACGCAAAAACAACTATTGGTAAACTTGATCCACTGGAAGAAGAAAGGTACATTTTCAAAAACCCTCGTCTTCTTCAGCCTTAGATTAATATATTGATTTTTTATATATTAAATGAATACACAAGAATTTCTCTTCTTTCATATTTTTGCAAACTTTACAAAAAACTCAAAAAATTAAAAAATTATGTATATTATAATCATAATATAGACTTATATAAATTATACATACATACAATTATACAAATAAACACCAGAAGTTGCATTAACTACTTCTTTTGCTGATTAATTCAGGAAAAGTGAAATAATTGTTTGTATTAGGTTTGATCTATTTGCAATAAACCTTGCGACACAAGCCGCACCTCCAAGGAACACAAATTCATACAAATACCTTTGTGTATATTATTGGAATACTCCCTACAAGTAAGAATAGTGTGGATTAACTATGATATAGACTCGTTTAGTGTGACAGAGTACTAAGGATTGTGTACTTGTTATATAAATATGTACAATTATATAGTGTTGTTACACAAATGTAAAACTATACTTAAATCATGGTGTTGAATGTCTCTAATAATAAACGTATTTCAATATGAATAAACATACAAATTTTTCATTAGTAATGGCCCAAGTTCAAACATTTACATATGTATTCAGTAAACCTTGCAAGATACCAGCCTCTAAGTCTGAACTGGTGCTTTAACCTGCTATGAGCATATACCTAATTAGATCAAGATGATGTGGACAATAAGCTTTTAGAAAAGCATACCACGCATTTAGGGCCCTAAAAGAGACTTGTGTGTCCTGCGGTCGACAAGCACATTTGTTATAGTGTCTCTAGGCACACTCACCAAGCCCAATTCCCTCTTATGCAAGTTCGTACGGTCTAATCTATCTTCCGATAGTTCGAAGACGTTTGAGAGTAAAAGATTTCCAAATGGATCAACAACAGTCAAAACACCATCGAGAACTCTCAAATCAGTCAACTTCAATCTGAGTTGAGTTCCTATGAACTTTTCTGGTTTGATTTCCTTCGTCACCATTGATACCTCTAACTAATAAGACATGAAGTTGAAGGGTAGAGTTGTGTGAAAAATGAAGTAATCACTTAGTTACCCGACTTTGAAATTTTCTCGACTATAAATTTAGCGAAACTTTCACTCTACGCTCTTATTTGAATTTTCTTTTTCCTAACATCAAGCGCAGCTTCACCCTCTACTAAATCAGTTTATCTTTTTCGTATATAAATAATCTGACCGGAGGATTACCAGTGAGTGAAAGCGTAGAAGAACCATCATGGAGCACGTTTCTGGGCGCCCGGTATTGACATTGATCGTGGAATACTGGGAATCAGTTGTGACTAAATCTATATATTTTTAAGCCTCGTAGTTTGTAATATGCTTGTAATTCAGCAAGTGCGTTTAAACACTTTTGAATGTGTCGGAAGCTTTCTGTGTCGTCGTTAAGGAGTACCGAAGTGAGACAGTCAGCACATTTTGTGCAATCCCAATTTTGATATCACATCTATATTCTCGATATTGAAAATCGCATTCGGACTATTGTTAATTTTAATGATTTAATGCTGTTCAAGGATGGACGAAGAAACAAGACGCAATGAGCTATCCGTTCTATATAACGAATACAAGGATTACTTTCTGGTATGCGAACTAAAGTTGAATCTGCCCAGTCTAGCCTCAAATTCAACAACAATAACGGGTGACGATTACTACTCAAAATCAGCATCGAGGAGAGGCAAAAGAAATATTGAAAGTCATATACATCTAAAGACCAAAGAGGGAGAAACAATTAGAGTATCAGTAGATACATCCGGGTGGTACGAAACCCCAGAAGAAGATGCATTAGAAATAGTCAAGCATTATGAAACGTTTGAATCGTTGATGATGCAACGATCTCGAAGTTTCCAAAATATGTTCGGAAATACACTATCTGATAGATTACACAACTTAATAAGCGAAAAGATGCATTCAGAACAAGCATAAGCGTCAAACTACAAATATCACGACTTAACGATTTAGATGAATGTATTCCTAGAATGATATATATATACAAGATGCCGGTTCGCTGGTAAACTGTTTTGGGAGGTGGACTTATTTATGTTTTTTAGTTTCTTTTCTTACGAAATTTTCAACATCACCAACATCATACTTAGTATTTCTGATGTAGAATTGTTTTCTTCTTGGTAAATACTTCTTAGGCTTGTGAACAACTTCAATATTTCTAATGTTAGGATTAAAAAGTGGGATTCTCATTTCAACACCCAACTTATTGATCTTATTTCTAAGTAATATATTTGTTCCCACGCTATTCACAGATCTCTTAACGGCAATAACTTGTCCAGTAACATTTGTTCTATCAAGATACGTAACCTTAATAATATCTCCAGAACGGACCCCAGTGTCTTGATCAACAAGGGCTCTTCTTTTACCTGTAGGGTCATATTTTTGGAGTAATTGTTTATGCAAATATGAGATAGCGTTCTCACAATTTCTCTTCTTTGGTAATGGTTCGTATACTGTTGGTAGTTTATCTGATATAGTTAGTATTTCATGCAATGTGAGTCGAATTAAAATTATTAAAACATACCCTTTTTGAACGGAATAAATGTTCTGACTGCTTGCAAAGATATACTGCTTGAGCGAACAGCCAATCCTCTGTTTAAAACGCTGAACATTTGGTCTGGTCTAATGTTGAATTCCTGGTATATGAAGTTCTTCAAATCAAGTTCGTAATTTTCAAGTGAATTTTTCATTTTGCGAATTTCTTAGTGCTAAAAAGTACGCACGCGTGCTTCTAATTACTTTACAAGTCAGTATAGACTAAACTCAAGCTTAGATATATATATATAATTTACAAATGACAAATAGAGATGCAGAAAGAAATAAGATTCAAGATAATGACAACTAAAAACGAGGACGTCTTTTTCTTGCAGTGAATTTGGAGTCGTGAGCAACATCTCTTCCTCTTCTTCTCATGGTTTCCTTCTTTCTATTGATAAATTCTTTCTTTGTTTCTAATTTCTTCATGAGTTTCTTGTTCATTTTCTTGGTGGTTTGTGGCGCATCCATTTGGGCTCCGGATAAGTTGATACTTCTTTCGGACTGACCAGCAGTTAAAACTAGATAATATTTCTTGTGACGTTTCGACTCAGGTTCATCTATGATCAAACCACCGCCGAAACCTGCTAGTTTAGCCGCATCCAAAATAGACTCAGTTTGCGAATCATTCATTGGATAAAATTGTGCAACAAACTTTCCCCCTCTTCTTAATGATGCATACAACGAGTTGAAAAATCTTAATAATCTTTTTTTAGGATCAGCATTAGAAACATCAGCATTACATAACCATTGAATAGCGGAAATTGAAATTGCAGCGTCAAAAGTACCTGCCCTAAAGGGTACTCCATTACCCAAATCACTCAAAAAGACATCTCCCTCTAATCCTCTGTCTAAGCCGGTGGCTAACATACTTGGAGAAATGTCCATTCCTACCCAATTATAACCTTCTTCTGTCAATATTTCTCCTGACAAACCGGATCCACATCCTAAATCCAATATGAAATGCGGTTCCTCTCGTGCTAGATTTAATAACTCTAATGCTCTTAAAGTCATCTTTGCCTGAATATGTTGAACACGGGTGGACGTAGTATACTTAAATGATTCAGTATCATTATAAAAAACCTCAGGTGGAGCAAGCTGTTCTGGTCTCGACATTGTATTCTATATACTTGGTGGTCTGTTATTATCCAAAATCTTATCGTCTATTTATTGATTCTATAGTCTATAAAAAAATTTATGAGATGAACCACCATTCACGTGACTGATTATTGCAACTTCACTTATAGTTAGTACCAATATCTAGTATCATTAAAATACTAAATAAAGGGTACAGACAAGACCTGGGGCTAAGACCAAGCCAAATAAAGAGTTAAAGTTACCAAATCTTCTTCTATCTTTCATAAATTTAGTACTGCTCAAGGCGATGTGAGGAATTTGAGACATTTGTAACAATGTTATGTAGCATCTCAAACGCTTGAAGATTATATACATAACTAATTCATGCATTATGCTGGAGAAAATAAATGTACAAAGCATGGCTTTATATCTGCTGAGATTAAATGAGCTGATGGATGAATGGTACACATGTCTGAGTAGGAATTTATGGACAGGACGATTCCAGATTCTTGAGTATTCTCCCCAGTCAGCGCTTGACCACCATGGTCCGTAGAAATCCCGATCTGCAAAGCGACTCAACTCAGCAATGGTATTGAGGATTGCATCCCAGATCAAAAAGAATGTTAAAAGATAAATCCAGATGAAAGGGGGAATCATATCGAGGAAGATAGGCACACAGCGAGTTCGTTTTTCCTCGGTGGGTAAACCTTGTAACTCCATGGCACGTACTAAAATAGGGTATATCCAGTCTTGAGCCACTAAGATCATAAGCAATATAAGACCAAAAATAGCGCAACTCTTTTTCAAAACATAGTGCCATCTGATCCTACGTGTACGCGGGAAGTTCAACGTGTAGACTAAGGTTGGGAACATAGAGTACTCAAAGAAATTAAACAAGTTAATATTCTGAGGAAATTTAACTATATTCTTTTCTTGCAAATCATGAATATCATCTTCCAAATCGAAAGATTCTATTGGAGACTCGCTCGACATGGTAGTTGCACTTGATTGATATTCCAATTCAAACTTACAAAAGCGAACACTCCCATCTAAAATGCTTTTCGTTTTTTCCAACTCAAAATTCTGTGGCAATTGAACCAGACTATTATTTAATCTTTCTAGGTAGTTTTCCGAGAACTCCAACTCTTCCAATATTTTCCATAAATATCCATTATAAAAGGCATAGGAATGCATCTTCATAATCAATACTAAATTGTGTAATATTAGGAACACTTTTCCAATCCAAGGATAAGACATACACATATCAGATGCAAAATAGATCGAGAAGGCGCAATGTGTAAAACTATAAATACTCTGGATAATCCAACCAGTTGAATGCCATGCAATCCAGCCTTTCAGGCAAGCGTATTGAACAAGAAATGCAAAATATGTGCCGATGTACATCGCTAAATCAGTTAGACCAATTTTCACCAAATCTTTCCTCATGGTTCTCATAACTGCAGTTTCGAAAAAATTATCGCCTGTTTCAATGTACGAATGAATAATGTTGTTTGCCATAAGAAATCCTGTGCCTATCCAAAAAAGTAAGTAGAGTCCGTAGAATTCTGAATTTTTAAAAGTCGCCGAATCAAAAATAGTAGTCAGTGCAGAGAAGAATTTGACGTCTCCAAATCTAGACCTGAAGTTATCTTTACTTGCTTTGTTTGACGAAGAGTCTGTTTGAAGTTTATCATCGTTTATTTTTTTTTGCCTGATTCTGTTACGTGCTGCATTGTTAATCTGATCCAATTTTATCATAAGTGGTTCTAAGCTAGCTTGGCCATTTTCAAACCTCTCAAGCATACTTTCGGACGATTCGAACTCGGAATAATTAATATTGTCGGAATTGAGCTGTTTTTGATTATGATGGTTGGTCACATTCACATATTGATCTTCCAATCCTTGCAGTGGTTCCTTGTCATAATATTCATCATCAAGAATAAGCGATTTTCTTTTTCCACTATTTCTATTAATTATTGTGGAAAGTTTTTCCTCAGCATTGGAATTGTGCAACATTTCAATGAGAATTCACTACTATGCAATCGGTTTGGTTGGTAGATTTTTCACCAAGTCTTGCAACTCGAGGTTTACATATATGAGAACGCGGAAATCGACATTTGGCGATCAATCATGTGTATAACTTTTATCCTATTGTCTCGTCTGATATCGCTTTGCCAATTAAAGTCCGTTATTATTCTTAGCATCTAAACATCTTATTTATTGTATAGGTTTTATGCATTGAACTACTTTCGGAAAACGAGTATGTTCATGATGCGGCTCAGTGCCGCAGTCTATATAGTTAATCGTTGGTATTGTAAATAAACCATGCTGCCTATAGATATAAAAACAATGAATATACAAAGAGGATATAACGTGAACCATTTACACGTAACTAGTTATTCGAGCTGCCATTAAAATATTAAATAGAATGTGCAGATCATACTTGGAACCGAAATGAATCCGAACCAGCACATAACGTTACCCAATACTTTTTTATTTTTCATAAATTTGGTGTTACTAAAAGCTACTAAAGGAAGCTGAGACATTTGCATCAACAATAAATAACCTCTTAATCGGTTGAAAATCACAAACATGACCAATTCATGTACTAAGCTGGATAGAATAAATGTTCCTAGGATAGCATTCAGACTATTGAGCTTGAGCACACTAATCGAAGAATGATAGACATGTCTGAGCAAGAATTTATGAACAGGACGATTCCATATTCTAGCATATTCTGACCAGTCGGAACATGACCACCAAGGTCCATAGAAATCTCGATCTGCAAATCGACTCAACTCAGCAATAACATTTAGAATTGCATCCCAAATCAAAAAGAAAGTGAAAAGATATTCCATGAGAAAAGGAGGAATCATATCAAGTAAAATGAACATACACCCTCTCCATTTATCTGCTGTAGGTAGATCTTGCAAGGCAATTGCACGTTGAATAATAGGGTACATCCAGTTTTGAGCCACCAAAATCATAAGAAAAATAATACCGAAAACACCACAGGTCTTTTCTAATACATACAGCCATCTGATCCGACGGGTCCGTGGGAAATTCAACGTGTAGACTAAGGTTGGGAACATAGAGTACTCAAAGAAATTAAACAAATTAATATTCTGAGGAAATTTAACTATATTCTTTTCTTGCAAGTCATGGATATCATTTTCTAAATCGAAAGATTCAATTGGGGACTCATGCGACATGGTAGTTGCATTTGATTGATATTCTAATTCAAACTTACAAAAGAGAACACTCCCATCTAAAATACTTTTCGTTCTTTCCAAATCATATTTTTCTGGCAATTGAACCAGACCACTATTCAACCTTGCTAAGTAGTTTTCTGAGAACTCCAATTCTCTTAATATCTGCCATAGATAGCCATTGTAAAATGCGTAAGAATGCATCTTCATAATAAAGACAAGATTATGTAGCACTAAAAATACCTTACCTATCCATGGGTAAGACATACATTTCTCTGAAGCAAAATAAAGCCAGAAAGCACCATGAAGAAAATCGTAGACAGCTTGAATTATCCAACCACTTGAGTCCCATACAATCCAACCCTTTAAGCATGCAAATTGAAGAAAAAAGGCAAAATATGTGCCAAGGTACATTGCTAGATCAGTAAGACCAATTTTCACTAAATCTTTCCTCAATGTCCTCATAACAGCAGTTTGGAAGAAATCCTCGCTGCTCTCAAAGTACGAATGAGCAATGTTGTTCATCATAAGGAAGGCAGTACCAAGCCAGAAAAGCACGTATATTCCGAAGAATTCCGAATTTTTGAAATAGCTTGAATCGAAAATAGTAGACAGCACAGAGTAGAATTTGATATCCCCGAATCCAGATCTGAATTTCTCTTCACTTTTATTTGTAGTAGGTTTCTTTTCCACTGATCCCTTCACTTTGCTCTTCCTTCTCCTTAGTCTTGTAGGAGCAGCATTATGAATCTGATCTAATTTCTTCATTAGAGGTTCGACATTGATGTGCTCATCTCCAGATATATGAATTGTGGTTTCAGAGAGACTTGATTTTGAATCCGTATCAGATATATTGCTGGTATTCTCAGATGCCTTTAAATTGCGCAGTTTGACCGCACTTACGTATTGATTGTCTAAACCTTGCAATGGTTCTTTCTTATTGTAGTCATCATCAAGAATAAGTGATTTTCTTCTTCCATCATTTCTATCAACAATTGTCGAGAGTTTTTCATCTGTATTTGATTTATGAACCATCTTCCTAACGTTTCCTTATTGATTATATCGACTCTTTTCTTAGCTAGGGATTTTGTAAGGAGTTCAAGTTGGTTGCGGTCTACTTTCAATTACGAATGCGAAAATTCCGTACATAGAATACGATATGACAAAAGATCGATTGTTAATATTCTATATACACGGCAATCGATGGAATATATGCTTAACTAACGATACACTCTTTCAAACGGTCTTGTATCATTGAAACAAGACTGCCATACAGTATTTACCACTTTTTCTGCTTCTTGGGTATCTTTACAATTAGGATTAGCTGAAACTGACAAGATTGCCCTTCTCTTTATGCAAGCTTGGAACTTTTTGCCGAAGTCACCTAACCCTGTTTTCTTGATTTCGTTAAATATACGGCATTCACCACTCAACATGGAGGCCCTGATTTCGGTACATGCATGGTGTTTTAAGTTGGTAAGATCTACTTTGAACTTAAGAAAATCGTATGCATGCACCAATTCATGGGTCAAAATATCTTCTAATTGCCATTTATCTGTAATCCAATTAGAGCACAATAATATTCCACCCTCTGGATGGAATCCTCCACCTTTATAGTCGTCACAAACGTCGCAGATAATATTGGACTTACTAATGTTTCCACCGATTTTTTTTACATGATCCATCATAAATATAACAGAAGGAGAATATTTAAGCATCCAGTCAAGATTTGCAACGCAATCAGTACATTGCGTGGGCAAATGCTTAGCCCTGTAGTCATGTTCGAATTGTTTCTTTTCGTCTTCTGATATGCCCATTCCAGTTCTATACTGTAATGATCTCCTCCACCACTCGAATCCGGACAATTTTTCAGGTGGAGACGTCGTAAGCGTGTCATTATTAGCACGTGGAGCGTCTGTAAGGTCTGTCATAGTCCTTTTGGTGTATGTACGGTGGTTGATAAGTTTAAGAAGGTAATGATAATTATGTCCCGGAAATTATAATCGTGCCCAAAACGAGAAATATTGGTGACAATTTTTTTCAAGTAGTTGAAGCTCATCCCCATACAGTTTGCAATCATTTGAAATAGACAAGTTATAGTAACTATGGTTTCAAACATTTGGGTAGCTGCCGCAGATAACCAGGTTAAAATCGTTGAATCATATTTGGATAGTGGCGATTTCACTCCAAATTCGAAGGACCCAAATGGATATACTCCAATACATGCAGCAGCATCGTACGGCCATATAGGCTTGTTGAAATTATTGATAAAGAGAGGAGGAAACATTAATATACAAGACAGTGAAGGGGATGCCCCATTGCATCATGTCGAAGATCTCAGAACTGCAAAGGTAATGGTAGAGGAGTTGAAGGCTGATTGGAAAATTAAGAACAACGAAGGTCAAATACCAGCAGAATACATTGAAGAAGACGACGAGTTTCCAGAATTAGCACAATATTTAAGATCATTATCTCATGACCAACCACAAAGTACTGGTGTCTCTGGTGATGAAACGCTTGCTTCGTTACCAGCTCCAGGTAACATAGATGGTCATCAAATCAGATATACTATGGAAAACGAAGTTCCTAGTCAAGAAGAAAGCTTCGACGACGAAGAAAGACGTAAGAAGATTGAACTGATATTGAATAGTGAAAATCCAGAGGAGGCCTTACGAGACCTTGTTAGAAGTGCCGTTCACGAAGGTATGTCCAAATACAAGAGCGAACAAGAGTTCCAAGACGAGGAAGCTCCTTCATCAAAGAAGAGAAAGGATTAGGGACTAGTAGTAGTATAACCTAGTAGAATACAGGGAAATTATGTACGTTAGAATAGATAAACACTAGTGATAATGCCTTCACTAGTATTGGTAAATAAGTTACACAAAAACCTTTCGCAGTAAGTGGACAATTTCGTTCAATATAATGAAAAATAGTGGACCATATCTAATCTAAATAATTGTCTACTTAAATAACTAGTGATAAAATGATAAGTGGAATTGTTTTAGCTTTGGCTTTCTCTCCAATGGTTAAGGCCATTGATTTGTATGTAAATTTGAAAAATATTGATTTGATTGAGTTGAATAATGTCTAACATATTTTAGTTTCGGTACTACCAGTAAATTCACTGCTAACGAACTTAGTGAAATGACTCTTTTCGAAAGATTGAAGGAACACAACTGGAGCTTGGAGTATCTTACACTTGGTTTCACAATTGCTTTTGTTATCCTTTACAAGGCTGGTGATTTCTATAATCAATACTTAACCACTTCTTACTTGAAAGGATTGAACGATGTTTTCAAGAAGAACTTCTTTCAATATGGTGTTTCTCAAAAAGACTTGTACATCAAGGATAGCTCTGAAGATTACTCATCTTATGCAACTGGTAGAATTAATATTGCCAAGGTTAACATTGATATCAAGTTGAAACCTAGACATAATATTTTTGTTTGGATTCTTGAGTCCGTTATGTCTTTCTTCACCGACTCTGTTGTTTATCCTACCGATAAAGTTAACATTGAAATTACTCCTTCACCTGATGCAAACATTGATAATTTCATCACTGCTATTGTTTCAAAGCTTGGTATGAATGATTTCAGAAAATTCAATTATTTCTTATCTTTGACAAGAACTGCCGATTCTGCTAACATTCCTGAATCATTTGTGTTCATGAGTGAAGCCAATGAATTTCAAGATAAAACTTTGACTCCAGAGTTAAAGAAATCTTTAACTTTGCAAGCTGCTTCTTTCTTGAGATTTATTGCCATTACTGATCAACCCGTTGAAAGACCAGAAACTATTTCCCAATGTGCACCAAAGCAAAGAATTCTTATTTCCACTTCTTTAGTTAGTAATGCTGATCAATTAGCTCAGTTATCTGAAATATTAGCGGCTATTTTCAACTTAGTTGACCAATTAGCTTCTAAAAAGATTACTTTCAAAGCTGATGCTTTAAAGAAAATCGTTAAGACAAGAGAAATTGAAATTTCTAAAATTAAGAAGGTCTTAGATGAAATCAAGCAAGAAGAATTAGCTGCTGAAAAGGCAAAGTTAAAGAGAGAGCAAAGATCAAACTTGAGAAATTTATCTAGAGAAGAACAAGTCAAGCTTGAGAAGAAAGAGCTTGAAAGAAAACAAAGAAAAGCTCAAAGAAAGCAAAGAGTTAAGATGTAATACATGCATCCAGTCTTTTTAAAACTTGAATGAACAAGGATATTTCTGTTCAATATTAGTAAATACATTACTCTTTATATAATAATACTTATGTTAACTAAACGTTCAAATCTTTCCTGTTAAGCGCCAGCCCCTTCCAACTGGCGTGTTAAATACCTCAATAACGCCTGCCCCGAGGGCGTCCGCTAATATCCAATATAAATCATACCCATACAAGGGACTTCTGAAATTAGTCATTTTTGAGGTTCCATTAAAACTTGTATTAAGGCCCTCCCACCTATTAAATATATGCTCTTCGAGTAATTCACTATACTTGGATTTACTCAAAGTCTTGACTAACCATGAACGCCCTGCATTGATAAGTTTAAGATAAGTACCACAATTTGGATAAGATATTGAATATTGATGTGATTCTATTTCATTCAAATGATTTGAGGTTAAAGTTATATATCCAAGAGATACCAACTTTGAAAGTTCTTGATTATCCATTCCTTGGTTATTATCTATAAATAGTGCTGTAGGATGGTTGATGATAAATTTAAGGAATTTTTGCAAGCATTCACACAAAGATTCTTTACTGGATTTTTCATTTGCCAGTGTTTCTTGGAGACTAATTTCCTTCTCCAATTTATGTATTTCATTTTTTATGTTATTTAAATAATTTTCAGATTTAACTATAACTTCGACGTTTTCGTAGCCATATGTTACTTTCCCATGTTGAAATTTTTGGGGTGATCTCAGTATGATTGGTGAAGCATTTGTTATGACAAATTTTCGAAGCTTTCCTTCTCGTATCCTCATTTCCAAATTTCTATCTACAAATGTATTTCCTTGATGTTCATAGATGGAATAAAGCTGATTTATCGTTATTAAACCGTGAGGGAATTGGTTAGCCCTATACTTGATGATGTCTGCTTTAACTTTCATAGATAATCCAGGTAGCAGAAACAAAAGGTCCTCATTATTAAGAGAATTCTGTACCTCTTGTCTTGTATGAAACCTCGAATGAAGAGTAGTTGCTTCAGACCATTGATTACCAAGGATAGTATCGACCGCTATCAATATGTCATCCTTTTTAGAAAGTTGATAGTCTAATTGAACATTATAGTCTTGAACGGTTAATGGGACCTCATCCTGTTTACCTTCTGATATCTTGGGAGATGGGCTTAGAGTTTTCTTGTTCTTCAAATTCTGCAAATACTTCGTCTGCGAAGGTAGATACTTTTTCAAGTCTTTTTGAGCTTGTTTAACTGGTGATGTATTAATAGTTCTCTTCGTTATCCTTGAAGAATTAGCAGCACTGTACTTAAGATTAGATCCCATTTGTTACAGAAAACAAAAAGGAACATCAATCTGATTTTGCTTAGATATATAGGTTCCAATATATTTTCAGAGCCGCACTCAGATAATACTTAAAATGCTAGATTTATTAATCTAATGTTTATTTAATATTTACAAAATGGTTATATACATAGAATAAGTACTGATGACACATTTTTCTAGCATGTCCAATATATGATCAAGTCAAAGCGACTATTGAATTCTAAGCGTTCTCTGAACACCATTTCTGTCACCTGGAACTTCTAAAGTCAACGTATAATCACCAACAGCAGTGATTTCATTAAGCAAAGCCCTACTATTATCAGGAGTGCTTATCTTGATGGACGCATGAGGGATTTGGACACCAGCCATGTCGTAGATTAAGGATGCCACATAAGACTTGTCGATAGGAAGCTTTACAGTCTCGTTCAACAAAACAGTGTGTACCCTTGGAATAGCTTGTTGTAATTCAGTTGCAGTGTATGCAATTTCCTGTGTACTTGCCTCGAAAGCCTGTTGCAGTTCGTTGGTCTCAGCACCTTGCTTGGTCTTTCTGCTGCTCTTCATGGTGTTAAATAAATTCGATAATTCGTCCAAGGACATTGCTCCGGTATTGGATTCATCTTGCTGGTTCTGTACTTGTTCGACTATCTTGGTTTCATTCTTAGCTTCAACCACTGGCTTTCTTTCCTTTTGTCTGGATTTTTCAACGACTGGAATACGTGGTCCTTGTTCTTTGGTAAGGTAACAAGCACCATTACCTCTGTGCAAGTAGTTTCTCATGAAAGCAGGTCTGACTCTTACTATTTCCCCTTGTAATCCTACTGTTGGATGATCTTTCAATAATTGAACTGGTATTTTTTCTGGTACCTTATGCTTGACTTTTTTTGACCCATGTCTTATCAAAGGTCTTGATATTAAAGAATTCACTTCCTTCCCTAGAACATTCAACAACATCTCTGTTACTTTTTGCTTAGACTATGTGGTGATGTGAAGGTTTGTCTGTTCTATACAAGTTGACTCTTTGGAATCAGTTGGGCGAAAAATTTATTGATTTTTTAGTACCCCAATTTACGCGCTGGATTTTTGCGTCCGCGAATAACTCAGACCTTTGATAGATGACATAGAGATAATACCCTATAATGAAGTTACTTTTAACTGTTTAGAGACATTCAATGATATCAGAGAACCTAGTCTGTTCAATATGTCACTTAAATGAGCATAAATATACATGCCCCGCGTGTGGAGTGAAGACATGTTCAATAGATTGCGTGAAGAGACATAAGAGACAAACAGAATGCAGTGGGCTAGTAGATCAGTCCAAATTTATACCTAAGAAGGTATTGTCACAAGATGAGTCGCATATAAATAGAGACTACAATTTTCTTTTGAATGTGGGACGACAGATACATGTCGGGAAAGGGGATATAAAGAGTAGTGCTAAGAATGTGTTTAAACGTCAGTTTAGCGGTGGGAACCAGAATAAGAACAAACGATTCAAGAATAACAATGTAGATGCAAAGGACGCCATGGATACTAGGATTGAATGCGTAAAAAAAGTATTTTTACAAGAGCCTACTACTGTGGTCAAGAGAAATAATACGATGATTATACAACTACCAACAGGTATGTCACGAGCTACTTCGAATAAAACTGGGTATGACAAGAAAGCAGGATCATTTATATGGACTGTTGAATGGGTCGTTATAGACGAAACTGGTAACGAGAAAGATCGGTTCATAAGTTACAGGTTGAAGGAGCATTTGCTGTTGAAAGATGCGGTTCCAATGAACATTTTGAATAATACTGTTTCCATTAATGAAGGAGAAGATTCAGCAAAACAAATCGACAAAGACCAGTTGAATTTTTATTTGGCAAATGTTGTCGGCTATGAAAAAACGAAAGAAACTATCCTTCGCTTAAATGGTACTGACCTGATCTCAGATGCCCTTACCAATATGATTGTACTAGAATATCCTACCATATACATCACCTTCAATTCTGGCACGTGGAAAAATCGTATAATAGCAGAAGAAGAGGCGTATAATTATGCCAAACCAGCTAGTCTGCCTGACTCCAGCTCATCAGATGATAGCTCAGGATCCAGCTCCAGCGATTCCGATAGCGACTCTGAAAGCGATTCTGACGATTCACAAAGAAATACAGATGATGAAAGCGACTCTGATGAAGCCCCAGAGGAAACCTCTTCCAAGCCTATAAAATTAACGTTTGACACTGAGCCACAGACTGCAACTCATGCTGCACCAGGAGAGAACAAAGCAGAAGGGGTGTGACTAAGAACCAGCAATCATCACATTTTATAACAATCTGGATTAAGTAAATATATCTATAAACATTGTACATAGTGTACCATAAAAGCAATTTCTAGAGTAATCTGTGATGAATAGTTTGTACATTTTCATATTTCTGTTTAGGCTATTGTCTACATTTACTAATGAACGTCTTTGATCATAATTTAGCCTCGATATTTTTTATCATATTAAAATAAGTCTTTTAAAGCATTTCATCATCTTCTATTGACTAATACCTATCACCTGTCGTTACAGCCTATCACAGTTTGAATAGTGAAGCTTCATCTTTGAATACTATATGTTGCAGCCATTCAGATATATGGTACATACACGACAAATATATTCTTAAGATGAGACTAAGCAGAAGGGCTCTCAGATGGTAGAAGATAACGAAATACCTGAACCATAGCTTAATGACAAGTGTATTTAGAAAACCGCCTGATTCTGACAGGAATATTAAGGCTTCATTATACTTTGGGAACTTGGATCCGCAAGTAACAGAACCACTTTTGTACGAATTATTTATTCAATTTGCTCCTATACGATCGCTTAATCTTCCAAAAGATCGAGTGTTGAAAACACATCAAGGATATGGTTTTATTGAATTTAGAACAATTAAAGATGCTGAGTATGTGTTGAATATTTTAAGAGGTATACGGTTGTACGGCAAGATGTTAAAACTCAAAAAAGCAGAATCAAATTTCAAAGGAAATTCACAACAGGTTGGAGCCACTACGGCAAGTAATGCTATGGATATTGGGGCCAAAATTTTTATTAATAACTTGAACCCATTAATAGATGAACAATCATTAGCTGACACATTTTCGAAATTTGGAACTCTTATCAGGGCCCCATCTATCATTCGGGACCCGGAGAGCGGAGAGTCAAAAGGTTACGGCTTTATAAGTTTTAACGATTTTTCCAGCAGTGATATGGCAATACAGAAGATGAATGGTGCTATATTGATGAATTCAAAGGTGTCAGTAACATATGCATTTAAAGATGACCCAACGAGTGGACAACATATGAAAATTAAGCATGGAGACAAGGTCGAAAGATTGCTAGCAGAAAATGCTAAATCAAATAACGTCCTGATATCGTCTACGAAACAAAATGAGAGCGGTAAGATAGCCAAACCCAGGAAGAACCGAAGGACTGGTAACTAAGAGCCCAACAGAAGCCATTATAGGATATCGCCATTTCCTATTACGTCAATAATCAAGAATTGCATATTGAAGATAATTAATAAGAATGTGGTGGTTATATACATCACAACTTTACATAGTAAATTAATAAGCCATACTAGTACTTCTTGTATTTGTAAGACGTCAATAGACTCCATAGTAATTGGGAATTGCGACATCTCCGCTATCTCCGCAACTACGGAAATGCGCAGTGTAGCATTTATCAAAAATTAGTAATCCAAGCACCATAGCACTATATAAGGTTAAGAAAAGATATTATTGCAATTGGAAAGAAATCAATTATCAAAACTTAGTCTAAGCAATTTCAGAAATATAAGAAAAATGTCCACAACTGAACTTCCAAGTACTCAAAAGGTAGTTCTTTTTGAAGAGAACAGTGACTCGCTCGATGTTATAAAATTTACAGACTTCGATACTCCAAAGATTACTTCCTCTAATGATGTTATTATTAAAAATAAGTTTGCTGGGGTAAATTTCATTGACTCATACTTTCGTAAGGGTGTCTATCCGTCCCAAAAGCCTTTTATATTTGGTAGAGAAGCCGTTGGTGTAGTTGCTGCAATTGGAGACAAGGTGACCAAATTCTCTGTTGGAGATAAAGTTGCTTATTTGTCAGGGTCTACTTTTGCTCAGTATACCAATTTGACTGACTCCTACGTTCAGATATTAAAGTTGGATCCTAGCACTTCAGACGAGAGTCTCAAATTCTATGCAGCATCATTGTTACAGGGTTTAACAGCACTCACGTTCATCCACGAAGCTTACAACGTTCAGAAAGATGACTATGTCTTGGTCTGGGCAGCAGCTGGTGGTGTTGGTAATATCTTAACTCAATTGATTTCGAAGAGAGGTGCCCATGTTATTGCCATTGCATCAACTGAAGAGAAATTGGCATTGGCTAAAAATAATGGTGCTGAATATTTAGTAAACCACCTCACGGATGATATTGTCGAGAAAGTGAAGGATATTACCAATGGTAAAGGGGTGAATGCATCATTTGATAGTGTTGGAAAGGATTCGGCAGAGATATCTCTTGCTTCTTTAGCAAGGAAGGGTACATTTGTCAGTTATGGTAACTCGTCTGGAGTTGTTCCACCATTATCTATAAACAGATTATCACCAAAGAACTTGACTGTGTTAAGACCTCAATTAATGGGATACATTACCACAAGTGAAGAATGGGAACATTACGTTCGTTTGTTATTCAAGTTAATCGATTCTGGAGATTTGAAGATTGATCTTCTGAAGACATATCCATTATCTGAATATAAACAAGCTACCTCTGATTTGGAAGGAAGAAAGACCACTGGTAAACTCGTTTTAGAAGTTCCACAGTAAATTACCAAGCATTCAAGGCTTTATAAACTAATATCTCATTAAATATTATATAGATATATATATAAGGATTATATTCTGAATGAATACATAGTCTAAAAATGTATCACAATCTTGGTCTGGAATTTTCATATCTCGTTAAGTCTTCAGGGGTGGCCACTCCGTAAACAAGAGTTCCTTCATCATTCGTGATAATAGCAAAATATACCCCTTCGGCAAAAAATCTCGCCAAGTCTTCCAATGGACTCATAGGTGTTATAATATTGAAAGATTTGCCCTTGGTCTGAGGCTTCAAGATTGTGGTATTAAGTGCCGTCTTATTGATTTTTTGTGGTTCTTGGTGCTCTTTATCGTAATTCTCTTGTGCCTTTTGATGAAACCATAACATGTGGTTCTTCACAAGAGGTGCCAAACGAACTTTATTATCTGCATTACTTGTGGTTTTTAAGTCTTCGACATTGAAAATCCCTAAAAGTTTCTTATTCGACTCATGAATCACAGGTAAGTACGTAAATTCATGCTCGTATGCTATTTCCAAAGCTTCATTTAAATGGGTAGTAGGATTAATTGAAATTGCTGGTTTAATATCCAAGTCTTCTACCGTTGCGCCACGATAGTCTCTGATACTTAAAACGGTCATTTTAGACATTAATCAGGTACTTAATAGTATAGTATGACAAATTGAGTACTTAGTACTGGATTGATGAAAAAATACCATGTTGAACATTATATACAGGTGTACAAAATTAATTTATCATTAAGTATTATTATTATTATATTAATCATAAATAGTTATAGTGTGGTGAATGCTCGTAAGATATGTTTACCGCCTAAGCAGTTATTAGTAAAGTCATGGTTAAAAAAAAAAATTCAGGCTGCTTCTGCTGTTCTATACAGCTTATTCTCATGTCTTTCATTTTCATTAGTAACATCGCCCTCTTCACGTACAACTCTCTTCCAGACCTCTTCATCATTACCGACATCAAGAACTCCAATTCTCATAGTAGCCAATAAGTTGGCAGCCGCTGTCAGATGTCCATAGACACCACCATAAAATGCTTTAGTTGCATCCTTGCCATGTGAAGCTTTTAATAATGGAACCCCTCCAGGATGTTGGTCCATGAAGGAAGTTATATCATGTATGATGTTTTGAATGACAATGTAAATTCTGTTGTTATGGCTTGCAGAAGCGCTGATTTTCTTGAATTCTTTTGGTTTAATTAATGGTAACTTTGAAATAGGTGTACCCCAGTTCAACTGACTCTTCATTCTGTTAATTACTTCCTGTTTTTGCTGTATCCTTAACTGAGTGATAAGATCTTTTGGAGTTGTACAAAGTTCGCTTACAAAACCAATCTTAGACAATGTCCATATGCACCACTTAGTAGGGTCAAATGCGTATAACGATGGCGCACAGCGATAATCATGGGGAAATTCGTGGTGAAAGTTTTGCAGCGCCTGGCCATAGGAAAGAAAACTTACCAAAGGATTCATACAGTTCTGTGATGAGTTCTTATCATTGAATGGTTGCATAGGAATAGACACACCTAATCCTTTCATATGACAAACAGACTCGGTACTTAGTATCAGTTGCTGACATAAAAACATTCTAAGAATCCCAGGGTATAATATTCCGTTTATCCATGTGTCCTTACATATTAAGACGGTGACCAACATAGGAATGATTATTGTGGAGATTAGGAAAAACAAAAAGTAATACTTATTTTGCCATAAAATGAGCTCGTGGACGCTAATCTCATAGTCATTCTTTAAATTCTCTAGCTCATCGTCACAATATTCTTCATCAAAATCAACTTCGTTAACCAAAGTCCTTTTAGCTTCAAGGTGATCCTTTTTGGTCTGTGTCTCCTGGGGAAACTCATGTTCCATAAACTCTTCGTAAAACGTTACAATTTTTGGCTTTTTAATTAACCAGCCCCATTGTGCCCACGTAAATCCTCGTTTTATCAGATACGGGTCTCTTTCTGTGTCGTCTGTAAACTGATGATGCGATCTGTGTAAAGAAACCCACCATTTAATAGACCCTAGCCCTAGACTACTCCCGAAAAATGCAAAGTACATCTGCAAAAATTTGAACAGTGGCCGGAACGCATTGTGTGCAAAGCATTTATGGTACCCAGAAGTGAAAGCCAATATAGTGAAGTTGAAATATATACAAGAAAAAGTCAATGTACGAGCATTTTCAGGAATCACGCCTGGAGAATACTTGAATAAATAGATCAATGCGAATAAAGGAAGGACTACCACAGAAAGCGTTTGACTGTAGTTAATCCTATTAAAAAAATCTCTTTTCCTCTTCCTCATTTGGTTCATATGTGTAGCCTTCAAATGTGATGCATGGTTCAAGAATTGACTATTATTTCCTGCCGCTGCATTATCATCTCTATGGTGTACCTTACGCTTAAGAACTTTCTTGTTCCTAGGCGACACACCGCTACTGTTAACATTCGCTTTCAGTGACATAAACAACGAGTTAAAACCTCTTATGTGAGTCAGGCTGCAGGTCCCGAATATTAATCAGAGGGATAAAAATTAGATTCACTAGTAGATATTTGGGGCTATTCATATAAGCATTATTAAATTTCACACTTACGACATTATAGTGGTTGAACGACATTTGAAAATTTGCGACATATTTACTCGCGGTTCATTCATCAACAAAGCGCTTTTCAATACACGAAAACTTTAGGGTGATCAGAGTTTAGTCCAACGTAATTTAGAATTAAAAGATAAAGCATTCAGAATGGCACCTCTAGTACCACCACAGCAACAAACTCCAATAACAGGACAGGATGTTGGTGCAAAACCACGTCCCAACCCATCTACAGCACCAGCCATATCATATACACCAACAGATACCACTATTCCACCTATATTATACGAAAAAATACCTAATTTAGAGTTATATAAAAATCTCAAAGAGGCGGAACGTAAAATAGACTTGTTGACAACCAGAAAAGCGATGGATTTTCAGGCCATTAATGCTAAGATTAACCAACACTCGACTTTGAAAAGAGAGACAGGAATTTTGAGGGTATTTATTTATAACACATGTGATAACCAGCCATGGCAAAAACAGTTGTTGCAGAGTGAAGGGAAAGAGTTACCGGAACCAACTGCAGAATCCAGCTGGACCTTAAGAGTTGAAGGAAGGTTTTTAAACGACACTAATAATGCTAATAATGATGCAAGTCAGAACTTGAAGTTCAGTTCGTTTTTGTCGGGGATTTCCATCGATATTTTGCCAAACCAAGACTATCCGGATATGCAGAATTCTCCTTCTAATATAATCGAATGGAGAGATGAATCTATTGATCAACAACCGGACGCTAAGTTTGGAGGTAATAATAGACAAACTGAATTCGATGGTTTGGACGTCAAAAGAAATGGTATATTCAACATTAAATCAAAAATTGCCATAATGATAAAGGACCAATCTACAAGCTTGAAATTAAGCGACGAAATGTCTCGTTTTGTTGGCAAACAAGAAGCAACGCAACAAGAATTGATATATGCTATTTGGCAATACGTTTTGTACAAAGATTTATTCAAAAAGTCAGATGCATTAACAAAGGTTCCTGCTGTTTCAGATTCTACTGCAACAATTGTGAATGGAAGCGGAGTAACCAGTAATTTTGAAAACGAGGAAGACGATGATTTTAATAACATTGAATGTGATGTAATTTTGAGCGAATTGTTAAGAGTTCCTAATTTCAAGTTTTCAGATCTTTACAGACTATTACAGCCACATTTTAGGCCAAGAGAGCCAGTCATCATTGATTATGAGATAAATACAAGAAAATCGACCACTTTAGGTGACTTAATAGTTGACATTCCTGTGTCATTGCCATCTTCGGTATCTAAAACTCAAAAAGAGATTATTGAATCGACCAAAGCAACTTACGAAAGCTTAACGAAGTCAGATGCAAGTATTCAACATTTGAATAGTAGAATTTCCATCGGTATAGTTGCCTTACAAAATGCAAATGCTAGAGAAACATTCTATAGAGAATTGAGTGAAGACCCTGTTAAGTTTATGGAAAATTGGCTTGAGAGTCAACTGGAAACATTTAAGGCCTTGAAGAGTGATGAAGGATATGAAGAGGAGGTTATTAGAAGAGCTAAATATTTCGAAGATAACGAAGATGTGTTGAAAGACAAAATAGATGTTTTATTAGGTTCTGGGAGATTCTAAGCTCATATAATATAACCTTCGTCCTATAATATATATATTGAAAATTAGCCTTTATTGTGTATTACATTAATTTTGTCTTAAATGTCATTGTAATTAAATTAAAATACATTCTATATACATTAAAAACTGAATTTAATCTAAATAATCTTGATCGTCATTTCCATCTTCCTCTTCTTCATAGTCATCGTCGTCAGCTTTATCGATTTCTGCATTCTCCATAATAATTTCATCTTCATCTTCATCATGATCCAAATTTGCAGCATAGTCATATTTGTAATCAACAGATTTGTTTCTTGATGATCTAGAATCTGTGTCCAATTTCTCTTGATTAGCTATCAAGGGAATACTGGAAGCCAAATAGTTATACATATTCAAAACTGGTTTGTAGATCATTGATGTCTTTGATAATCGAGATATTGGTTCTGATGTCTCTACTAAATCCAACTTCAATGCTAGAAAATTAACAAATTCTGTCAATTCATGCGCATTGGATGCAACTTCATACCAATGAATGGACTCATCAATTGGGGTATTTTTAAATTCATTTCCATTTTCATCAAACTCTACACCTACTTCTGCTAGTGACTCTGTAAGCATTTGATGTACATCTTGAACATATAATTTAAACTTTGAGGGCAAACTAGATGCAATTTCATTTACATTATTCCATGTATAAGTCATTTTTTTCATTGATGCCAACCCACCATTATCTGCATCAGCTGTTCTGCAAAGGTAAAACCTACCTATATTAAAACCAATGTCTCCAACAAACAATTCGTCTAACCGCAATTTCATACTATGGGCCAATGGATCTGAAGTAGGATCTACATATTTGGCAATAATATCATTTTCTGGAGATTCACGAACATCATTCAGGGTACCAGTATGTTTCTTGTTGATCTTTATTTCGCATTCTTTTCTCACCTCTTCGGTATTTTTGAAGCCCTTCAACACAGATCTTGAAACGTAAGAAGTCTCTTTCTCCCCTGAAATATCTTGGTTTTGAAGACTTTGTGTGATTAAGTTTTTAATAATATCAGAGGTAGTAAGAGACCATTGCATTAAACAGCGAAGCATTAATAATCTATCCATAGGATTTTGAATTCCGTGAAGGCCCATAGATTCAAACTCCGACGAATTCTTGAAAGGATTAACACCGGCATCCGGTAATGTATACGTATAATAATCATCTGATAAAATCTCTACGTTGTTTTTATCAACTGGTTCAACATCCTTTCCTGCTTGCATTTTAATTTTGTCTAGAACACCAGAATCATCCCTCCATTTTTTGGGGAGACCAAGATACAAGGATATCGACTTAAGCTCTGCAATCGCTTTAGAAGGGGACATAGGGTTGACTTCTTTTTTTCGATTCAAAACTAATGTTAGTAAGCGACAAAATAGTTTGTTAATTATTGGTGAAGTATCTGTCGAATGGTCGAAATTGGGAGTTTCAATTGACCTACCATTATACCTGTCGTATATCTCACTACTTTCCCGAAGAGGTGGTAAGCTTAAGCCGGACTCTATATCCTGAGGTCCTAAGTTTACTATTTTATCACCAAATATAGCTTCTTTAAACTTGTTCAAATAGGAAATGATATAAGATATATCCTTTGCGTACGGTGACCTAACAATAGGAAAGCCTAGGGCTAGCTTTTCTGACGACGCTTCAATATTCTGCTGTGCTTGCAAAATATTGTCGTCGTACAAATCATAATATAATCCAATTAGAGGACCTGGTAAATGTCTTGTTGATCGATGACGGTTATTACGCACAGTGGTACGACTTGTATTAGTAACCCTAGAAGATCCTCGATATGGACGGTTCTTTTTTTGAATTGTTGCTGTCGGTATACTTCCTTTAGTTTGAGGAAGTAGGTTCTGTGCTTTTCTGGAGGATCCTTTCAGTGCTTCAGATTTAATACCAACGGAGATTGAGCTTTTGGAAGAACTTTTGTGGCGATCTTCAGTTTTTTTCTTCAGATCTTTCAGTTTCTCTTCTATAGTTGCTGGTGATATTATTTCGATATCATTTTCAACAGTTTCAGTCTCCTTCAGTACTTCATTTTGTCCATTAGTACCATCTGTAGACAGGTATTTAGAAATGGGCAGCTTTGTCTTTAATGTTACCATTGATGTTCTATTACCATTTGCATCCACACTTATCATACTTCCTAATAAAGCTTGTTGTTTTCGTTTTTTAATAGATCCTGAGGTCACCCGTCCCCGAGGGCTTCTTCTAGCGCCCAGCTTTCCTCCTCGTGAACCAGGCCCTTCTAGTGGCAATCTATCTAATCTGAATTTAGATACTACAGCTTCATTGTAGTTTTGGGAGGACGAATTTTCTGGAGTCGCAAGTGTATTGGAAAGATTCTTCCGGGGTCTTCCCAACCTTTTAGTTTTCTCAGATGGATTATATGGGACAACCTTAACAGCCGGTGATGCTTGCGATTGGTCTATATCATAGGAATGTGTGTCCTCCTGGAGCATCTGCTCATCTGAAAAATGGCCGAAGTGTTCTTGACTCCCTAAATTATTATGTCCATCACGTACATTATTCTCTACATGATTATCATCAAAATTATTGAACTGAATCATATTCAAAGCTGCAGCTGCTGTAGAGTCATTTTCTTCATGATGTTGATTGTTGGTAGCCGCATGATGGTCTGCAACATATTCATTCAATCTGAAAACATTCGGTATAGAAACATGATCTTCTTCCAGTCTATCAACATCTTCGCCGGATATGTCATCATTATGCTTATTTGTACGTTCAAGTGATGATGATACATGGAATAAATCCAGTTCTGCGATGGAAGGGTCGATATTTGAATCCATCTAGTTCTTCAATTGTTGATTTATTCTGTATTTTACCGCAATTTTTGAAGATGTGTTCTCTCAATACTTCTCTTTAACCGCTAACCTTTTATTTGCGTACTTCTGTTGATTCAAGTTAATCACAGGTATATTCTTCCAATAATTATTATATTGCAGCTTAATACCATTCACTCGCTCACTATAACGCGTTTAGACGTGACACAAAAATAAAATCTTGAAAT